TTTTATATATCTTGAATGCAACTGAACTGAAAAATAAATATTGGTTCATTTCAACTGAAACACATATTTTACCATGTACTTTTGTGTGTATGTGTACATATAGTAGCTCTTCCTTCAGTCACCACCCTCAAGCTGTTTAATGTGACTCAAAGCACCATGACGGCAAGATGGGACGACATAAATGGAGTTTCAGGCTACACGCTGCTTTATACCGCTCTGACAGATGATGGAAACTTTGAAAAGAAAGAGGTAAGTGGAGAAAACCAACATAAAAATATGACAAAAAAAGCTTTACGCAAAGTATTTAACGGTGTCTGCCAATAACAGTTTTGTTCGTTAATCTTACAGTGAAAATCTTATCATTGTTGCATTCAGGTCAAGGTATCTGACGCCGTAACGGAGCTGGAGCTAGATGGTTTGATCCCTGAAACTGAATATTCTGTCACTGTTTACGCCATGCATGGAGATCAGACAAGTGACCCCATCACAAATCAGGCCTCCACGTGTGAGTAACTCACATGCACACACAAAGTTTTTTAGTCCAAATTTGAGTTCTTATCTTGAATATGATATCCTTTCTCAAAGTGAAAAAATTAAAACCTGAAAAGCCTTAAACCCATCCCAATGTTTACTGAGCTGCTGTTCTCCTGCCCTTCAGTACCACTGAGTCCTCCCAGGAACCTCCAGTTTTCTGACATCACTGACAACTCTGCCCACATCAGCTGGGATCCAGCATCCAGTGGGGTTAAAGGTTACCACATCATGTGGGTCAAGACGGATGGAACAGTTGCAGAGGAGGTCTTTATAAATTTTCTATTTTTTTGTGTTGTTTATTTTTTTACATGATGTGCTTAATTTGTCTGGAAGTAAACAGGAAGATAATGTAAATGTGTGTTGGTTGTTCTCCATTAATTTATGTTATAGTGGAGGTTACCTCCTGCGTTTCTTCAACACTTTTGTTTGAACCAAGAGCAAGGCCTAAATCTGGCATGTTATGTTTAAGTTTGTTATGTTTGTGGGTATGCACCTTTTGTTCTCTGTAGGCAGAAGTGGGTCCAGTAACCTCCTATGACCTCAGTGAGCTGATGTCTTTGATGGAGTACTCTGTGGCCATCTTTGCCCTTTACAATGAAGGCCAGTCGGAGCCGCTCACTGATGGCTTTACTACCAGTATGTAATAACCAAAGTTTTTACTAGATAAATTATTTACACTTAAAAATGTGGCTGATTTTAAACTAATTTCTCAGTCCCCTTCATTGCGTCTCAATTTGCATGAAATAGTTCAATCAATATTTTTAGAAGCCAAGTTATTTATCATTTAGTGTCAAATGATGTTGGAAGTTTTTCCCCTTTCTGGTCATTCTCCTTTTTTTTGGCTCTTTGCCCATCTCATTTACACCCCAGCATAAAAACCCAAGTAGCCATTTCAATATCCCTGACTATTTCATCATATAAACAGATATTGATTTGAAGGAATAGTCCTTTAAGCCACAAGCATTTAGGTTCAAGTGCTGAGTCAGCTGAGAGAAATGTTTGTGTGGTGAGCTACTACTAATAAGATACGGACCATGTGGATTTCTATTTCTCTCCTGGCAAACTTTGTTTAATGGTCCAGGTTTATGAAAAGGAACTTCATGAACTGAAACAAATATGCTGGCCCTTCTAAAATGTCTACGTGGAGACAATTGGGACTTGCATGATGATAGTTTACAGACAAAGTTTTTGGAATAAACAGATGTTGAGTCAACAAAATAAACCTGTGTCATATATAACACACTCAAATAAAAGCCAGGTTTCCTGAATATACGTTTATACTTAAATCAGAACATAACTGAACATGACAATGAAGGGACGTAATTTTTGAGAAAAAAAGCGGAAAAGAGTGTCTATGTGCCTTTCAGCTCCTGTTCCTGGTCCTCTAAATCTGCACTCGACTGATGTCAACGCAGACAGCTTTAGGGTCAGCTGGGATCACTCAGCAAATGACATTGTCCTCTACAGACTTTCCTGGGCGCAACTCACTGGTGGCAACACAAAAGAGGTCAGTGCACTTAAAAACAGATAAATCACTGTCAAGCATCAGATACTTTTACTTTTCCATAGCAGGTCCACACAGATTTGATTAACATTGCAAGGTTAAAATGCTCAAACTTAGAGCTTGCATCTACCATTTAATTTGTACATCAATGCACAGTGTGGCAGTGAATCAAAACTAATCTGCATGAATTCAGACCTTTTTGCTAAGCCAGGAATCCAGCTATTGTCTTGAGAAAGAAATGGCTTCATTCATTGTGCATAAATAAAGAAAGGACTGTATTAGATTGATTTACATAGAAACGTTATGACTCTAATGGTGGTGGTTAAAACCCCTGGCTGGTGCAGAATAAATAAGCACTGAATAAGTCTAGAAATTACCTGCTTGAATGTTTTATTACCATGATCTGAGGCTTAGAAACAGCTGGGAAGCAGTGATAGAGTCTTGAGCGTGTGTATGTTTGAACAGTGTGCACAGTCATCAGAGCTGAAAATAATGCTCAGGGGAATTGGAAAGATTAGTTTACAGCACCAACTGTGGGGAAGACATGCAGTTTTACCTTTAAGTGTCACTACTACACACGTTCAAAAATACATGGTTTGCTTGTTTGTCCTATTTGAGGAAAGACTGAGCATAGTTTGAAGGCTGCAGTAGTTTGAGGTTCAACCAACAACTAAAATGGAATTTGGCGGTTTTTGACTGTTTAGTGCCAAGTATTGAAAACCTGTTTAAGGAATCATAATCTGGACGTTCCCTGTAAATTCTGATTTTGGAATTGTTTTATGTGATAAAAAGCTGTGTATTTTATTACCTCTTTGCATTTATTTGAAGTCCAATTTGTCTTTGTTAATGGTTGTTTTGGACATCTGGGACAGAAACAGATCCAGCTGGCAACTTGTAATGTACACTGAAACCTGAATGTAACTGAAAGTCTCTATCACTCACTGTGAATTGTAAGGGAGATTGTGGTATGTTTTGAAATAATTTTTTCACTTAACAAAACATATTTTTCTAATTTAAATATATATTTAATCATTTTTATTTTTTTGGTGTTCTATATTAAATTCAAATACAAATCTCTATTTTTTTATGTTGGATGTAAGAAACAACAAACATGGGAATAAGTTTTTTTTCTTTTCTTTTCACTAAAACTAATGACTGGTTTCCTGAATGTGCAGTTTTGCTCAGAATATAATAAATCTTGTCAGCCTGCTGGTTGATGACTTTAGTGAGCCCAGTTTGTCTACGTTCCCTGTTATAATTATTTTCTTACGGAAAATACAGTGACTAATAAACCTAGAATAGAACTAACAGCACAAACTAATTAACAGCATAAACCAAATGGTTTTAGTTCTCAAAACAAAAAAGAACTAGAAACATTTCTGATTTTAGTTGGTTAGTCGTTTAAAAATGAGTCCTAAACAAAAAAAAAATATTGTTGGGAATTCCAAACAACTTCTGTCAAATAAGACTGTTGAAGAGAACATACTGATGGAATTAAAATGTATAAAAAGACTTTTATATCTGTTTCTCTTCTGCACCGGAGGTGGTATTGAGTGGAAGTGACAATGAGTACATCCTCACGGGTCTTAGTCCCTCCACTGAGTATGAAGTCATGCTGACGGCCATCTTCACAGATAACACGGAGAGTGACACAGTCTCTGTCACAGAGAGGACAAGTGAGTTACTATAGTTTAACTAACTGGCAACATACCCAGTTTTGTTGCTCAAATGAATAAAAAAGATATTTTTTTTGTTTAGTTAATTTAACACTTGTGAAAAACCATCCCCTTGTAGCTCCCTCAGGAAGATGTCCTCCACACTCTTTTCTGTTTTAACATAACACATTTACAACCTTCAGAGGAAGATAACTCGCTTTTTGTGTCTGCAAAACAGTAACACATTTGCATTGATTAGTTTCTTTCTGCTCATCTCGGAGTAAGAAAATCAATTTTCACCAATGATCTCATATTTCTGTCCAGTTGTCTTTGCTTAGTTATTGACAGAGAATTGTTTAGCGAGAGCTTGTGTCTGATTATCTGATTAGTGCTTTCTATTTTACCCCAGTGGCTAAGACAACAACGGTTTCCTCAACTACGGGTAAGAAATGTCTTTTTTATATTGAAAGATTTCATTCGTGACAACATCAGTCCCTCCATGTTGAACATTTATTAAAAGTGCCAAACATTGACCTGATAAAGGATTGAACAGGATGTCTCACACTGACGGAAATTGTAAAGCACAATATCCTTTTTTAATGTAATTGCAGTAGCGTTAAACTGATGGGGCTACAATTTTTAATAACTAGTGTGTGTCCACTAACAGGCAAATTTCTCATGATGCTTAAAAAACAAAAGCATGTCCAGTGAAGCCAGATGAAGGCATTTGTCAAAGTCTATTGCTGTTCAGTTTTCAAACTCTAATGCTGCCAGCACAAGCTGATGTGGCCAAAGTGCCATTGGAGCTCTACAATTTACTCATTGCAGATTTTGTACATTGGCAAATTTCAATAATAGCTACCGGTGACTCATCCATTTATGCTTACAATTATTCTCCTAAAAATTGTACCCTACCAGTAAAACCTTAACTCAACTTTTCACCAGGTTAAAGTTTAAAATGTATTGGCTTGCATCTCTTGTAAAAGATATGTCACCTTTAAAAACGTGATTTTTGGTGGCAAGTATCACAATAAAGCCATAATTTACACTCCATGGCATCTAAGAGAAGCATGTTAGAACTAAAATCTGCAAAAGGCTACTCCCCAGAGAGCAAAAATGGTTATACAGTGATTCAACTTTGTCAGGTGGTGAGGATGGTGGCCTATAAGTTCTTGGATCTAAAGCACATTGTTCTTAATCTTATCATGCCAATATTTGAAAATGAGTTCAACGTCTGTACAGTAGTAACTGCTGTCTGTAATGTAACAGTGTCACGACATGCCGTGAAAAAGCTCTATCTGAGAGATGAGACCACCCAGAGCTTAGATGCATCGTGGGAGTTGGAAGACCCAAATGTGGAGAACTATAGAGTGTTCTACGCCAGCCTGAGTGGTGATCACAAAGAGTCTGTAAGTTTATCAAGTTTTGATTCAATATAATTGTGAAATGTCCCAAAAACAATTAATTTAAAATCTCCATTTTAAATTTTCGTCCATTTGTAGCACACAATCACAATAGAATAAAATAGAACATTTATTTGGAAAAGATAATGCTGAAGTTGTGCTCAAACAAGGATCTTCTGCACCATTATTTTGCTCCATGTTGGAGCATCTGCGACAGCCAGCAAACTGATTACATTTCTTGTCTTGGTATGCTCAGCCTCTCCCTCCTGATCCCACCGTCTCTTCCAAGAGCCCCTTGAGCTCAGTGCCATTTACTGACCCTGATCAGTGATGCACACTCAAACGCACATACCCAGGCATACTCTGCCTCTTCCCTCTTCCCCTTCTGACCCTCTGTCTCTCCACTTCTGTTTCCCTCCCCTGTGTCCATCTCCCCTTTCTTTCTCCCCCTCTTTTAATTTCCTGGTATGGTGTCAGAGCTGTACAAGATGGAGAGCCTCGGCAAAGCCAGAAGACATTCCATTATCTTTTCAGCAGCCATTAGCTTCAGTGAGAGCAGAGATGGAGGGCAGCTGAGAAAAAGAAACATAAAGAGGTGGAAAAAAAGTATTGCTAAGCAAAATGAGAGAGGCTTCAATCTGCCTATTGGTATAAATGATGTTTCAGTGCAAAAAGCAAAACAAAGTTTCCTTAGTCTCAAGTTTCTAATTAAGCTTCCTGATTAGATAAGCTCCACCTGGGTAGCAGTCTGACATGGACTGTCCAAGTTCAAATATGCTCATGTAGCAGTTTTTTCCCAAATTACATAGATTATGATGAAAGTAATATTTTCTTGTTGTTCAGACTGGTTCATATGTATCTATATGACCACCAAAATAACCTTTATTGGGTTCTTTTAAACCCCCCAAAAATAAAATAAAAATATTTCACACATTTTCTGTGAGACAGAACTCAATGCATTTTTTATAGCCTCCATTTATACAGCTTCCCTAAAAGGCTAAGTACAATGGGGACAATGATTCTCGACTAATGTGATTAACATTAGTTCATCTTAACACACACCTCTGAAAACATCAGATTGGTGCCTGCAGCATTTATTTAACTGGCCTGAAACTGCTCTTATCACACACATAAGAAGATAAGGCACCTCCTCTGCTGAGAAAACTTGATACTGTAAGAGCTTTAAAACCCTCTGAGTGAAGTCGTAAGAGTCTCTACAAGGGCTCAATAAACTTAACAGCAAATATAATTTATTCACTGTGACTCTCTTAGTCACTGTCACTGGTACGTCTGAGTGAAACGCTGAGAGGTGGCTTACATCTAAACAGTTGAATGCAGTTATAATATTTCATTGAAAACAATGTTAGCTTTACTAATGAAAAAAAACTATGCATGAGGGACAATGCCGTATAAGGAATAAATGGGACATACCTATCATTGCTGATTTTTGTTAAAAACATGGATTAAAAAATGTATATGAAGTACGAATTGGCTTTAATCAAGACGTTATGATTGATGATAATGTTGTTTATTAAAAAATTAGATAAACCAGCTTTGGAATAGACAAAGAAATATAACTTAAAGAGTTAAATAAAAATCCAGTGTGCTGATATGAAAACTGGGCAGTGACATATATTTCTAAGCTTCTTTCTATTACATTTTTGGCATTAACTGACCTTATTGACTAAACTCAGCAGAACTCTTAATGCATGCAACATTGGGTTGGCATCTAATCATTTTCTCCAGATGTCCTACAATCCAGCACAAGCAGGGGATTCTATTTTTGTAATTCTCTATACAAGATTTTGGAAATGGTATGTAAAATGTATCCCCCCTCTGCATTTGCATAACATCTGATCTATATGTACTCTCCTGTTTGCCATCTGCAGAATTCACCAATGATTAAGATTTTATTGTTAATATCAAGCTCCCAGTTGCTCCTTCGCAGTATGAACGTATGCGTGTTGTGTGTGTCTAGGTCTTAGTTGGTGGTGGTCAGAAAAGAGCAGTGCTCCAGCCTTTACTCCCAGACACCCAGTACAAAGTGATAGTCACACCCATGTACCGCGACGGACAAGACGGCATCAGTGTCTCTGCATCAGCTTCAACATGTAAGCCTCAAAGCCCCCAGAAGTCACACAAATATCCCTGATACATGTAAACAAAAGCTCCTCCGATTTATTAACCAGCCGTGTCATCTCTCTACTTATCGTTTTTCTTTACATAAGATGATGTTCATTCCATTGCGCTGATTGGAGTTTTCCTTTGGTTTAACTTTGTATTAAATTATTTCCTTGATGGATGGTATGAATTATACAGATAACAAATACTGATGTTTTCCTAATTGTCTTGATGAAGGTTTTCGTGTATGAGCAGGCATTTTTAATTAATTAAATGACTAGATTAGTTTGATCAGCTCTAATTGATTTTCCTAAATGTTTTCATGATCACCTTTTATGGGCGGAAGCAATTGTGTTCTCACTAAACAGAATAATTAAAGATGTCATCTCTTTAGATAAGAAAACGGAAGCTCATCATGATGGGGAAAAAAATACTATAGTTCTGACAGCAGTGATAAATATATGCCAAAGTTATTCAGTGAGACATTTGGCTTTTTTTTCTTTAAAGTTAAATTCTCCCCTGAATCAGTTACAGAGGGATTTGCAGCCTCAAGATGAGTCTACAATGCCAATCACACTATTTCTAAAGAGACTTATTTATGTTGTCACTAAGTTGTAATAGATTCCTAACTTGGCCATTCTGCACTGCTCCACAAGTTTTACCCGTTCCATGAAGTTCATCTGTGTTTTTTCTTTGTTTGTTTTTTTTTTTGCTGAGAAATAAGCAGACACAGCAAATTGAACCAAGACTAAAATAACAGTTTTGTTCTTCCACAAACTGTGCAGCTCTTTAAATGCAAATGAAGTCCTCACACCACTGAGAACCAAGTGTCTCAACTTACCTTTAGGCTGTTACTTTAAAACATTTTGGCCCAACTTCTCTCTACACATGATTACTACATTTGAATAAATGTTGTTTTAAGTTGCCATAGTCTGTCCAATCAGGGATGATATATATCAATCCAACGTTGTTTGAAAATGTGGCACCTCTACTTTATGCTCTGAGTCAGAGCTGCAGGTTTGTTTGAGTTTGATGAGCTCACTACACACATGGAACTGAACATGATGAAATACACACCTTTGGTGCGATGACAACCTTATTGTTTTTAGATTTGTAGCTCATAAGAATTGGAGCTGTTTACTAAAGCTTGGCTTGTGCCTTTACTGTTTAGACAGCACAGCAGTTAACATTTGTATGGGATTGGCTTTTACTTACATGGTTAAAACACTGAAAATGGCTCTCAGCATTTAAATACCAGATTTTTTGGAACTCGGCTTCATCGCTTGGGCTTTGGTAGTTCAGTTTTTCTTTTACGGTTAGGGTTAGACAGACTGAAAATCTGAAAGAAAATCAACGTCAATTCTCTTGTTCATTTATGTCACTGGAGAAGTTACAGCAACATCGCCACACTGAACAAAAACAGAATGTGGGGCAATCCCTCTGAGTAATTTGAATAACTTTGTATTTTGAATGACAAAGGATTTTACTATCTTCAGTAGCAGCATAAACGTACAAAATGTGTGTAGGTCCAAATCATATTGTGATTACTCATTATCTCATATCCAGTAGTGAAGTATGTTCTTTATTCTTACTGTGTCCTGTTTTGGCAGTGCCACTCTCATCTCCTGAAAACCTTCGTGTGTCAGAGGAATGGTACAACCGTTTCAGGGTCACCTGGGACCCACCTCAGTCTCCTACAGAGGGTTACAGGATCATCTACCAGCCCATACATGGTACAAGGGCACACACATGCATCAATTAAAAAAAAAAAAAACAGCAGACAGTTGTCCATTACACAAGTGCAGACTCACAAATTGATGTACTGACAGAAGATTTATGTACTTTGCCTTGAGACTGAGATTTGTCCAAACATACTACCTACCAAGAGAAAAGATCCTGCATCACACAAACCTGTTTCAGTAATCAGATTTTTTGGAACAAAGTGGATAGAAATACATTTCTACTGTGATGTTGACAATATACTGTAGACATCAACTCTTATACATATCAAATATATTAATATTTGTTTCAGTAATCTCTGTGAGGATGCAATCATGTTTTGTTGAGTGTGATGATGAGTGTGAGGGGGTTTATAATCCTTACATGGAGAGACAAAATGCATTTCCCCAACTCTACTATTTATGTTTTTCAATTATGAATGGGCAAAAAGGTGTTCAACACTTGGTTTGTAAAACATTTAAGAATAATTATTTTCCATCCTTATGCATATATATGTGTCTTTTTCAGTTCAAGGTCGTGTTTTGGAGACGACTGTGGTTGAGGATGTGAACTCCATCCTTCTTCTTAATCTACTGAGTGGGACAGAGTACAGTGTTCAAGTGACTGCTTCCTACTCTTCAGGACAAAGTGAACCTCTGCTGGTTAATGCAAAAACATGTATGTATATGCATCATAAACTCACAAAAAACTGAAAAACAACATTATGTGCGTGAAACTGTGTTTTAGATTTGGTCAGACAACTAATAAATATTTCCGAGCATAGAAATATTTTTCAAACTGTTTTTTTTTTTTTTAGGATAATCTGATTTACTTCAGTAAATTCAAAAGCCAGCTATGCACAAGTTTAATATATTCAATCAGAGTATCACCACCTCAAGCTTTTAGTCTAAAGTTGTCATGACATTGTGACTATAGAGGAGAAGACTGAGATGGCAGAAAAGCAAACTATTTTGAAGACAGCAGGGGGATACAGCATGCATATTAAATGCCTGCTTTTACTAAGTTCTCTAATTTCCATTGAGACCTCAGCAAACAGACAAAAAGATAGAAGGGTATTATTATTTCCCCATCAGTCAGCAAGAACAATCCTTTTTGCACATAGATTTGGTTTTGCTGGTCCTAATGCAGCCCTTAAATTTTCACTCTTCTAAATCACATAGATGAAGAAATTGAGAGGCAGTTTCTGACAGCAATACAAAGAAAAGATTCTGAATGTGTATTTTTCTGCCAGTGCATATGTTTACCTGATGCTGTTTTTTATATTCTTTGTATTGCATGCTGTAAAGATGATACTTCCTTCACTGGAATTATTTTATTTGAATTTTATAGTTTTTGGTCTTTTTAAGCTCCCTAGCAACACATTTGTGTGGCTGTATTTGTTTTTCTCAATGATTGTATGTGTCACTCTCTTACTTAAAACCTTCTGTTTTCTTATGAATTTCTTGTTAACATTTAATGGATTAAGCAAAGAAAACATTTCATATTTATTCTGAAAAATATTTCCCTTTAACTGGGAAGCGAAGTGCTGGAAAGAATGATTGTTGGAGGATCGTTTAAAATTTCTTTTAACTTCATCTTCAGATGAAGAGAATAGTTTTTTACTCACTCATAGTTTTTAATTTGTACAAAGGATATGTCAAATCTATCATCTTTTTAATCCATCATACCTCTCTTGCCTAAGTTATGACTCCCTACTTGACTTTATTAAGCTCACAATGAAAGCTGCTTTACCAGTAAGAACTAAGATTGAAAACAAAATGCATGCTAAACAGCCTTCCTTATTCATACGGCAGTATATTAAAAACACTACCATGTTTTACTTTACATAAAGTATCTCACTTGTTTGAGGTCCACATTTCTATTGGAAAACAGAATAAAATAAAATGATTTGCCCTGATAAAACTGTTTGGTGATGTGGCTTACACCGGATTGCGGATTGTTTAAAGATTTCGATAAATACAACTGGAGAAAAAAGGTTAATTTGACCATCTATGATTGAACCATGCATGTGCACTAATGAGATCACATGCCCATATTTATTCATGCACGTGTGCAGCATTGAATGCAGCACTCCCATGTGAGCAAGGTTTTGTTTTTGCTCCTCTTTGAATATTATCTGTAGGATTGACTGGATGTCAAATGCATTATTCAAAAGTAAATAACGTAAGATACCTGCCATATGGTCCCAGTTTAAAATACCCATTTACAGGCATGAGCCAAGTTTATTTTATATCATCAGCAAATTTAGTTAACAAGGAGAAAAGTACAAGAGGGGCTCCTGGGAGGTTTGCCGATGGTACACTGACGTTCCCAAGCAAAATAAGCTCCAGCTATTTAAATTGCTTGAGCTGCTTTGCATTTTGGTGCATTGTGCCTCAGTATTCCTCTACAGAATAGTCTATGTCCAACTAATTTGTTGCTTTAGGATTTGTCCTAAAATCTTCCCCACACAATATTGTAATGAGATCGATGTATAATGCTGGTCATGTAAATCACCCAGCAACACTCAAAGATAATTTTGGATAATATCATCTGTGGCACTCAAACCACTTAAAGTAGCCTCTATCAACATTTAATACTTATTGCAATGCCTTTCTCTCCAGTGTTTTGGAAATGGCTGAGCAAATTAGGATGTTACAGAAGAAGTACTATGAACGTGTCATAATATCGTGCCACACTTTTAATGTTTTAGTGTGAGTTTGTGATTAGAGAATGTCAAGATGTGTGTCCACTTAATTGAAAATTAGTGCACTTGCTTCATTAATCTGACAGATTGCAGATTAATGTAGTAATTAATCATACATAGGCTCCTCTGCAGGTGATTGTATACAGAATGTGAGTTTACCATGATTTTTAATTGATATCAACATTGCGAAAAGGTAAAATAGATTAATCTCTCTCAATTTTTTTTCTGCATTCAATCTCGCTTCAGTGTTCCTTGGCGTATCTGGCTTGTCAACGTATCAGGTGCGTTCCAACAGCATGTGTGTTCAGTGGCAGCCTCTTCTACATGCTACATTGTACAGAGTCTCCATACAGTCTACACTCAGTAAGTACAGTTACTCTGTGACATCCCAAATTCTCAATTCTTCTTTTCTTGCTCATGAAGTTCTGCAGAACAACCTATATGATAGAGAGTTAGAGGAATAAAGTGGCTTCCAAAAAAATGTTGCATAATTTCCCTGTTTATGGGGACACCCATGTTAGAATACAAATGATAGTGCAGACTCTTCTAGTGTTATGTTTACTAAATTTGGAAATAATTGAAAGGGAATGAAAACCCCCTTGGTGCATCCTTGGTGAAGCAGCACTTTGTATTTCTGAGTTACTGTTTAACAAAAAGTGCCAAAAAAATAGACATTTGTGTAAAAGGGAAATTAACTCCACAATTCAGTAGTTTGTAGATACATGTTCAGAGCAAATAACTTTGAATAATTGTTTTCTTTGCGTGTAACGTGATCAGTCTGTCAGTTTCGTGTGTTTAATATCTAACATGTGTTTTAATTTCATGTGGTGAGAAACAGCCCTTTTCTCTGCTGACTGACTGCATTACTGTTTGTTCAATAAATCAAAAGCTTTACTAGAGTCATGATATTTGGTGACGTGGATGAATTTAAGCTCCAGGCTCCTGCATTTCCTTCTAGATTTACTGTCTGACCTCATGAAAATGTCTCCTCTGTTTATTATCAACACAAGGAGCTGCCAGCTCATTCTTAAATGTGTGTTAGTTACAGTACAACTCTTTCACAGTCATCTGAATCATGTTAATATGACACTGAGGAAATATATTTTATGTATATCTGACATTCTCATGTGGCGGTGGTTAATGTCATAATTGGAAATCCATTATTTATACTTCCATCTGACAGTAGGAAAGAATTGACAAGCACAGCAAATAGCATGGAAGGAAAAAGATCTTTGAGATCAAATAAGGAACGAACTTAGAAAATATGACCTTTTAAAGTCTGTGTAAAGCACAGATACTTAATTAAGATAAAATCATCAAGGGGTGGAAAAGGGAGAGAAAGCAAATAGCCAGTTTTTTAAAACTTAGAAAAGTAAAAGAAATATGTGTAAGACCTATTCATCAGCTAATAAATCAATTTAAAACCTGTTCTTATTATGTTGTAAATCAAGTGTCAAATCTGTAAAATATAAAAAACCTAAATAAAACTTCCTTACAGTTGATCTGTTGCCAGGAGGAGTTTGGAGCTGATTCATGAAAAGTGAACTCCTCAAAGTTCAGGTTTTATTTTTATTTTTCGGTTGAGGGCCATTTTTCACACACCAATAGCTTTATTTATGAAAGAATAAATAGACAATAGCATGTAGTTTTCAAGCTACCTTGGTTGTAGTTGGTGTTAACATGAGTCTTTTGATTATTTATAATATTAGCGTAATATGCTGCTGACCTCGACAAAAGACGGTCTTTACATTTAATTGTATTCTGCCTCCCAGACCCCTTTTAAAGTAACTGTGAAATAATAAATACTATTATAAAAGAAAAGGAAAGCGAAAGCAGGAATATACACTTGGATTTCAAAAAGAAACCTACAAATACGTGAAAGCCACTTTATAACAGTGCTATTTAAAGTGTCGTAAAAAGAGCAGCAAAAAAAGGAGGAACATTCTGTGCGTAATCCTCGGTTTATATTTGTGGTCTCCCTCGTTCATAACTGAGCAGACTGGAGTTTCAAACCAGAGTTTTGGATTTCTCTTTAATTCACACAGAGCTAACAAGCTGCTATGTGAGCCGCTGCAAATGTCCTTGTCAGATGCTAACGCAAATCTAATTTATTGTTTTTTCTCTTTCAAATTGATCTCCAACATTCACATTATGTTGCATCAACTGATCACAAATTTAGGCATAAAACTGACTTAAAGTCAACAAAAGTCCATTTATTCTTTTAACAATATATATATATATATATTCTTTGTTATTAATATTCAACTGTTATTAGTCAAACGTGTCAGATTTGAGATTTTCATAGTTGATTTTATTAGATTTTAGGTAAAGATCTATCCTGTCCTAAATCTTTTTTAAAAGTCAGTTAATTCTCCACTTCTTAGTCAATTCAACATCATGATAGTGACATTAGTTGGTCTGAAAAACAGTTTGCCCAGTAAAAGCTAAAAAAAATTCCCTGCCGTGGTGCAGCCAAAATTTCAATCTGACGTTTTTAAGTTCAGTGTCTCCATCTTTCTTATTAATGTCTACTTGCTACATCTTGATGGACCTCAGTAGGACACAAACTCTTACATGGCAGTGGGACGGGCTGGTGAAACACTCTAATCCACACTCCACCATGCAACACATCTATAGTTTGACACTCTTCATGCAGAACACATTCCACTTTCCTTTCCCTTTTGTACTTCCTTCTCTTTTGGGATTCCTGTGTTTTCTGCTCCCCCCCTCAGTTTCAAGATCTTAGACTTTCATGATTTGTGAACTGAACTTGGTTGTCTGTTATCCAATTCTTTTACTTTTTTCACTTACAGATGGTCAGAGGCAGGAAGTGAACCTGGGAGGTGGAGCTTCCCGGCAGTGTTTCTATGATCTCACCCCTGGCAGCCAGTACCAGATCAGCATTTACACAGAAGTACAAGAAATAGAAGGACCCTCTGTATCCATCACAGACATGACATGTATGTTTACACCTACACTTTGGTCTTATAAACTTTTGAGTTTCTTTTTTTTATATTCAAAGCAAGCAGCTTTTTGCGGATCACATTTCCCTGACCACTTCGATTCAGTCGTTACTCTCTTCCTCCTGATTGCTGTCTGTGCACACCATATTTTCTGCAGACAACTCAAACGGTCTGTCCCCTGTAGCCAGGCTTTGCCATTCTTCTCTCAACTCTCTTTGCAATTCTGTCCTCTTTGTGGTGTTTCTTATGTAGTCCATCCCTTTCTCGACAAGGAGATCATTTTGAAAGGTGCAGGTGATTGTTCAGCTGATAAGTTGAACGTACTACCTTCAGAGATGAAAATAAACTCATGTCACAGCCAGGGTTGTAGATGGAAAGTCATCACACATCACTCACACACTCCCCATCTAATCTAAGAGATACATTAATGAGGTTGTTCTCAGCCATGAAGTTAAACATGATCATTTATTTTGTATTGACAATATTGTACTAGACAAATTGAATCAAACAGATCATTACCTAATAATTGTTTTTGTTCTTATCTAATCAAAGTGGTACAGTGTGGTGATTGTCGAAAAGTTTTAAAGTGTGCACTTCTCTCTACTTGCTTTTTGTACTCTGGTTTGACACAAACAATATTTTTGAGGTCCTTACATTGTTGGTTGTTTTTTTTGTAAAAGAAAATGTGATCATGCAGCATGTACAGCATTTGAGCAATTAGAGGACTGAGTAAAACAAATCAGTTGTATTACTGTTGCATTGTGCACCTATGGTTTGTAAGTACAGACAGTTTAAAAAATGTGTTCTGCACAGTCCAGAACTTTGTTAATAGAGGGAAGCAGAGAATTGACTAACTTATCACTTAACAGAAATGTGCTACAGTCTCTCAATGTGCCAACTAATGTACTCTATTTCTGTGTGCAAGGGTGTGTGTTTGTGGTCTGTAGATAAAATCTATGATTGATGTTATGACTGACGCCTCTCATCTTGTTTTCCTGCATGCTTTCATATGACACAGTACCAGCACCCACTCAGGCTCCGACTGAACCACCCACCACAGAGCAGCTGCCCACGATCCCACCTGCCAAAGAAGGTGAGTAAGACACAGAAGGGTTGTGGGACATTTGTTGTAGAGCATTTTCATTCAAACAAAAGGTTTCAAATTCTCTGCAGGCCATTGTATAAAAAATTACTGTTATGGAGGAAATGTCAAATATGACATCAATGGAGGTCATCACCAACTTAAAGTAACTTGTTTTGGAATGTTTATTACTAGTGTTGTGAGGTGATGAGTTGTTTCATGATGATGGATAAATGGGTTCATGATTGGCTGTTTTTTTATATATTGGCATTGTTTAGTCAGCTTTGTGTCACAGAAGCATTGACATTTTACCCCTGGGTATGCTTTCATTGCCTAAAAATGCACATCATGTAATAAGTAAAGGACTATCAGCTAATGACCATTTGAGCTCTTTAAAAGTGTTTCTTCTGTTTAATGATGACTCACACGTGTCATAAGAATTCTTGACTATGATATAATTGACCTTTTATCTGAATAAGTGCTTGTTAGACCTAGCCAGCATATATTTACAGCAAGATATCGCTATAGGCCAACTGACTCAAATGTTGAGAAGTCACATTTAACAGCTTACCTAACTCTTAATAACTACGAATTATGGATATGACCTCTAATAACCCTTATATTTGCGTTACAGTTGTTGATTCATTTTCTATATAAATGGAAATATATTAATTGCATCTGCTAGATTACTTCATTCTTCAAAATGTTATCAAATGGGTTCAATTTTGCAGTCTCACGAACCTTGATTTCCTACCCAGATAATCCTTCTGTGTTAAAAGGTCTCTTAGCAGCATGACATCCACAGATGTGAACCGACATACCTGCTGAGACCGTCTCCAAGCATTTCTGTTTTAGTTTCTGACCTTTGTCATTTAAGCACCTCCATTCCAAATGGCAGGTGACCTTTTTTCCGGACAACTGAGAATAGGGAAAAAAATGTCAGGGTTTTTTCTAAGATCTTCAGCTAAAGTAAGAAGGGGTGAAATGGAAAAAACTGGCCATCTTCAGTCAATTTCTTTTATGTAAAATGTCAGAGACCTAAGTGAAAAATTACCATAGAGAAGAGGATAGTAAGACATAAATGCTGGGACAGAAATTACTAAAAGAATGCAGTACACAGATGTGCATAAAAACAAACAAAAAAAGGATTGTGTGAGGCGTATGTATGAAAATAAACAAGCTTTTCTATTTTCCCATGCGCTTTTTTCTTTTATCCTTTATATCATTCAGATCTACAGCCATATTTGTTTTTTCTTGCATGTAGATATGGTCCTAAAAAGGGCTTGGAATGTAGTAACCTAGATCTTGAAAGCTTGGTAAACGGCTTCACAACATCAGTGCTAAAGCTTATGTAATTGGCGAACCTGTGTAGAATAAAAGCAGAGAGAAAAGCCCCTTTGGGATGAGGGATACATCTGAGCCATTTACAAAAGATCAAAATACTTAACAACTGGACAGAGATCAGCTCCGTTCTCTGCTCTGAAGATCTGGTCTTTCCATGTGCTTTTCTTTCAGTTCTGTGCTGACTAAGTCTATATACCTTATTTTTCTGTCTAGTATGTAAGGAGGCAAAGGCTGACCTGGTATTCCTAGTTGATGGGTCCTGGTCCATTGGAGATGACAATTTCTTGAAGATCACTCGTTTCCTCTATAGCACTATGGGATCATTGGATCTGATTGGACCAGATGGCACCCAGGTCAGTGGTCATATCCAATTTCTGAATCCATCTGTCAATGCGTTCAAATTTCCCTCTTGACAACTGCTTTTTTAGTAATGTAACGGTAAGTGTCCTTATAGAGTACCGTTATATTCAGAGCTGGGCTTAGTCTAGACGTCTATATCTGGTGAAAATGACTGTATACAACTATAATTTAACCAAAAAGAATGATCCCTAAGGTTTTTCATTTCAGCTCACCTGCTTTGTCGTTTTTTTGCTTTGTTTCACAGTTCATCTCCTGCAAAATTCCTCCTCATGAGAAATTTAATGTAAAGTAATGCCAGATAGAAAGCCAAATATTGTCACACTGAAAACCACAATAATGATTAAATAACTCATAATAAAACTTAATGTAAACTGCAGCAAATCATTTATGCATCGGGTTGTTAATTCTACATAGGAAAGATTACAACTTCTAGACCCAACAATTTTTCTGGTGCGTATTGTTTTAAAGGCATGTTGCCCAGTAGAGAAAAAAATTGAACAATATATGATCTATTCGCAACTTGTTCTTACCATAACTACTCAAAAGGAGAGTGGATAAGCACATTTTCATTACATTCAAAGGTCGCATAAGCAAGCCTTCCATGTACTAAATAATGGCATCATATAGAGCTTGCTCTCTGTTCGGCCTTTCTTACTTATTGTGCACTTCTTACATTTTGAGACGTAATTATAGACAAAGTATAGCATTCTCTTTTCTCTAGAGTTGTTGATTTCTATTTTTTCCTCCTCACCCATATGCTTAGCTATTGTTTGGGGAAGGTGCTAAGTAAGGCATAGCTATACAAAGCTTGTTTTTTTCACTCTCAATTTTCTTTGGCAGTCCCCTGAGAAATCAGCAGGGCTGCAGCTTTGTATATATTGAAAACTTCAGGAAAGTGAGAACAAACCTTAAACCCCCAGTGAGTCAATCTGTACATTCTGGAAGGACTTCACAATGCTGAGCTGTATTCAATGAACTCTAGTTAAATTGCTGCTACTGTTTTCTCTGCCAGGAAACATTACTTCTTTGGCATGAATTAGGGTTTTCATAAGTAAAGTTTACATGCATTTAAAGCTGAAATAAACATTAAGGATTCCAGAAGAGACTAATTGCTATATAGTTGTAATTAATTCTTGAAATCAAGTTATAACTGTACTATTATTTCCACTGCTCTAGACTGTTTGTTTCTCATTTAATAGGTTCATCAATAGTAACGCCAGACTCTAACTTAGTGCACCTGCTTTCCTTACTGTCACTTTGTACTGATCTTTTTCTTCCTCCTTCCTGCTTGGTCTCATTTGTGTCAGCGGGCTTCAGCTGGTTCATTTGTCACCATATAGATGTGCTGGCTAAACCTTTTTGTTACATTAATTGTAATGTAATTTTCTGCTGTTAAGCAGTTTGCAGCCCCTCCCTGTTCCCTATAACCCTCTGGCAGCAGGTTGCCAACAGCAAAAACCTGCCGTAATGTGAGAAAGTTGGCTGCACACTAAAGAGAGATGGCAGGTAAATGTTGGCCAACAACAGCACCATTAGAGGCCTGGAGGTAATGACAATTGTCAATTGCCACTCTCAGAAGGCAGTTAGATTGATTATATCTCTGAATGACGGTCTGGACTCAAACCAATCAGTCATCACACTAAAACCAGTGATGGGTAAAGTGAGTTAAACTCTTAAACTCTTCATCTGGTTGCACTATTCTGCTGATAGAACTGAAAAAGCTGCTTCCTGGCACACACATGGATGTGGCTTAACTATGGGCACAGGTTGGTTGTCATTGTTGTGATGTTTAATCATTATGAACAATATATTTTTTTATGTGAAGGCCACCAGAAACCACCTGGTAAAATATGTAGAATATGTGTTGCATAATGTGATAGGTCTTACGCTTGAACTCCTTTTACGCAACGAAAAGTTAAACATGTGAGTAGATATTCATTTTCCAAGCTCGGCAAATTCCCTCTAATGATTTGATTGTTGGACCCAGAGTGTGGCCATGTAGCCTCATGTCTCTTAGATAACGTAACATAACCCGGTCTTGAGCAGTTTGGCTTATTTTTCTTTCTTTTATAGGCAATTGAAACAAAATGACATCAGTGTGAGTTTTTCTTTAATTGTTTTAGGGAATATTAGCTCTAAGCAGCAAGTTAAATCCAGATGGCTCATAAAAAAGATAGTTGAATCTGAATAATTCTATTTGACACTTGTATTGAACTTCTGTGTATCCCTCCAGGTGGCCATTGCTCAGTTTAGCGATGATGCACGGACAGAATTCCAGCTGAGTTCCCATGGCAACAAGGAAGCACTGCTGGAAGCTATTCAGAAGATCCGATACAAAGGAGGAAACACCAAAACAGGTTGGAGCAGTCTATCACCAGAATTATGGCGGCAATACTGCAGATACAAAGCCAGATGTTACTTTTATAGTTAATCCTAAACTTACCTTTGTATTGTTGACTGAATATATTTGCAATATTTGGTCATACTGTCTCCAGGAATGAATGAAAACCCAATTAGATAGTTACAGTCTGGAGTTCTGCTACCACATATTGCATCAAGATAAATTATTTCAATTTACGATGTTGTAGCAGCCCCAGTTGCACAGGTAAACGTGCAGTATTAATAAAACAGTTTATTATGTAAATGTAGTGGATGGAAGTTCAGAGAAATTAATTTTACGGAAGACTGTGCCGTGGTTTTGTCTGGTTGGAGTGACTGTGTCCTTGAAAGGGAAAGCTTTGCTCTGGGAGTTATGTCTGTTCTCATACACCCCCATGCTTTTGAACCTATTCTTTCTTACCTCCTTGCTGTTGCTGTCTAATTTTGCATGTTTAACTCCTGCATTGTTTTAACTATACAGGCATACATGCATGGTGTTTATTGTTGGACAGATTAAGGCATTCAAATAATGAATGAACATGTATGGATTCAAGTAGTCTCAATGTTTTAAGCCATCTTTTATAGTCTTCAGACAATTGTTTGTAGTAGGACCTATTAATCTTAAATTTATAATCTATGATATTGGCTATATCTTTTTTGTTGGTTTATGTTGTAAGATAAAGAGAACATATCTTCCAGGTAGTATTGCATAATTATTTAGAGTATAAACTCTGCAGATCCCTAAACGTTCGTATTCACTTTATATACTGCACCTCTGGTCTTTTGAGAGGGTAGTTTATTGTAGGTTAAAGCTTGTGTCTTGTTATCCAAATTTGAAGTGTTTTTACATGATAAACCAAAACTGTTCCCATCACTGCTTCTCACTCTTTAAATCCCCTAAAGCTTTAGAAAATGAGTGCATTTTATAGACTGCTGCTTTACTCCTGGGCAGATAAGAGTTTATAATAATGCACTGCAAAGGGGAGTCTGTATTGTTATCTTTTACTATAGGAAGTGTTGTTTAAGGGGCTGCATGGTGGTATAGTGGATAGCACATAGGAAGAGGGATAATGGATGCAGCTTCTGTGAATTAAGTTTGCATGTTCTGTGTATGGATGCATGAGTCGTCTCAAGGTACGTTAGGTTAAATGGTCACACTAAATTGATCCTAGCAGTGGGTGTGAATGATTGTTTGTATCTGTGTGGCCCTGTAATGGACTAGTGATCTTTCCAGGGTGTACCCTGACTCTCCTCAGGTGAGCTGGGAAAGGCTGAAGTCGCCCCTTGCGACTCTGAATTGGAATAACCAAATATGGAAAATCCATCAAATCCATCAAATTTCTTTACTGCTTATTCCTAGGGTCGCTGGGGGGCTGGAGCCTATCTCAGCTGTCACTAGGGGTAGGGTAAACCCCGGAAAAATCACCAGTCCATCACAGAAGTATGGAAAATAGGTAGATTGAATTTCTATCTGAGACCTACAAAGGATTTTTCATGTCACATTGAGATCTACCAGATGAAAAGCTGCCACTGTCACAATTGTAACAACTCGGGTCTCAATTCTTCTTCACTAATCGGCACTACAGTTAAGAAATAAGAGCTAAGAATATTCTCACCCTTCATTGCAATTTCTTTTCATCAGTATTGTCCATCTATTTCACAAATGTTATGTATTTGTGTTGTAGTATTGATCAGTTCAGGGAGCTGGCTTCTAACTAGGAATTTATTCATTAAGGTATTAGTGAGCTTATAACCATCTCAGTCAATAGGTGTCTTATTATTGTGGCAGTCCCAGCACATTCATCATGCTGCGTGTCTGTGAGCGTGTGTGTGGGCATGTTTTTAAGACACACGGTCTCTGACTAAGGAATCGATAAAATGTACTTTCACTAATTTGAATTGTTACTTTTCGTCCCTTGCAGTAAATATATTAACACATTAAACTACTGACTGTGTGATTTTCCTCCTGTGGTTTTACATAAGCAGCAACCACGCTTTAACTGCAGCGATTCAGCTGTTTGACTCAGTTTTCGAAGTTTCCATCTTTCATAAGTTTAGAGATAATGATATTCAATAATTCAAGAAGCAAATAGTCCTGGGTTTTTGTAGCACAGATGTCCCCAACCACCACAAATTAAAAATCAGAAAAGGTTTATCATTCTGATGTTTTGTATTAAGCCTTTGGTCACTATCAATAAAAAAGAGACTTGCGTTTTTTTTGTCCTTTCTCCAATGATGGAGACAAAGCTGTCAAACTGCCAGAAAGAATAACAAATTCCTTTTGACATTTTACACACTTAATCTGACAGATCACTGATCGATGGTAGGGTTTCGAGCATGAGTTGCCTTGACAAGTTTTCTTTAAAAAAAAAATGTTTTGCCATCTATCAGACTTATTATCTACTTGGATGTCATCCCTCCCCTGCTCAGTCTTGTGTGTCACTTCATGCTTGGATTATTATTCCAGTTTTGCCATCATGATCAGAGGACAGTGGAGAAACAGATGTAGCATTGACACATATCGTACATAGCAAAGTTTTACAGGCCAAGGGCCCTATCATTTTTCATAAATGACAGCTTACTTAAAAGAAAAAAAAAGATGGTTGTATTAATACATTCACAGGTTTGATTTTACTTAGCAAAGACACAATGCGTACTGTCATTATTTTATTGGTTACTTTCATCGCACATGCTTTTTTAACTTGTAAGGTATTTACTGTCAAATAATAGGTCAAACAGGTCAAACCCATTGTGAAGACCAAGATAGGAGTGAGAGGAGAAAGTGTAAAAGGACAGTGGGATGTGAGCTGCAAATGGTGGTGCTTGTTGCTTCAATTCTAAAAAGGTCAGATGAAAAAGAGAAGTGACACTATATGAGCAATTAATATGAATTATGATGAATAATATGCTAATATTGGCATTTCATAGAAATGATCCGTGTGTGATGGCCACACAGATTCCATGTTGGTCTGCATTTTCATGGGCTCTTAAGCTTAAAACAATTAGAGGAGAGCTAACAAGTTTTCTCCTTTTCAGTGGTTATATTTTATACCACCCATCTTCGGGGGTCGGAGTTTAAGATTCATCTGTATTGTCCTTCTCTTTGCTGGACAACAGAGGTATCTTTTTTCTAAGACATTGGGCAAGAGGCAGGGTGCACCCTCAAACACACTCACAGTCATTCCTAGGGGCAATTTAATATCCTCAAACAGGCTAAAACGCATGTTTTTAGACTGTGGGACACTTGGGACACAATCCCCACTGGGGATTTGAACTGGGGACCCCTCTTGCTTTGAAGTGAGGGCTAACCACCACACCACTGTGCCAACCTCATTTTAACATTGTGTGGCATAAATGGCTTAAACACAACGATATTATTGTTTATAGATGAATTTATGGTGTCTTTTTTCAGGTCGTGCCATCAAACATGTGAAAGAATCAATTTTCACCCAAGAAGCAGGAGCCAGAAGGGGTGTTCCTAAGGTTCTAGTTGTTCTGACTGATGGACGTTCACAAGATGATGTCAACAAAGTGTCAAAGGAGATGCAAATGGATGGTGGTTATCTTCTTATTTAACCATACGCAAATATTATTGTACAGTCATTCAGAATGCATTCATCCTGTTTTCTGCTGTGGTGCTTTAAAGGAAACATTTAGGAGATTCTAGTTCTTCTTCTCTATTTTGCTCACTGTGCATTACATGTAGTGCTACAATTTTATTCACCCACTCTAACATTTCATGGCCCTTTCTTTGTAATCTCATTTTCAGGCTATATCATCTTTGCCATCGGCTTTGCGGATGCAGATTATGGGGAGCTGGTGAACATTGCCAGTAAACCCATTGATAGACATGTATTTTTTGTGGATGATCTGGATGCAGTAAAGAAAATAGAAGAGGAGCTTATTACTTTTGTCTGTGAGGCTGCCACTGCCAGTGAGTAACACCACTTCATGTTTTAAACAGGGGGTACAGATAGAGTACAGATAGAGTGACAAAGGCATGTCTGGACAATTTGATTTAATGCTGAGAGCAAAGAAGTGTTAAGAATATGTTGGATAATTTCTTTCTCTTCCAGCTTGTCCATCTGTTTTGATGAGCGGTAACACAATGGCAGGTAAGAGGTGCAATGACAGGATCAATATACAGGCACAGAGGTCCAGCCATTAAGAAGTAAATGCCAATGACAGCAATAACATAATGACGGCCCAAATGGTGTTGGTAGTAATGAGCATGATAGCGGTGATTACACAGCAAGGTGCAATCTATGATGATAGGTTTCAAAATGATGGAGAAGTTTGGCCTGGTAGAGAAGGAGTACAGCACCATACCTGGAGTTTCTCTGGAGCCCGGTTCATTCAACAGCTTCCCCTGCTACAGGTTACACCGGGACGCTCTGGTGTTACAGCCAACAAAGTGAGTAATGTCCTGTACTCGTTATAAAAGCCAACGCTATTCTTAAGGCAGACAATGATATTTGGTAAATTTACTTTCTTATATTTACAGACTTGTCGAAGGTATGTAAGACCCATACATTTTTCAGGCTGTTGTCTTTTCAGCTCGAGGAGACCGTTTGTTTGTGAACAGTCTTCAAAAGTTCAAAGTTCAAAAGATTTTTAAGATTTTACAGATTCCCCAGTGTCATATTAATTCATCTGACACTGTATTAGAGTCTGAGCTTTTACTGGTTTGAGTTCTGCTCCAGAAAGGTAAGGAATGTTTTGGTACTGTCAACATGTTACTGGGACTGCTCAGTTTGTGATCGATTAACTTTCAGTTTAAGCTGAGCTTTAGACTAGAAGTGCTTAGAAGTGCTTATTTAAATAAGGCTAAAGCCCCATGATCAAAAAGAGGCTGGTGCTCTGAGCTATCAGAAAGCTCTCCGCACCCATCTACAGCAGCTGAAAGGAGACAGTGACACATTAAAGGAGAACTAGTGAATACATGGCTTTAAGACACAGCTAAGGCTTTGTGTGTGCATTTGCCACTTCCCTTTGTGTTTCAGGTATCTTCATCCTGAAGGTTTACCCTCTGAATACACAATTTCTATGATGTTTCGCTTGCTTCCTGAAACCCCGCAGGAACCCTTTGCTTTGTGGGAAATCCTCAACAAGGACAATAATCCACTGGTTGGACTAATCCTTGACAGTGAGGCTAAACTATTTCCATTTCATCTCCTTCTCTCACCAGCTTTCTTCCAAATAAACAAGATAATTTACAGTGAAGCAACATTTAGATGTTACATTGTACTAATTCATTATAGCTTAGTTTAAGCATTCATTTAAAACCATTTTAATCTGCCCTTTCTACTGAGTCAATTAAAGAGACTCTAAATGTTCTCCTTGATTGGGAATGCTTTAATTTTTTTATGGGAATGCCTTTTAATGTGAAAAAGGTCCATAACCTCAGCCACACCTCTGTGGTATCTCTGCTGCTCAAGATATTTTAGAACAGACTGTGTGCCCAGATATTTGTAATGGCCTTACAGCACTTCAGCAAAAGATTCATAGATGTCATAATTCATTTCACCATATTTACACTGTTGGTGTAATTATTTAATTATTGTCCAGAACCACTTTGTTGTGTCAAAAACAAAAACAGATTGTACTTTTTTTTGTTTCTCAAAGAAACATACCGTGAAACCCATATGTGTTCAAAGAAAGTTAAAAATGGATTGGATTAATGAGCAACTCTGTCTGCCCACAGACTCTGGAAAGACGCTGACTTTCTTCAACCACGACTACAAAGGACATTTTCAAACTGTTACCTTTGAAGGACCAGAAATCAGAAAAATGTTCCATGGAAGCTTTCACAAGGTTTGTTTTTATTTTTTTTAAAGTTTAAAATGTATTTGATTTACATTGTAAAGGAGCCACCAAATGTGTGGCATACTCATGATTCCATCCATTTTTTTTTACACCCACTGAATTTATTTCAAGGTCATAAGGACTTGGAAAAAACCTAAATCTATTAATCTATTGATATCAACCTCCTCCTATTCCAAGTAAGGCTATGGGGGGGCTGTAGTCTATCCCAGATGTCTTTCAGTGCGTGGTGGGAGTACACTTTACCTAAAACTATATGTAAACTGTATTGTTTGTACATCCATAGAATGCATGTTTTTTACTTTTTTACTGAGAGAAAAAAGTTTAGAGAAAAAATAAATTGTGGAAGAGTTAGGAATGCAAATGCCTCAGCAGCATGGAAAATGATATTGATTTGTCCTCAGCGGGCAATTTGAGTAACAAATTCTGATTTTAAAAAAGGCTTTTGCATACCATATCAACTTAATAAACAGCCAGAGAAATTACTTGCTGAACAACAATTAGTAATTTTATCCCAACCCTATGTTCTTTGAATAAGCATCATTCTTCAAGAGTCCTATTTACTTTAACAGAGATGTAACTGATCTCTTGTGTACACTGTTTTGTTGTTTCGTAAAAGACCAGTGTGTTTCCTTGACAAATTGATGTGTGTAAATGTACTTGAAGATTTATGCGGAAAATGCTGCTCCTCTGTACATCTGTTGATTTGTTTGCTTTTTTCTTTACTCAAACTCATTATGAGTTTCTAGTGAAAACAGACGAACAGCAGCCCGGCAGCTTGGTCTTTTTTTTAAATCACTATCCTTAAATGTACAGCAGTAGCTGTCCATCATTCTGAGTCTTTTGTCTTCTCCATTGTTTTCTCTTTCTTTGCCTGTGTCAGAACATGACAATGTTCAAAGAGGGAACAGATGCTGTGGACTGCCAAACAGCATGAAGGGGTTGGTCTGTGTTTAGACAAGATGGCAAGTGAAAAAGAGGAGTGTTCTTTCGCAAAGGCTTGTTTGTTTGACCTTTAAAAATTGGATTACCATACGAAGACACCACATGGGAAAAGGAGGAATACCCAGCAGGATCTATCAATGCTCAGTGAAGCACACAGGAACAGACTGATCTACTAACTGAAAAAAGAGAGAAAATAGAAACCGTTGAGGAAGACCTGACAAACAAAACGAGAAAAATATAATGAATTAGATACAGTGGAAAGGAATGAAGTTTATCTTGACTATAACTCACAAACTGCTAACAGTTATATTATTCAACAGAAGTGGATAGCTGCTATTTTCTGCCTCCCCAAATGATTTGCTGATACACTTTGAAAAGTTACTAATAGTGCCTTAAAGGTCTCCTCCTGTGCTGTAAAATGTACACCATGACTTCAGCACCTTTAGAGTCATTCGGCTTCCTGCAATGCATTCCATCTTAAGGTGTAACTCACTTATCCATATATAATTCATGACCTTAGACACTGTTAATTCACATGCCAGCAGAAATGATAAACAAATATTTCTATTAAAAAAGAAAAGATCAGCAGGCGGTTGTGTGGCCAAATGTATACAAATATATCAACTCTGGCTTATAACTTTATTTATTTTTTACGATTGTTGGTGATATTTTTCATGGTTTGTATTCGGAACCATCAAAATGCATAAGATAGTAAAATGAAATCATGGGGGTAGAACTGAAATCTGCAACCTCAATTCTAAGTTAGTTGGGTGTCTACCCACATGAACAGGGTATAATCATATGCAAACCCCATAAAACAACATTTTATTCACTGGAGAGCATTAAAAAAAACATCCAATGCTCATAATTAGACAATTTACTGATTTGAAAAAAAAAGGAAAAATGAAAGTTACTCTTAGGCTATGAACATAACAGTTTATTATAAGAAAACACGCACAAATGACAGATGTGTACTAGATTTGCCAACATTCACACTTTTATTTAATTATTGCATCAATGTCCAGTGGAATTGGATGGAATTTTTATTAATCACTGAACATGCGTATATAAGCCCTGACCCCAGAATATACTAAGATTTGATATCCTTTTAAGGCAAGTAGTCTTGGCGGAAAAATGAAATACAGTGCATATGTCATAATGTTGTAATGATCTCAGAAGGTGTCTTTCAAATAACATAACTGTTCTCAAACTTTTTAGCCAACTGATAGAAGTGCAGATGTTTTTCAGAACAGTTTGATTCAAAACAACTGGATATAGATCTATATGCCAAGTGGGTCATGCAACCAGCTATGTCAATGTCTGTAATGTAACATTTTGTTTGTATCTTTTTTCCTCACATAGCAATTTTCTTTGTCTCCCAGTTATGTTTTTTTCTAAGTAGTACATAAGGTCAGAGCCGAACTGAGTGGCAGCAACTAACTACTGTCATCTTAATAGGTTGTTTCTTTTTATGAATTTCTGTGTGATGTTCCGTTGCTCACATTACAGGAAGCTGAGGAAAGTATGTTATACAGTCATAGTGACGTCTAAAATGAACTGCTGGGCATTTACTTTACACGTGTATTTTTTAGGGTAAGCCAGTTGACTTAATTCCATTATTGATAATGGTTGACTTTCTGATATCTTAAGGTTGCCACAGAATTATTCATGACTACTGTTACAAAAGTTAATTGTCAGTCAAAATATATAATTTTGAAAATAAAAAAATGACCAGGGTAAAGGCTTAATTAAAATGAATGTGTTTACAGATTGATTAAAATAGCTCAGTGTAACAGAAAGTTGTTGACATTCAGGATATATTAAAAAAAGAAAGTTTTGATTTATGACCACATCGGCTGGGAGAGGGACTATGACTGGATAATGAATCTGGTGCTGACCTGGCAAAAAAATCACAAAAGTGGTATCGTAACAAAATTTCTGTAATTCATTCTTATTATAGTTGCTCTTTTTTATTTAATGGCATTTTAAGCTATTACCTTCTTTCAGAATTGAGGTTTGTTTCTGGCCAGTCTTGTGTGTCTCTTAAATAAAAACAAGTACAAAACAAAAAGGTTTTGTAGCCCATTGAGTCCCCCATTGAACAGAATTTTTATAGTACTGTATTTACTCTGGAAGAGGGCAGACAATGTGAAGATAGTGGTTGCGAAGACAGTGGTTGTACTTTTCAAAATTATTTCTTTTGATTCATTTAGTGGTTTGCATAGCTTTAATTTGCAATACGACAACTATGAAAAAGTTTGATATCATCAGTTTATATAATGAGGAACTACTACTCCATGATAATTTTGCGAGTAAACATCTTTGTTGTACAGGGTCAAAATAGGTTATGAGTCCTCACAAATAGAAATCTGTGCAGACATGATAGAAAAGTAGCTGCCCGGGATGGAAAATGCATCTAGAATTTATTTAATATCCATATGCTTCAGGTTCAAATTTAATCTGAGTCGCTGTCGTGGTATGCAGAAGGGCAAAGTGTGAAGGACACAAATATACACACACCTACACATATATTTGTATTTCACAGACATTAAAGTACCCTATATTCATTCCCAAACCACTACCATTAACCTCTGAATCTGCTAAATGCCATAAAATACCAGCAAAATGTCTGCACCTCAGAGGATTTTCACCACATTTATTTCACTAAAGCACAACACACATCATGTTCAGCGTAGTGGGGAGAATCGAGGATATGAGCAGAAAGTCACCACAGCCAATCAAACGGCAGCATAGAAATGGGCTCTGACATTCAAACTCCAAATTAACTTTTTCTGTTTCGTGCTGTGAATTAAAATATTTGTGACTTGAAGTGTAAGACTATACATTCTTTCAGACTGCATTTAAACCAAATATATCAGATATGTGAAATATATATATATAGATAAAGCGGAAATGCAAAAGTATTTAACGGTTTAATTCACAGAACATAATGCTGTGCTGTCCAATTTCTATATTCTGGTTCATCAAGGTTATAGTTTGAACTGTTTTTCTAATGTTTTAGCTATTTAATTACATTTTCTAATCTGCGTGTATAATATTTATTACATGTCACGGACAGCCCATATGCATTTGTTATTTGGGAAATACGCAATTTTCTAATTCACCCTATTTTTTTATTTTATTATATTTTTTGCCAAACAGCTCCATGCAACAATCAGCAAGACATCAATAAAGGTGGTGTTGGACTGTTCTGTGGTGGGAGAGAAATCAGTCTATGCAGCCGGTAACATCACCACAGATGGAGTGGAGATCCTTGGGAGGATGGTTCGATCCAGAGGCAGGCGAGACAGCTCTGCTCCAGTCAGTATATAATACTACTTTGGATCTCTGTAATGTGCTAATTAATATATCAAGACAGCAGAGTGTGGTGTCTTTGAAAAATTATGCTTTTTGTGCCATTTGGAATGATTTGATTAAAATAAAGAAACACAGTAAATGTATACTCTATACTCCTATACTCCAATTAACCTAACATGCATGTTTTTAGGAGAAAGTTGAGGAAAACTGGAGAGAACCCACACATACGACGGGAGAACATGCTGTCTTTTAACTTTAGTTTAATTTAGCTAAATACATGAAGCCTAAATCGAGTTTTCTGTTATAAAATAGCACAGATAAATCTTGTGGATGTACCCAACATAAACAGTTTTCAACCAGCTGACAGGATCCCACACAAGACGGCAGTCTTGTCATGTTGTCTGGTATATTTTTAAGTTTTAAGATAAAATTGTATCCCTGTGGTTTAATCTTAAAGGATGTTTTTACATTGTTGTGTTTGTTACATGTATAAAGTCTGACATAGATTTAAAGGATGGATGACAATCAGTGAGCGTGGATGTTTACATTACTGTGCAATCTGTCCCTCTTCTAATGGGAAAAGTTCACAAAGATCTTCCTCATTAGATCAGCATGTCATCCTAAATATTTGACCTACCAGCTACACTTCATGCATCTGTTGTCCTCTGCATTCCAGCTACTAATTTGACCTTGTGCGGTAAACATCAGCTTTCATCTTTCTCATTCAAAACGCCACATAATCAACACATGACATCATAGCTGATCCTCATTTTTACTGTTACCCTTAGTTTAAGTATTGTGTGTAAATAGTGCTAAACGGCTAACCTTTGATTTGCTTTATTGATAGTGTTGGCTAAGTATGCATGTCTATACTCATACTTGCATGTATATGTTAACAGTTCCAACTCCAGATGTTTGACATCATCTGCAGCACATCCTGGGCCAGCAGAGATAAGTGCTGTGAGCTGCCGGCACTGGTAAGGAAATAAGCCTCTTCTACCATTAAAAATGTGCGTTAGTTTAATACCGTGGATAAAACAGCTGCAAGGAATTAAATAGATAATGACAGGTCAAACCCAGATTTGATTTATTGTGATTCAACTAACCATTTTATGAGATTATCCAGTCACCCAGCTATAAAGGAACCAACAAACCGATAGAATTGAGGAATATCTCTGTCTATAACACATTTGACTATACACATAGTCGGGTTAAAAAACAATGCATGCATGATGTGAATTGAATTATAGTTGATCACTGATTATTCTCAGATGCTTTGATTAAATTCCCCTGTCAGTTCTGAAGCGAAAATTTTACAGCTGCAATGCAGCAAATCAAATATTGGACTTTTCTGCAAATAAATTCCTACATATCATCTCAGTGGAGTGTTGACATGAATAACAAAGGAGAAAAGAAGGCTCTGGTTGCCAGTTTTCATACATACATTATACATTCTTGTGTGTTTAGTGTTTTTTATTATATGGTATAATTCTAACTGCTTATATGAAGTAGTAGTAGTTTTATTGTGCTTTAAATCTAATACTGATCCAAAACAAACTAAAGATATGTGTTTTCAGAGGGTTGAGGAGCAGTGCTCTCCTATGCCTCACGCCTGTACTTGCTCCCAGGACAGCAAAGGACCTCCAGGACCATCGGGACCACCTGTAAGAACATATACAACATTTTATTTGCTCAAGACACCAGTTAATACAACAAACCTGCTTTTTTTTCTTTCAGATTCTTTGTTTGCTTATTTACTCTGAGCTATTTTTTATTCAGTGCAGTCATATCAGAAAATCTTACCTCATTGTGTTACATACCCACTCTCATTCTGTCTTTGTGCTTTCTCAAGGTGTTTGTGGGTGAGAAAAAAAGTCATATTTTGACTTTTAGGATGTTTGCCCAGTCTAACAACCATTGAGCAATCATTGAAAATTTGCATAGAAATTGTATGGAATAAGAGTTGATTTATTTAGGTTTAATTTAATTAATAACTAACCTGTTCATGATTGAAAGTAAATAGAAATCAATTCCTATTAAATGCTATGTATATTTGTCATCTTCATTTGATAATGAGGTCTCATTCAGTGATTAATCAACATCTGAACAGCTTTTATGTGGTTTTGTTTTGGATGCATTGGATGCTATGTGGAATAAATCTGAGTATATTTAGTAGCTCTACTCCTGTCACGTAACAGCAGGTTAATCTTGGAACAGCTTGTGAGATGTGTGCAAGTGAATGGAGTTTAGAAATGAAGATTTATTGTACAGACTGTTTCAGCTTCTCTTGTTCCTGCTCTTTTTCATTTTTCACTTTGTCCTTGTTTGCTCCTTCACATACTGAGCAGGTGGATTGTGTGTATTGACTCCAGTTAAGCCCGAGAGACTAATTGTGGAGGAGTTCCATTTATCACAGCCCACAAGAATTCTCCCTATTTTTGTGCATGACTGTAGAGGAAGATCTGCTTGTATGTGGATTTATATCCAAAGGTCACAGCCCTTCCTTTGTCTTTGCTTAGGCTATAACTTCAGTGTTCACTATATTTGGATATTTATTTTGCAATCACAACTTTCTGAGAGTTGAAACAAACAATAATATAATTTTCTTTTATCTGTTTTCAGATGGAAGAAATTATTGCAAGGATTGAAAAATTTTTAATGTTGAACTATTGCCTTGGTAATCTATCAAGTTTTCCCTCCACAACCCTTCACCTCAATTTTCTCTCCTCGGTTTAACCGATAGATCGATACAGCGTAGCAAATAGCTTAACTTTCAGTGTTTCATCTTTTCTTTCTTTTCTCTTTTGTTCTTCCCTCCACTTCCCCCTAATGATTGAGGCTCTATTACTCCCTTTATCAGTTTAAGCCTCTCTGTGCCTCTGTCTTCCATCTGTCAGTGTTTGATGCTCATTCCTGAAATGGAATGGCTTCTAGACTCACTTTTTAATTGCAGCTCTTGTGCCTTTGGTTTAGCTGCTCAAACATGTATGGATTCTTATAATTTGCTGAAGTCCTTCAGTGTTGTAGTGGGGGGTTTAGGAGCAATACAATTGCAGTTTTATAATGCTCAATATAATTTTTATTATTGTACACAAATGTGAATTATCCTACAAAGAATTAAAAAATACATTTCTGCAGGCCAGACATCTCTCCAAATCATTAGACCTTAGAAAAAATGCCAGATCAAAGAATTATTACAGCATGCTGGAAATAGATAAGGGGATCAAAAGATTTTTCTATCTGAAAGATCAATTCTGAAAAAGTGTAATAATTGATGGAGTGTGTCCTTTCCTCTATTACTTATTGACAACCTATTTTGATTGTCACTTTGCCCTTTGGCAGAGATGATCATACTAATAACAATGTTTTTCCCTCCTGGGATCACTTTTTATTCTATGTCAAGTGTTTCCAGTCTTAAAGGACATCTGGCCTCTTTCTTTTTCTATGTTTGTCATGGTATTGATCGTCTTAACTGACCAACAGTCTGTGGTGTTTGATTTGATGCAGCTAAATAGCGAACATCTGCCAACAATCAGTGTAAAATTAAGAACAAGTGATGCATTAACTTCCTTCTCTGTTAGTTCATATTGAACGGTGAATATTGCTTATTTAAGAGACATTGACATCAAATAATTATATTTGTTCAAGCAATCATAAGTATTGCTGCTGTTAAAAGTGCAGTTCAGTTTCTATGTTGGTTTAGGAATGCATCCAAAAATAAAATATTAAAAAGTAAAAAAACAAATCAAAAGTATCACTATTTAGAGGTATGACATCCCAATAGTGTGAAGGGGGAAGGGGAAACACAGAACAGGTTGAAAAACCCCCATTAAACCGATCAATCTGATGCATCAAACTCATCATATTGATGGACCTTGTTAGGCCTTATGAGTGGGAAAACATTTTAGTGATCTGGATACATGCTGCTGGGTTTTGACTTTTCATTCAAGTGAATGATGAAATTACATTTAGGTGTTGTTATTAGCAATTATATAACATTTTCATAAGAGCTGCAAAGACTCTTAAACAAGCCAATATAACTCCTGGATCCCCCTACTTACATTTCACCTATTCTGCCCGTCTGGATGAAAATTTAAGTAACTAAATATCTGCTCCATGGCTCCTGGAAAATACTTACTTAAGCAAACAGAGCAACAGGATATATCCCACATAAAGTGATAATGACCAGATGCGTCTTGTTTGCCCTCAGATGAGTTTTAGAGGGGTCAGCCCAGGGTTTTTGGCCCTAGATTCTTGCTGTGGTTCACAGGTGCAGTGCAACAAACTGCAGAGCATAAACATTTAGAGCAATAAGATGACCGCCTCATCATGTCTATTTCCAATTCAAATGAAGAAACTAACAGTTACTTTTAAACATGAAATAAAGAGTTTGTGTGTCGTGTCAGTTTTTATTCTCTTTTTGGCATTCCTTTTTCAAAACCATAGCCTTAACTTAATTCTACATTCTGTTTTGGTCTATTTCAGGGTGGTCCAGGCATAAGGGGAGCCAGAGGAGACAGAGGAGAGCCAGGAGTGACGGTTTGTGAAATGTTCTGAAATTCTTTTCTTCCGAGGCATCAGCAGAAAATCAGTCTCAAATCTTTCACGATGATGTAGCATGCTCAAAAGTATAGGAAGAAAAAGCCCGCCTCAGGAGGTATCAGTAATCAGGTGTTCAGACAGACGCTTTTGCCTGGCAGAATTTCATTATATGCTGTGACAAGACACTGGCCCACATTATTATGGGAAAAGCTGTCAGAATGAACTGGAAAGGCTGTCATCATTTTTAGATTTACGGATCTATAAATTGAATGGTGAACATCAGACAACAATCCCAACTAGCAGAGCTATGTGATCTTACTTGGAAATTTTCATTGAGACAGAATTCTTGAAACAAAAAAATTAAGTGTACTAAAATGACAGGGAACCAAGAAGACTTGTTAGTATTTTAAGAACAAACTGCATTTATTTTTTCCTGTACATCCAGCAGTAAAACAACTGAGAGAAGCTAAATGTGTCAAGTGATAGCCCGAAAACAATTACCGGGAAGATAAAACCTTTCCACCAGAAGCCCTTTAGCTTACAGCGTATTTAAGTACTTTTTATTTGAATGAGGGGCACATCTCTAAAAGCTACCTTATCACTTCTCCAGATGTTGTCATTTTCTTTTTGGCCTCAAGCTAAAAGCAGATTATGATCACCACTGTCACTATTTTGTCTACAAAACAAGACTTTGCTTTGAAAAAATCTTCCCCAGACTATTTATAAAAGATTTACCATAAGGTTTATTGCTGCCGTTTTTATTATTCATTTTATCTGTTCCAAACTATTGCAAATCACCCAGCTGTGGTCGTCAGCACACAACACAATACAGCTGGAAATTTCAAATGTTCTCAACCCCCATGAGAATGATTTAATTTGGGGTTCGAAATGTTTCTAAGCTTTTCTTCTTTTAGAGAACTTGCATTAGCACTACTGATCGACAACACATTAACTACAGTGTGGCAGCCCACCAACAAAACACAAATTTAGCCTGACAAGATCAATCAAGAGGATCAATAAATAAGGCTCAATAAATAAATGAATAGAAACTGTTTTTATTCAATAGTTGTGGCCTCAGTTGTGGTTCGTGAGAATTTCTCCTCTTTTGCATTGCCTTTGCAGGACCTCTTTCTCTACCTCATAAACTTCAATCAAATGAGCTGCTTAACCAGCACAGCAAAAATGTAGTTGGATGGCCTACTGTAATGATTAGTTTCCTCCTGAAGGTTTCATTGTTATTTCGTTGTGAGCAGGAATGGCCATGTACATTTTATGTGGTTTGATTTGCACAGTCTTTAGCTGGAATGGGCCTGGGTTTTTGTTAGATCAGTTAAAGTTATAAGTTAATTATTGGTTTTGTGAAACAATGTTTCCAACTCATACATATTTCACCACTCACCTGAATGTTTAACACAGAAATGACAATTGAACAATTTAATAGAATTTAGCTATTTTATCTTATTTTCACCAGAAACAGACCGATCCCTGTTTAGGTTTTGAGTTGGTGTTGTTTTGGTTTGGTTTATGAATTTTACTCATCCTCTGCAGTAATTGTAACATATAATTTTAGGGTGCTAATTTGGTTCAATATGGCATTCTCTGAACAGGGACCTCAAGGACCAACTGGAGAAATTGGCCCTCCAGGACCTTCAGGACCACCTGGTCCTCAAGGACCCAGTGGAATCTCCATACAAGGACCTCCAGTAAGTTTTGGAAAAGGAAAAAACATTTTTATCATTGTAAGCTGCAAGTTTTAAATTTCTTACAATGCTTTTTGACTATTATGGTTTATGGAACAAACAGCTACAGTCCTGTTCTGAAGACATATGAAAAAATAAATCTAAAATGGTTTTGTTCCCAGACAATTACATTGAATTATGTTGGAACTTGGTTACTAAGGGTGTGCTGTTTGCCATTTGTCTGAATATAATGATTCGATGCTGCAGACATTGACTTCCTGTCCAAATGCAGAAGCCTGCTGAAGTTGTTCTGGGGACTCATGGTGGTCCGGCAGCTTAGAGAGATAACGCAGTCCAGCGGAGATGCTGTGACATTTTTCTTTGTTTACAGGGGGCTGCCGGGGACAAGGGGGAAAGAGGAGAGACTGGACCTGCTGGACCAATGGTAAGAGGTTTTTTCCTAATCAGTATAGTAAGATGGCTTGTTTGTGAGAAATATTGATTGGATTTCCAAACAAAGTGGATCCCAGAGTGGCAAATATTTCCCAAATGTCTGTACACAGTGTTTTCTTTACCACAGTATATTTCTCTAAATAAAAGACTCTTACGAGCATTTGGGTTATAACAACAGGTTATCACCAACCAGTTATTATACACCCAACTGATTGTGTATTGTTCTACTCAGTGTATGTGCAGGGAATGCAAATTAACTGAGGTGCCATGCGAATGCAGACACATAGAAAAGAACACAATCAGGGCTGTTATTGGCTTTACTTCTGTCTAAATTACCTAATTTTTTGGTGATGTCAGTTATTTGTTTCAATCACCACCATACATCAACATTGTTTGTTATGAATAATCATGATACTTTTGTCAAACTCTTTATTGATGTAGTGTGGGTGATGGATTCAGCAGTATAACAGCTTAGGAGAGACACTTCTCCAGAGAGAAGAGTGAACATGAGACATAGACCATCTTTTTCTCTAAAATTATCACTCAAATACCCTGATTTAATTTACTGGGGTTTTTGAGACGGACAAATAACTTCAAGTGTACATTTCAGAAGCAAGTTTCGTATCCAGAATCAAGCCTACTCATCAGACTCATTCTCTTTAGTTTTCTATGCTTCAAGCTGCCTTTTTTAAAAATAAATAATCGTTAATCCTACTTGATATTCTATTATTCTATTATTTCTCATGTGGTATTTGTTGTCCCTGAAGAAAGTAGAACTACAAAACTGAAATCATTACGAAAGCTGGAAGACAAGGTGAGCTGACAGGGAGATGGACAAGAATAACAAAAATATCTAAGCACACAGACAGAAAGCAATTTAATGGAATCGCTGAGATGTGAATAATCGCCAGCCTCACAATTATTGGGAAGTGAACCAATGAAAGTAATACTTAATTAATTCATTGTATTCTCCTAAGGAGCCCTGGACACCAGCAAAGACGGAATCAGAGTTCTAATAAGTCAGCAGAGATATTATAATATTGGGAAAGATTTGCCATAAAATCTTTTCTTTTTTTTCTTCTTTAAAAAACGTAACTTGGACTTCTTTTTATAATACTTCTTTATTACATGCTTGTATTACACACTTAGTGTCATTTAAATGAAAGCCTAAGACTGCATTTTGAATGTGGTACATTAAGCCCTTATTCACAGAAATAGTTTGAACCTAAATTCACAATGTTCTGATAAAGTGGGTCAGCTCATTTGACATCTGCTTTGATATTTTTGTGTATGTTTTTGTGATATTTGTCCTGAACGGTACAATATGAATCATATTTTTCTTTACTTCCACTAAATTATATTTACTTACTATTTAAACTAGTTGTACCAAGCATCAATCTCTCTGTATGGCACTGATAACAGACGTTTGTATATTGATGGACAGTTTTGGCATAGAGCAAAAAACAAGCTTTGTTATTGTCATATTTCCCATCTGTGTTTTATTGCTTCCATCTGCAAATCGATGATGTCAAACTGGCACATGACTTTAGCTTCAGAGCACATTTTAACATGATGGGATGATCACTTTCATATGGTTTAGTTCATCCTTGAAGTTCTACTACTCTAGTCTTATTCAGGGCTGTCATCAAGACTGACTGTCTTTTAAAAAAAAAGCATCTCTACTTTGAGTATGGTCTGTATTATGACCCGGGTAAACCGTTTTTTTTAAAGCAAAAACAGGTTTAATTTGTCTCACTGCTGTTCATAATCATTTGTCTGACTGTGGTTGTTCCATTTTGGGAATTTTATTCATTCATATGACTGTTCTTGTGGTTTGAATCAGTGGATTCACAGTTGTTGGGGACTAATACTGTAAGTGACTCTGTCTTTGTGTCTGCAGGACCTTGTTCATTTGTATGAACCCAGTAACAGCAGTCGTCATAGACGAAAACAACACACTTTTTCCAGCCAGCACTTTCTAGTGCCTTTTTTCTGCATTAATATTCTCTGCTATTAATAAAAGTTGGCAGTGCTGCCCTGCTGCACTGTTACAGAGTAATAATGTGTTAGTCGAGAAAGAGGAATATGAATGGCTGTGTGTGGCGCAGTGGGGGAATATTGTAGCTTCCAGGGCCCTCATGTTATAAATAAGGGACCACGGAGAATATCACAACTATAAAGCATCAGTTATCTCAGTTTCTTTCCCCTCGCTGTTTCTTTCACTCAGTCTGAGTTCCCCACTGTTGTAAATACAAAGTAACCATGCTGCCAGACTCTTCTCTAGCTTAGTTCTAATCTGTATAATCAGTGAAATGCTGAGAGTGAGTGGATGTCTGTGTGTTCGTCCCCCTGGTGTGTCAGCGTGGATTTTATTTATCAGTTCTGTTTTGTTTTGTCTAAGGATGGTAAAGGTATTTTATGCGTGATTGGTTGTCCAATCTTGTGGATCTGTTGATGTTGCTGCCCCTCTTATTTACTTAATCCATTCAGGCCTGAATGTTACATTTTTTTAGCTTGAGTTCTTAAATCTGCTTGTTTGTGGAAGTGTGTTTGCAGGTGGTATAGATTGTGTAAACATAATCCTGCAACAACATAATGCCAAGGCTGATCTGTTGATGCATCACAATTCTGATTATGTCTTCCATCTCTTCATTTACAAAACATGGAAGATACTGTAGAGGGTAATTACCTCTGCGTATATTTGTGTAATTTTTATAATATTAATTTTCCACGCATGATGTATTGCAAGTGGAGGGGGGTGGAGCGACGCTGGAGCCTATCACAGCTGTCACAGGACAAGAGGCAGGGTACATCCTGGACAAGTCGACAGTCCTTCACAGAGACTGAGACAACCACGCACACTCACTCATACACTCAATTTGGTGTCTCCAAATAACCTAACGTTCATGTTTTTGGACTGGGAGGAAGCCAGAGAATCCGGAGAGAGCCCACACAGCCATGGGTAGAAGAGGCAAACTCCACACAGAAAAGCCCCCAGCTGGTACCCGAAGCAGGAATAAGTAGATGTGCCAATCAGATAAAAATAAAATGAATTTTTATACAACCTTCAGAATGTCAAAATTCTGGTCCAGTTTTATGAAAGCTGTCCAAAAACTTTTACCAACTGCGAACTTCTGGAAAATAAGTATAAGTTTGTCTTTTAGGATCAAAAGCTTAAAGTTCCAAAATAGCTAAACAGGTGCTAGTACTGCCAGGAAAACCAGCAGTATACTGATTTTATTGCTTACTAGTGGTAATTTGTTTTCTGAAAAGTATTCAATGAGGCATCATCTAAAGTAACACCCTGATATACAACAACGTCCAATAGATTAAGGATACATTTTCTATTTACAGAGGTCTGAATGAAAACAGCCTGAGACAGAAATGTCCATTATTTTCAAATTTTCAACTGCATTAGAAATGTTTTGTCTCGATCCCAATAGTCTGTTCTTAATAGTTATGAATGAAGTGTTATGGAGGCTATATTTAGCTAAATATCTGTATATTAAAAATGTTCTAATGGCAATCTGTAAGCAATTCATAAATCCTTATTTTTTTATAATTTTACTTTAAAACTTTAAAGCTCTCGGTAATGTTTCTCATTTAAACTAATGATCAAGTTGTGTAGTCCTCGGCATCCGAGTTTTGCAGACATGTCACGGGAGAGTACACGTCAGCCAACAACAGATCAACAGTACTATTATTAATCATATTAGGCCTGTCCTCTGTGACCCTGTCCTGTAATCTGTAGAACCGTTAACAGTGTTTACTGTTTTACAGGCCTTCCACTACAGTGAAGTGCAACAATAAATCACCTCAGCAGATAATCTATGTTTTGGAACCGGTTGTGTGCAGTGACCTGCAGAAAGGTGCATGAGGGAAAAATAGGACAAGAGATGGAACATTAAGGTTACTTGATATTAAAAAGATTGACTGTGTCCCGAGGGGTATAGGGTGGATCTCCTATAAATCAAATGAATCTTTTCAGCTGAATTGTTGCTGAACAAGACGGAAAACTATTTGTTTGGCTGTTAAAGCTTCTGTTGACCATGTCAGTTTATGACAAATTAACTGTGACCAACACATACTTTTATGAGGACATAACTGAAGTGAACGTGAACCTTTTCAAACGCTGTCATCAACTTTCTTTGGCAATTTAAGTTCAGATTAAGTTTTTAGAGATTAACATATTGTATGAGTAATGCAGTCATGTATGTTTTGACTTTTTTTAGGGTGTTGCTGGAAGTCCCGGTTCACCTGGGAGAGAAGGTCCGCCAGGAGTGAGGGTAAGACACACCACCTCTACTCGATTACTGATGACATTTATAATGATGGCTTTGACCCTCATCAGGAATAGATTCTTTGAATTGGCTGTTGATATTAATAAAAGTATGATTTAAAAAGGTTGAGTCTAACAACATAACATTACCATAACAGCATTTGTTTGGTTTAAAGGAAGGGAAAACAGTTAGGAATTTTGTTTGAATACTTTTTTTAAAAATTCCCGGTGAAACATATTTTTTTGTAAATCTGAAAATGTCTCTGTCGTAGAAATATAAACTTGATAAAATTAGTTTAATCAACTAAATTACCGTTTTAAACATTTTAAAATATTATTCACATATATGTTCAGAATTCTTACTCATGCATCTCAAAAATGTTTATACAGGATGACATTTACATCCCCTTTAAACTCTAAAACGGCTGTATGTTACCCAAGCTCAGAATGGGTAAAGATGTACAACTTGCTCTTTAAGGGACTGAAATTGTGGCACCTCATATTAGAAGATATCTTTACATTCAAAATTCCTGGGATAGTTTTCACATTTGTTTTGGGTTGTTCTCCATCTGTAGCATAAATAACCATACAGCTGGCTTTGCAGAGTGTACATTGTTATTTTATTTATCCAGTTAATTCTTTCTTATGTCACACCATTGATAAGCATTGGTTCAGTCACGCCATCACACTGTGTGTCACACATGTGTTTTACATTGCACAATTTGTATGTTGTATGCCTCAGACTATTGTCTAGTCCAGGCACTCCTCATACTTTTTTCTTATTTTCTTTCTTTTAGAATAGATCTTATATTGTATCTCATTTTATCTCATATAAGTCTTGCTTCAGAATTTGAAATATCATATTTCTTTTTTCCTTTTGCCTTATCTCTCCTTCTTGGAAGGTTATTGATGATTTGCCCAGTGTTTTTATGCTGTGGTGGGTTCTGTTGCAGATCTTCTGAGTATCAACCTCTGTTTCCTCTGTGTATACTCAGACAGTTTTATTGTGCTGAGTCCACTGGTGCTTTCTTTATTCCCTAAATAAACAAAACTGTTGGCCACGGCCAATGTTGCCACTTCAGTGAATTTGGGTTGTTGTGAGCCAAATATGATTTCAGTCTCCTTTCAGAGCCCTTTCATTGCATATTGTGGGTTCACAGCAATGGCTTCCAAAAGCCTATTTCTTGCTTCCAATCAACTCCAGACATGGAATATTGATTGAGAAATCAGAAAGTAGGAACAATGATCCTTAGAAGCAGATTTTGGTACCTTAGGACGAAAACTTTTTTTAAAAATCCAATTCAAATACCGTCATATTAAGTATCTTGCAATGTTAACACATGCATGAAACATAAATGTAGTTTTGGCATGTTTTATTATCTTTTTCCAAATTGTGTATGATCTAACTGTATTAACTGTATGTTTCCAACTGTCAACGATATTTAAATTCACAGCTGTTTTTGTCTGTTTGCTCATGTTTCTTTATAAACTGCTTACGTCTTTTCACATTTTGAAAGAGTCCTGCCAGGGTTTTCAAAAAAGGAAAACATTCATGCTAGATGAGAAACCCTTCATAAATACTGGTGCCAGCTGGCCATCCTTACTGCTGACAGTGGAATCGAATCTAACAGTGCCCAGCAGAGCTGTAAATACCAACACAGAAATGCAGCCATAGGGTAAAGTGCAGCAAAAGAGCTTTTACCCAAATGTGTAATATGATAACAGAATAGACCTGTCCTGGTCTGGATCATAATCCATCTGTTGCTGAATGAAAGGAGTTGAAGAACTCACCTCAGTGGTGCTTATGCAAAAAATGTGAGTGGAATTTTGAACCACTCATATGATTTTATTTAGGGAATTTCTATGTTGATTCTAGCAGTTTCTCACTGTACCAAGTAGGTTTAGACTTTGCAAATATTTATCAAGAAAGGTATGAACAAGTGTATGTTTTCCAGAAATGTCAACCTGTTTCTTGTGTGATCTGCTTGTTAGTGAGGCTGCTTCGTCAGTTAGTTTTCATGAAAACCTTTACTCTAAAGTTGAAGATTGTAGATATATTCTTTATCACAACAGAAAATCTCAGACTGATCTTTATGCTGAATGTTTCCAGACTTTTTTTTTTAACAGTAATCATATTCAGTGTTATGCAGTTGTTGTTCTGTTTTTCAGATTCTCTTAGCTTAGACAAAAGATCTAGAACAAGAAATAACCATCAGATGTGTGGAAAATACAAGGTTTTATTCCAAGTAGTTCATCACCAGTCTGCACTACAAGATTACAAATCAAGGGAAAACATGTAGCTTAGCAATAGTGGAAGACAAAGCCTTCAACATGTTATTACATATCATATTTTGTATAACCAGACAATTGGCCCATATGATTCTCAATGTGCGTCAGATGAAAACAGTATATTTATTGTTGTTCAGAAGACACTGAGTGTCAAAGATACATTCAAACATCTTTAGGGAACCAAAGTTTAGACATTATAATATGTTCAAGTACCATGATGTGATTTGCTGAATTGATCTATATCATCATCACTATATCAGGGTCTCCCAGGTAACAATGGACCACAGGGACAACAAGGACCTCCTGGACCTGTTGTAAGTCTGTTTTCACGTTATTCTCATCAGTCTGATTCTGTAAAACTGCTTCAACTCACCATCTTTCTCCATCCGTCTCTTTCTTTTAATGTTTTCTAAGGGAGCCCCAGGAGCTCCAGGTGCTCCAGGACCAGGTGGACCAGCGGGGTCTCAAGGGGATCAAGGAGTACCTGTGAGTTTTTCTTTGGATACATTTTTAAAATCATCTTAACTTCCCTCTTATGAATGGATTTAGCTTGTTTGTCCTCTGAACAGATCACAACAATAATCGTATATCATTGCTACAACATTCTGGCTATATATGGTCAAAAGGGCTCGTCCTCACACACTGTGTCCTAAGACTTTGAAAAATAAATTGTATATAGAAAAACTAAATGTTGGCTTAACTCACCTCACAAAATAACCGCAGGCCAACTTTTATTAAGCCTCTCAGAAGAAGAACTGTGGTAAACCCCACGAGCACATGCAAGGATGGACTGTGATGCAGTTGACAGGTTGTCAACAGATGAACATTTTGGAAAAGTCTAGTTTTTAAGATTGGTTGTTGTCACATTTTCGGATATTCACCATTCTGACCTGGAATGTTAATTTCTAGTTTCTCAACCATCTGAATTCCCCCCCATTATTTAAACAGAAAGGAAAAGAGGAATTAAATCAACTCTGAATGCCTCAACTTTTTTGATAAAAATTATTAAAGATCCTGATGGGCCTTTAATCGACTCTGGCTGTGTTATGGGACTCCGATTTTCCATGTCTCTGATAAGATGGTAGACATTTATGTGCCCAGGAAAACATGGAATATCCAGGCAAATATATTGAAGAGGTCCAGGGCCAGATTTTTATTGGTGAGGCCGGCATTTCAGTTCAGTGACTGTGTCAGTTGTTGGCAAAGACATTCTGTCATCAGCAGTATAACATACATCTAAAATCCCAGGCCTTACACACATCTTTGTCTAACTCTTCCCATCAAGCTACCCATACTCAAACACATTCAAAAGCATATTACTCATATTTCCCTAAGAAGAAAAAAAACAGTCTTTTAACAAAATTGTTACAGTATATCACATCAGTATATAGTTAATAGCTTCTGAATTACAATTAATCAAATATGCATAATTTTGGTTAAAGCAAAAAGTGTGATCATCAAAAGCACAGGTGTCACTCTGTTTGGACATGCACTAATATAGTGCTTAGTTTTTGGGGTGCATATTCTTTACACAAAGGATTGGGATGTTCTTTGTCAAAACTAACATTGTTTTGGGTAATTCTAGGGGGGAAGAGAAGGAAAGATGAGACGAACATCTATTATGACATCTGACATGAATATTGAAATAGGGAATGTATTGGAATGGCTGCTTTTGAGAGATATGCACCTGCAAGGTGTCTCTTTCTTTTATTGTGCTTTTATGTTCCAGGGTCCTGCTGGTACCAAAGGCGATAAAGGAGAAAGAGTACGTTTTTTTTCACTGCACTCTTGAGCTGCTGTTTCGAAAATCAAGTTTTACTGTTCCATTCTGTGGTGGAAATTCTGTTATTTTGCTCAAGTAAAACTCTGACAATTACTCACTTGTGCTTCACGCCCATGTTTTGAAGAAATCACATTATTCTCCAGAACACAGTTACTGCTTCTCATTCGCCTTTTGTGCAAACATACACTTTGTTTCTTAGCCACTCACTCAACCTTGTTTAGAGCAAACCAAATCCAATCAGTATTAATAGTTAGAATTTGCGGCAGTGCTGTAGTGAATTCTTGCTGACACAGTGGCGAGGCCATCACTGCCGAGGGCTTCAGAGCCATGCCACTTGCCAACTTAAATCAAACCTTTCATTCGTGTTACTTTTTCATTTAATCAACTGCTTGAGTCATTTCTACTCTGCTACGGTTAATTTTACCTCTGAAAAAAAGTCAAAATTTCTGAAAAACTACGTAAGTCAGCAAAGTTAAACTCATAAAAAAAGTGCTTTCTCTACTTTCTTTCTTTTTAAATTTGTCACATTTGATGGGCATAAATGAAAAAGCCACAGTAACTATTAAATTTGGAGAGTACTCCCATCCATTAATTTCTCCACTACTGGCTGGGGAGTTAATTTTCTTTCTGTTATGCGAGTCATAAAATTCTGATCACTCTGTTTGTTCAACAGGGTGATGTGCAGTCCCAGGCAGCGGTGAGAGCTATTGCACGGCAAGTGTGTGAACAGCTAATTCAGAGTGAGTAATACTCAGACATACTGTATGACCCAGTATACCTTTTTTTTATGTTTTCATTGCAAATAATATCATAGTGGAGTTTCACCATTATAATTTGTCTTTAAAACATGCAACTTCAAACATTTTTTTAAATGAAATGAATAAATAAAAATGCTAAAATACTCATAACTGTTTGTGTATTCTCTTTGCAGGTCACTTGTCCCGCTATAATTCCATCTTGAACCAGATCCCCTTACAATCATCAGTGTCATTCCGAGCAGTACCAGGACCACCTGGAGAGCCAGGAAGGAGAGGCCTTCCTGGTCCTCAGGGAGAACAAGGTCCTCCTGGTAGACCGGGCTTCCCCGGTACCAATGGCCAGAATGGCCGACCGGGGGACAGAGGTGAGACTGAGCAAAGATTTGAAAATGGAGTTGTTAACAGGATGGAAAAAGACTTTCACAGTTAATACCTGTATCATTTAAGGACTATATGTTTTTGGGGAAAATGTCATCAATATTTGAGTCAGCATAAAAGTAAACATCAGTATTTTATTTGAGTGCAATGCCTTAACCAAATGAACAATGTTATTTCTGTCACACTCCTTCTGGGCTGGACCGGAGCAGTCTGTCCACATCAGACGTTACAGTCTATAAAAGGATGCATTTTTATGTTAACAAACATTCTAATAAAAAGAAAAGAGACAGTACAGTTAATCCAAAAAATACTCATTCTTTAAGTTGATGTGTCAACCTTCCTGCTTTGTTTTGTTGGTCTGGCCTGCTCCCACAATCACCAGACAAACCCACAGCGCTGGCCAGAAGGCGGTGACTTCATTACCATGAGGTCATTCCTCTGCCATTAGAGGACAAACAGCATTTACGAGGCTTCTTCTTCAGCACTGAAACACGCAAATCGCACCGTAGAACTGTGAACCGAAAGAGCCCACACACACACGAACACCCACGCACACAGAGCAAGAGCAAGCCGAGAGCTGCTGAACGTCTGTCAGGATTGTCCAGCTTTGGTGTTCTTTGCTCAGCAGTTCAAACCTTTGATTCTCCTAAGTGAGATTTATGATCTGTAGCCGATGGTCCACCAAACAAATACACACTGCCCTACTGTTTTATAGGCTGAACTGAAAGCAGAGTCAGCCAAATATTACATGTTTGGCAACAATATGATAATGCAAACACCAGAAAAAAGGAGGATAAATCTGTGCAACATAACGGATCAGTTTATATTTTAGTACCAATGGCCCAATTGACTGTTTTTTTCTTTGAGTTCATGCAAAATGTCTTGCGTTGTCTGTCCTCAGCCTCACCATTAGCAGTTGAGATGGTCATAAAAGCAGCAGGACAGAAAATCTGCAGATCAGAGTTTAATGTGTTTCTCTAATATGGGTTTGTATGAAATATTCCATGAGGTCATTCAGACAGCTGCATCACGGAGCAGAAGCAGAGAAAAGACTGTACGTTATCAGCCTCATAATTCAGGCATCCATTTATTCAGGACACTTTTAACCAAAGAAAATGGTTCAAAAGGTTAATCAAAGAGGTTTTAAAACATTAGTGCAGTATTTCATGATTTTAAAAACTCATTACATGTTTTAGGGGCTGTCAGATAAATGTACTAAAGAAATAACCAAGTTCTTAGAAGTGTGATAGGTAAGTACTACATGCTATGTACTGCATTGTATATTTGCGCCTCTACGTGACTATGGCATTAACACTGTTGTGCAGCTGCCTGGGCACAAAAAACAGGCAAAAACTATACATCTGAAGTCAGCTGCACTTTGTGTTTCCAGGTCTGGCTGGACAGAAAGGAGAAAGGGGCAGTCCAGGGATTGGAAGTCAAGGACCCCGAGGACCACCTGGTCCTCCTGGTAAGATACAGTGAAGTTCTGAGGGTACAGAAGCCACTGTCTGCATTTTCTATTAAGTCTCAATGTTTAAAAAAAAAAAATTTTTTAAGTTCTGTGAGAAAACAAGTAATAATTCTGTTCCTAAGCACATATTATTTCTATTTGCAGTCTAGCTCTCCAGACCTCTGAATTGTGTGACATTTTTCATTGTGCTGCTTCTAAAACAAACCTAAAGTGTTTCAAATTGAAACAATGAAATGAAAGAGCCCAGTGATTGAACAAGTTTCAAATGCACGTCACTCTCTATTGAATCTCTTTGAGAGAAATGAGGGGAGATTTTTTTTTCCTTTTAGTGCTGTATGGAATTTGAGGTTTGTGAAAATATTTCAGTGTCTGGACTTATTTTTTGTGCCGTGATCAGAAGGCAGCTCACAGAATGGTTGAACAGATTTCCCTTGAAACTTTACTATGACCAGATAACTGTAAAGATTCGCTATTTAAAAATCAAGTCCTTATTCACCGCCTTCTTGCTGAATATCAGTGGGATGATAAATCTAGTGTATGGAAATAGCTGCTCCCATCAAAATATTGATTTCATATTTTTGCTGACTGCTGCAAAAATAGTCCTTCTGAAGAAGTCCCTCCTGTCAAAACATAAAACAGAAGCCTCTAGCTAAATGTCTGCAAAGAGCTGTGTTATTCCTGCTACTGCCCTGAGGACATTTACAATCCACCCCCTAACGCAGAAATGACAAGCAAAGGATTACAGCCTACTAATATTTTCTGTTTCATTGCTACAGTTACAAATAATATTTAAGAGAGATTGTAGGGGGTATGTTACTGGTGGATGGTTTATTATCAACTTATTCATTTTCCATATCCTTCCTACTGGACATGGGGTGCAAAACTGGAGACATTTGACCAAATGTCAAATGACTTTGTACTAACCTGCCTTTGAACACAAGCTTCTTAACTTCTTCCCTCCATCTTCAGGCCTGCCAGGTGAAGGAAGGACAGGCAGCCAGGGTCCACCCGGTCGTCCAGGTGGCCCCGGAACAGCAGGCAGGCCGGGAAATCCAGGAGCCACGGGACCAGCCGGTCCGCCAGGATACTGTGACCAAAACTCGTGTTTGGGATATAACGTTGGAGGTAAATATTCTTCAGCTTTTATCTACTAAATTTTTGTTTTGAAATTGAGGGAAACGAATACATTAATTTGATTTAAATGAGAAGACAAAAGACAGGGAACAGAAACTCATTGTGTGTGCTTTAAACAGCAGTAATAAGCATGAAATGTGTTTTGAATGACTGTGTTATCTATTCTAGACAGAAAAAATGTGTGGAACCAGTATTCCAGACAAATGACCACAGCAGAACTTGCACACAGTGTACACAGCAGGTCAGGATCTGGCAGCTGGAGCCAAAGTAATATTTTGACTGGAATATTTTCTTGAGTGTAGTGAAAACAAAAAATATGTAGACCTTACCAAAGCATTTGCTGTGGTTTACATAGTCCAAACTATGTCCTTATTTGTCCTTTTGTTACCGAACAATAATAATTTGATTTAGTCTTTACACATTTGAATACACGCAAATTACAGAATACAATCATATGGTTAGATAGATTTTCTCATCATTTCTTTTCATATTGGTCTTTGCATTTGAAGTGTAGCAGTCAAATTCAGGCTTTTCGATATTTGTTTTTGTTCAATTCTGAGAATTGTTTAACTGAAAGTCATGAAGTGTATGCATTCATTTAAACTGATGCATTAAAAGCTAAACCCATTGTCTGTATTGAGATCTAATAAAATATGCTCTCACACATTTTGAGATATATATACACATTGATCGTCTTTTTAATATTTATACTGAAAGGGATTTTGAAGGGTCTGGCAGAGTTAATTCTTCTAGAACATCTCAGTTCAGTGCATATTTAGATGCTGCTGACAAATTACCATGTTAGAAACATATTCTGCTCAATGATGGATGAAACATTACTTCACCCATTAAACCAAATTTACCAGTGATTTCAACATTTTTTTCTTCTTTGTATTTGAAGACAGAGGATTCTCCCGTGTGGTATTTCCAACCATAAAAGCATTAAATGTAGGATTTCAGACCACTTAAAAGAAAAACTGAAGTTATTGCAGACAGGATTTTGGGCACAGGAATTTTCCTTAAACTAAAAGCTATTTTCTTCATGCTTATGACTCGTTTTAGTAGTATTTTTTCCTCTTGCTCAAACAAATTGTAGCTGATATTGGTTTTATAATCTTGTTTCAGCTACGCAAACAGAAAGTTTCATATGTCACAGCAATTTAATTAATTTAAGCAGTTTACTGGATTTAGATATTTCTTTGAACTAATGTGTCTTGGACTGACAGATTAAATTAAATCTTTAAAGCATTTAAATCAATACAGGGGGATCATTAGAGAAAGTTTATATACACCCTCATTAGATAACTGATTTAGTTTTCCTGTTAGTAGGTAAATAAAAAATGACTCGAACTGCAATCTGCATCTTTATGTCAGCAGCAGGTTCTCTATACTGTCACTTTTTTTTACATAGTAAAATTGGAAAGTCCAAGAAGCCCAGTGCTGGTTTTAAAAGAAGGATTGTATATTTACAAACCAGGAATGTCTCTTGGAGCAATTTCTGAATAACTCTGAGAAATTGGTTTTGGATAGTTTGGAGCAACACAGAAACCAGAGCTTCCTGGGGCTGTTTGAAAGCCAGTCGAACTGGTAGGCTGCACAATATGGATGGAATAATTAAGGAGAATTCCTTTAGAATTCTACAACCACAAAGCATGAAACCCAGAGATGGCAGATTATTCCTCTAGGACAGTGACCCCAAATACCTTTCAGACTGTCACTATTGACTTATTATGAAAAAAAGTTTAGATAGTTTTCCCCCCTCTTATTTTAGCAGTATTCAGGTCGTTTTGTTTTTAATTGCATGGTAAACTCTTTGTTCTGAACACTCCTAAATGTACAGTTAGTTATTAATTGATTACCATTGAAAGCGTTTAACACTGTTTTGAAATCTACAAATGGGTGTGTAACAACCAATGCATGTTTTCCTTATGCTGTTTTTCTGTGTTAGAAATCTTTATTTGACTTTCTTGGGAGCAGAAAGGAAGATAAAGATCTGACACATTTGACATTCTTCCAAACATTTAATATTAATCTCTTAGTATTTCAGAAAGTAAAGCTCATACAATTCCAATTGGCTGATGTTCTATCAGGGATGTTTAATGTTAAATACCTTTGGTGTAACTGGGTTTTCTTCTTGATATGAGATAACATCTCCTCTTTGACTTTTTCTCCCCTCCTATTGTTTCCCTTTCTTTGTGTTCTCTTTCTGATCCTAAGTGCAACAGGACTATGGGAATGATTACTAAGGAGCACTCTCCAAGCATCGTCCCCCTCCTTCTCCTCGTCCTGAGCTCACCTCCCTTCCTGCCCTGGCAAATATGTTTTTAAACCTTTGCAGTCATTCCTCAAGGCAGCCATATTTTACAAGGAAGGATAAGCACTACTGAAACTCTGTGACAGTTAAAACTTGCAGCAGGGGCTTTTTAAAATATATCTCACTTTGAAGGTTCAAAATTATTACATTACATATTAATTATAGTGTACACTAGATTTTTTAAGCTAATTATTCTTCATCTTTTCTGATTTTGCTGCAATTTAAAAGCAAGTTGGACTTTCTAAATATATGCCAACATCGCTTTGTATCCCAATTTCTCTTGAGTGGTAATTTTTAAAAACATTATCAACAACACACATATATACATGAATCCCTAAAATTAGTTTAAATTCAGATTTATTATCAGATAGATTCCTTGCTTGAAACACTTATCGCTCGATCACAAGAATTGCTAATGTACACTGTTTCACGACAAAAGCCCCCTCTACCCCTGCTTCAAGTTCAAATTTCATCAAAGCTAATCACATCTTTCAAAAACAGATCAATCTGTGAAAAGATGAATGGCTGATGCCTTTTTATTGCTGGACGCCGCCCGTTATTGGTGCATCTAACATTTATAAATCTTCGAAATTTTTTCTGGCTTAAACCGCATTTCTATTTACTTTGTCTGGGCAGTCTTTGAAAACTAATTTGATAATCACTAAACAAGAAACGTTAAAGGCTGAAAACCGTTAAACCCCGCTGCAAAGCAGCATCTCAGTCAGCATGCCCCCCATTTCTGCTGTGCCTCTGTCCACGGCTTACACATTTGCTTTAAGTGGTGGTGGTGTCTATTGTGGCTGCCGACCCAGAGCTTGCCTTAACCTCACTCCAATCCAGAAGCACAAAAATCCCGCTAACCCTAAATATTCCCACTGCTCCAGTTCAATCCTTGCCCCATGGCGGCTACCAGCCCTACAATCCTCCACACAGACAGCCGCACAACCCTGCTGCAATGAGGCACAACACCGGCCAGGGAGGAGGGGAGGAGGAGGAGGAGGAAGAGCAGGACCTTTATAACCGTGCTTACCCCTCTCAGTACTATCCACATCAGACTTCTCAGTTGGCTCATGGTCACCGTGGTTACCCCCCAAGCCACTCTGAGGATGTGGAGCTGAGGTCACCAGGTGTTGCCAGGAGGTATCCCCGTGATGTCATGGACGAGAATGAGGAGGGAGGACTTGAGAGGAAGGACAGACTCACCTTAAGTGCTTGAGCCCTGCAAGCCACAACGTGCACACACACACACGCATGCATGCAACAAATCTGACACTGACACGCACATATCTGTCACCACCCATCCGAAACTGGTAAGAGCCCCCTTTCCTGCACCTCCAGTGGGTATCACTACCAGAGGAGAAATCGTGTAAATATCTCTGTGGATTCTTGTATGATATATTTGTATAAGGGTGGTCCGAAAAGTGCCTGATCTATGTTATCCCTGTTCAGTGGTTAATGTAACAATATTACCCGTTCCTTCCATTTTACAAATGCTTTCTTGGAATAAGCTTTTCATTTGCTGTGTCAGGCTGCATGTCTCCTTTGAACCGGCCAACAAATGCGTAACTGGACACATGTTTTCTGTTTCTTGTTTTGGTTGTAACTAATCTGAGCACTGCACAGTTAAAAATCGCATTAAAAAGCATGCAGTATTTGTTCGGGCTTTTATAATGAATCTATGTCCCTGAGCCCGAGTTAGAGACTGAGGCACCTGTGAAGTGCAGGACCAAACACCGCAACAACTTTTAAAACTTTGAAATTGGGAACTGTTACAATGTGTCCTGCAACTTAATTCTGTCACAAAGCCGGCTGATTTATGTTTTAGGTTTTTTATGCTGAAACTAATGAACAAATGTTAATTTGTGTCTAGTCTTGCCACCCACATTCTCCTTTTCTTGGGCAGATTTGGGCTCACTTACTGTGGAAGATATGAGGTAGCTGTTCATAAAACTAATGTGAAAATTGTTCCTCTTCTACAATGCAGTTCTAACAAAAAAACAAAACAAAAAACAGCCCGTGAGCTGGCCCAGGTCTAGATTTAAACAATTGAGTGCAAACAGCTTTTACATGTAATGTGTCTCTGTACCACACCCTTTTGTTCCAAATGAAGTTATTTATTTGGTTTTGTTTTCTTTTATGAACAATAAATCTGTAATGAGACAGAAAATGTGGTTCTTAGGTCATGTCTTTACCAGAGGAAGGTTAAATAAACAGATTTTACAACATTTCTGAATAAAGAGCAGGTTCATTAAATGTTTTTCAGCATATTTTAAAATTAACTTTAACAGGACAGATTTATACTTCGACAACTCAATGAGAGCATAAATCCAGACTAAAGTTGACATTTGCAGCGCACGCATGTTGTCATAGTAACACAATTGGCCTTACATTGGAACCTTTAAAAAGCAGGAGCCGTTCTAACAGATGTCAGTTGCACAGGCAGATCTGATCATTTCATGCTCGTTTAAATGAGGACAAAAAGCCACAAATGTGGCTTTCTCTGATCAGAGCTGAGCTGCACAGTGAAATCTCAAGCTGTTCTTGGATATTTCAGGTTGTCTGGTGTCAGGGCCAAGATAACTGACGGAGCTTCTGTCTTTAACCTCACACAGAGGAAGGGATGGAGTTTGTGTTGATGCTATTGGCGTCTAAATGATGACCTGTTGCTTTCAGTCCAGTCAAGCCAAGATGGCAGTTTTGGAGGAAAAAGTAAAGGCAGTTGAAGTTCCAAAAGAAGCAAAAAGCTGAATATTTTACAGTGGTCAGAGGAAATGTGTTTGTCCAACTCCTGTGAAGCGTACTGACCAAAGATTTGCAAGTAGAAGTTTGACTGAAGATCCTGTTAGTTACAGTATTCAACTTTTTCAAATCAAAAGCAAAAAACGTCCCTACTTTCATCCCATCGGGTAGCTTTGATTTCATTTCATCTTGAAGTCTTCAGGTCTGTGGAGAAAACACAGCACAACACATTAAGTGGGAGGTATAAAAGAAGGAAAACATGCATTTAAAAAAAATGGATGAGAAACTTAGCTGATCTAATCAACCCCCCCCCCCATTAAATGAGCTCAGACGCAGGATCCCCTTTTTGTGTTTTTTCCTCTTTAATTTCAAGCTTAGATAACAGCACACAGATCTTGTCAGAGCGTGCCATATTGAATCTGATACACAGTAGGAAATAAATGTTTTAGTGCTCCCATCAACTATAGCAATATGTTTATGTTGTTGACTTTGTACATTTGGGTAGTTGAGTGTGTTTGTGTGTCATATATGACTGGTGGGGGCTCATATCTAATAATCATCTCTCGCCTCTGCTCCAGCGTTCTTCTTAGAGAATATTAACTATGTGTTTAATAAAGGGTAACGATTGAATCCCCTTCAGTGGCCTCACCCTCATCACCCCTGATATACACACACACACACACACACACACACAATCATTAAAATGAGTAGGCAGAGCGAGAGTGAATTTTAACTAGATTGAGGCACATCTCTTAAATAAGCCTGGATTAGTTTGACCTTGACAGCTACACGGCGTCCAGGCTGAACACACGAGCTGATGGGCAGGCCAGACTGAGCCAGTAAACAATAAGAAGAGCCTCATTTATCACCGCGCGCACACGCACGTGCTGACAGCAGGATAGTCATGCTGCAGGTGTCTGTATGAGGTGCACACAGCTCTGACACGATGGATGCATGAATACCCTGATGTTGAATTATTAAACCTAGTTGTTCAATAACATAATAACTACATAATGAATTAATAATAATCAAATAATCACAACAGTAATTCAGGACAAATGGCTTGTATTATTAGGATCAAAAAGGTTTTGTTATACTAACAGAAATACATCGTTGTTATATCTGCCATGATCATGAAGTGATAACGAGACTGTTTTTAGTACACAGAGATTATCAGTAGCAGAATCCACTTAGGAAGACAGTTTTCATTGAGACATATTTATTTGCATATACCTGAAGCTATTTCTGTGATAAAGCTGAACATTCGGCTGTTGATATTAGAAGAAGTTATTATTACATCCAGTTAGCCCCCTAAAAAAAATTCTATCCTCCTCCACTGTATTATGAAATCAGTGGCAGACATCAGAAAATCGGGTAAATCTGAGCAAAACAATAACGCATTCAGGGACCTGTGTGACACACAGAAGGAATTTAAAATGCATGGAAAGTCTAGATAATGAAATGTGCGTTTCCTAATGTTTCTCTCAAACAGAGTGCTATAAATAGTGCTCATGTCACCCTCGCTGTTCTAAGTCTGGGTCAATAATTCTCAGGTCAAGTGAAATATATTACAACCTTGAGAATCTAAGTTTTCGATTTTACGGCCTGGTGCTGGTAAACTGTTCCAGCATAGATCAGTGACCCCGGCCAGAGCAGGCACCTGGACGATGGACAAATGGATGTGCTGGTGAATCAATGCATGCAAAGGCCACTGCTGAGCAGGTGAAGAGAGAATGCTCTCTGCCAAACCCATGAGAATGAGGTTTACTGCAGGTGAGAGCTTAGAAATGCAGCAGCGTGACATTATCATGCCAGCAAACTGCGGGTCACAGTGTCAGTCTAATCTCCAACCTGAAAATACTCGAGTGAGAAAAGCCATGAATATGATTATAACCAGTAACAGATGCGAGCGCTGCAGAGAAGCCTTGTAAAGTCAGGGGAGAGGACAGAGCTGACTTCCCTACGTGTCTCTGTGACATTTGGTAATTTCTGCTTTCTGGTTCAGTGCAGAGGGAAACAAATCTTGGAGCACAGCGGTGTTACTGTGTGCCACTGGCCCTCACTTGTATCCTCTGTCAGATGACTGACAAAGACTAAATCTCACACTTATGAAAAGAGGAAGCTCCCATGAACAGAGAGGCCGTCCATCTACCTTACAACTGGTCACATGCTAACCGTTTAGGCCTGTGTCATTTTTAATTGCCAGTCATGGTGGGAAGTTTCACTGACTCCCATTATTTTGTGGGTAGCTGGGGTTTTTCCCACATTCCACAATAGTCTGAGTTTCTGTATGTCCTTTGTATGATATCATGACATGCTTTGCTCACATGGTGGCTAACGTAAGCATATATAGGTTTTTGCCTTTTAGGACATTAATGCAGATGTCAGCAAAACTGGAGCAAGTCTTTCCTACATAATCCACAGAACAATCAGCTTCCACCGCTGCTTTGGATGAGCACTAATCTAAACTGAATACTCATGTAAATGTGGACAAGGGCTGCCAATCGCTCACTGAACAGCCACATGTGTTTGTCGTTACAGTAAAAAAAAAATACTGCATACTGCATACACACTTAGTGTACAAGTCAAACTGGCCCAAAAATGGGTTTTGGCCTTGTTTGTGTCATGAATTCATTTAGGAATCTGTTGCTTGGTAAGAAAAACAATACAGAGCTGGATCTGAGAGAGCGGCCGGACTGTCCAGCGCTAGCAGGCTCACAGCAGAATGAGGTGATACTTCCTCCTTATCCTCCATCCAGACTCATTTTACTGCACTGCATCACAGAGGCGCGCCACCCAATGCACCTCGCCCGTACAGTCAAGTCCACTACAGTCTAAAATAAAACCACCAATGATTTGAAACATCTTTCATAACAGTCCAAAACCTTAACTCTGTATTAGCACACAGCCATGTAATCAACACATCTAATCCAAAGAAATATATTCGATTATTCTGGCTCATCCTCGTCAATACAAGCCACAAAAAAGTGTGTTCCAGACAGTATTGGTGGAAAGTTCCTGAATTATAGAACCAAAAAAAAAAAAAAAGAGAAGAATGTCTGTGTGTATACGTACGGTGTCCACAGGCTGGGGAAAGCATCGATCTCCTCCTGAGTGTATTCACTGAGTTTTCTGGGGATCTGTCTGGGCTGAAGAAGTTCCTCTGTCAGGTTGGCTCGAATATCATCTGGCAACTCCTGAACAGAGTTCAATGCATGAGAAGTTGAAGAAATGTTAGGCACACTGTAAAACACAGGAAATGGGATGAAAAGGACTCGCAATAAGGAGAGAAACTGGAGATAAAAAAGGTATAATTTAACAAAGACATTCTCCTGGGAGACTATCAGGAAGGGAGTGTCAGGGTGCATTGCTTTCTAGTGTTACAGATCTCATTAATATTCAACGCAGCAGGTAGCTGCCTCCAGATTCATTTAAGCAGGCAGAAAAAAGTTCAGGCGAAAAGACAAAAGCAGCCATTTAAAAGGGAAAGAAAAACTTTCAAGAAGCATTCAATGCAACACTGCAGAGATCTTGATTGCAGATACCACTGCAGACCTTCCCATGCTCAGGATGCTCATCCCCAATCAATGTGTTCGGCACGCTTCACACTTAATTCGGCTGGTAAATGTCCTATCAGGATCCCAGTGAAAAAAATAACTTGTATAAATCTTTGCTCTAAATTCTAACACAGCAAATTCACAGAAGTAAAACTACAGAGATCTGACCATGCTGCTGGTTTGGAATTAATGAGGCTGTGCTCATAAAGATGGTAATCATATCCAGTCAATATTAGGACGTTCGAGTGAATTAACATCCTGAGGGCACTTTCTTGTGTTTAAATTCATCTGGCAATTTGTAGTGTGTGATTCCAGTTGTTATAATAATGACCCAAAAATGCTCTGTCGCATCAGTAAAGCACAGCAGAGGGCAAAAAAGAAGCTTCACTTGTACCACAACCCATCTGTGTACTCTTAAATCATCGCATATAAAAGAAGAGAGTGACTCATTTGAACAACTGATTGGAAAATGATCGGTCCACAGATATTCAAATGAAAGTGTGTGGCTGTAAAGCGACAGCAGCTTGTGGCTCAGTGGTGCTCTGCGCCGCCTCCACAGGGAGGTATCTGATTTCTGATTTTGGTCAGGTAGCTTCAACAGCTTTTGGGATTTTTAGCTCAGCGGCTCGAACAGAAAACAAAGCAGCGAGAGCAGAGTGAGGCAAAGCATAGTAAAGCTGAGGGAAGATGACATGCAGGGGCTCTTTTCAGCTTACACATCCCCACAGGTAATGCAATGCTAAACAAACTGAACTCTGCCGAAGGACACAAGTAAGATATTTATCAACTGATTTAACCACATAGGGGGAACGGGAGCAGTAATGAAGGAAAACTGACTGGACCTTTCATCCATTAGTTTACATCCACATCTAAAGTGCTCAAAAGCCCTGGGAGCATCATGTTATGGTATTAATAGTTTACAGTGAACTTGAAATTTGTGTTAAAGAGTGTTAGACAGGCCCAAATGACCTGGCCATAAAGCAAAAGTCATATTCCTGCCTCCTTGACAAATCAGCTCCATAGACTCTGTACTTCACCATTCCTTGAAGCCTCTGTATTTTGTTAGGTTTTTAGCAGCTAGTGATCAGGAGGTGGGCAATATATTTTACCTATTTCTGTTTTTAAAATAGCCGTCACCAGTGCTGCTCTTAAGATGCATTCAATGACAAATAAGAAATCAGCTTTTTTACTCCCATCTCATTTAGTCTGTATTCAGGATTATGTTTCATAAGCCTCCCGGTCCCCATAAACCTAAGAGAATCCCTAAAACTGAAAAATGTGCTGTATGTAATAGAAGATGTGCCTCGTGCAGGAAGAACAGCTCCTCAAAGGCAGGAGCCAAAAGAAGACCCAACAGAGGGAGCTCGACAGACTTGTGTGGACAAAGGGTGACAGTAAGAGGAAGAAAACACCCCGTAACAGCTCAGAGCTGAAACAGGACTTACATCTTCAGGAAAGATGTGGAGCCGCTGCATCATGGTGCGCCGATGCAGATTTCGAGGCAACATGCCGTAAACTGACAGCTTCACAATCTGGCAGAAAGAGACAAATCAAAAGCATGACCTGCAGTCGGTTCACTGGTTCTTACAGAATGACTTTTGCATACTTTAAACATTTTTTGCCTCTTAAACCCAGATATTGTTTTTGGACAGCGTTACTGGATTGGGAAACTAGATAGAGATGTTTGACAGAGTCGGTGCTGACAAGCAATTCCTCTGTCCAGTTCTACCCCCGCCTCTCTACTCACCCACCCGCCAACTCCACTTTAACTAAATCACCATCAGGACACGCGTCTGTGGGCTGACCTGAGATCTGCCTCAGCAGCGGAGCCAAAAGCAGTGTAAATGTCTCTCCTGGAGCTGTCAACAACAGACTGGAGACCACAGAAGTTTGTTCACCTGCTTCCAGTGATTCCCACATTACGAATGCAGCTTTATGACGCTGTTATTAGCATACACCAGATGCATGCGGGAAAACAAACACCAAATCTGGCACGACGGCTCTGCTGGTGTTGTTGCAGCTGAATGTTAAATGATTCTGAACAGGAGTTTTTATGTGCAACACTTGGGTTCACGGATCAGCAGCTATTGGAGCCGAGCACTCTGAATCACTCCATGGGATTTGTGTATGTTGTTCAGTTGGGATCAGTTAAACATTAGCGAAAAGTTACAGACAACAACCTAATTTAACAGACAGGACAAATCTAAGCACGGTGCAGGTTTTATCTGCGGTAAAAATCCAACGGAACGTTTCACTTCCGAAGGCAAATGTCAATCAAAGACCTGAAAAGACAAAGATCCTCAAATAAAAAAAAAAAGTTAGTGTTATTTCAGATTTATCCATTTCCTCGAAAACATTCCAATGCGAAAGGCATTGTCTGATCAACTGAATGTCCCATCTTCTCTGTAGGCCTCAAGCCCCTTCATTAAAACAGACAGAAAAAAACACAGAGATGCCTTTTTTAAAAGAGAGCCAGACGTTTCTATTTTGACAGGATAAACTGGGGGATTTGTTGGGGATTGTTTTCAAGTGCAAAATACACTATTTGTTTGTCTGACTAAAGAGGCGGTGTCTAAACCATCCAGTGCAGTAGTATATTTCACCAAAACATTAGTCTCTGGAAGGTGTCATAAGCAAAACCAGAGCTTCGTCAACTTAGCTCATGCTGTTTTGTTCTCTCTTTTGTAAAAAATAAATCAAATTTATTAACACTAGTCTGCACTTCTAGCTGGCTTTCATTTATACAATCAAGCTTTGGAAGCGCCTATCAATCATAATGTGATTCTGAGCTCTTTTAAACCAATAGCAAGTTGAACCGCAGAACCATGAATATGCATCAAAAGTGAAACCTCAGGAATAATCTTTAAAGTGACAGCAAACACTGCCATCAGCAGCACAAATCCACTGCAACTTAATCTCACTTCTAGGCAAGAGTCATTAATATTCGGACACATATAAAGACAGGGATAAGTGTCAAACCAGTGAACGCCTCCTCTGCTCTGCAGATGGCATGCAGGGAATTTGTGCTAATCTCCATGTGGGGGGTCTTAAATCATAAATAATGAATGAGGAAATATGTGGAGCAGGTATGTAGCAGTGACACTGCTGATACCAAAGCGTTTAACACAGAGCAGCATCACAGCTTACAGCTTTAGGGTCCTTCAGGTGGAGCTGAGCAGCTGTGACTTGTTTGAAACTGCCTGGATACCTGTGAACAAAAAACAAAGAGGACATTTTATCTAAATAACCGTTTTCTTTAAAAATCCTTTCATAGTCTTTAAGAAATATCCACTTGCTTAATGTAAACCTAACTGTGCACCTCCTTACAGTGTCTGTTCTAAAGGAGCCCCCCCCTTCCCGCTAATCATCTTGCACAGAACCCTCTAATGTTTTAGACATGGACACAATTTTTCTTTGCAGTCTCCCTTCTCCTCACTGTAAAATTCTATTTTTCACCCATTTCAGTTCCACCACGTAGAAATGATAACACTTTTAAACCTAATCCTTCTCATTTCATGGCATACTTACCCTGTGTGAGACGAGTATACTTTCTGCTCCCATTTATTCCCAGAAAAAGCGATGTGTTTGGAGTTTATTACCACCACGTGGTCTCCACAGTCACCTGTCAGCACAGTGCACTTTAATTGATCATTTTCAGTGGTATTTTCAGGGACAAATATAGATTGCGAGTACAAGATTACGTTTTAGCCACTTGATTTGCTGTTACCATATTTAAGTTTCTAGATTTCTACGGATTAAAATACAATTAAATGATTTATCTTCACATTCAAAGACTGCCAGCATTTTACTTTACTAAGACCCTTTATCCTTTGCTGCCCCCATGTGGTCGTATCACATGACAACAATCATAAGTGAAGGATGAGCTTTATTTACCAAACTGGGGAAACAGCAGTTTACATGTACTCTAACAATTACATCAAGTCATTTACACGAGTGTCATATAATTCAGATCTTACTCACTCAGCGCATGGTATATAGGCTTGTGTTTCCCCTGTAATCTAACAGAACACATGCTGGCAATCTTTCCAGGCGGCTGCATCCTGGCATCAACAAGGAACCAGGAACGGGCAAAAGTGGCCCATTGCTGAGGGAAGAAAATGAGAAAGGGAAAACTCAGTTCTGTAATCAAAACAGAGATGGTCAGTGATAACGCTGATCTACTGAATGACGGAACCAGAAGATAATGAAGAAACTGAACAGTTGGCTGAAAACACTGAAACGTGGAAGAATTATAGTTCAAGGTCTTGAGGAAGGTCAAATAAAGGCCTAAAATGTATGCAGAGTCATTCTAAAAAGCTGAAATGTAATATATGTGACAGCATAACCGGAACGTTGAATGATAAAAGAGCAAAATTGAAAGATGAAATGCATTTCTCCGCAGAGTTCCATCCATCCATTATCCTCCACTTATCCGGGGTCGGGTCGCGGGGGCAGCAGCCGAAGCAGAGAGACCCAGGCTTCCCTCTCCCCTGCCACTTCCGCCAGCTCCTCCGGGTGGATCCCGAGGCGTTCCCAGGCCAGCCGGGACACATAGTCCCTCCAGCGTGTCCTGGGTCTTCCTCTGGGCCTTCTCCCGGTGGGACGAGCCCGGAACACCTCCCCAGGGAGGCGACCAGGAGGCATCCTGATCAGACGCCCGAGCCACCTCAGCTGGCTCCTCTCCACGTGGAGGAGCAGCGGCTCTACTCCGAGCCCCTCCCGGATGGCCGAGCTTCTCACCCTATCTCTAAAGGAGAGCCCAGCCACCCTTCGGAGGAAACTCATTTCGGCCGCTTGTATCCGCGATCTCGTTCTTTCGGTCACTACCCAAAGTTCGTGGCCATAGACGAGGGTGGGAACGTAGATCGACCGATAAATTGAGAGCTTCGCCTTTATGCTCAGCTCTCTCTTCATCACGACAGACCGGTACAGCGCCCGCATTACTGCAGACGCCGCACCGATCCGCCTATCGATCTCACGCTCCCTACCCCCATTCGCGAACAAGACCCCGAGATACTTGAACTCCTCCACTTGGGGAAGGACGTCCGCTCCGACCCGGAGAAGGCACTCTAACCTTTTCCGGTGAGAGACCATGGTCTCGGACTTGGAGGCACTGATCCTCATCCCAGCCGTTTCGCACTCGGCTGCAAACCGCTCCAGCGAGAGCTGTAGGTCCTGACTTGATGAAGCCAACATGACCACATCATCTGCAAAAAGCAGAGATGCGATCCTAAGGCCACCAAGACTGACACCCTCAACACCTCGGCTGCGCCTAGAAATCCTGTCCATAAAAGTTATGAACAGGACCGGAGACATAGGGCAACCTTGGCGGAGTCCAACTCCCACCGGAAACGAGTCCGACTTACTACCGGCAATGCAAACCAAACTCTGACTCCGGTCGTACAGGGACCGAACAGCCCGTAACAAAGGGCCAGGTACCCCATACACCCGGAGCACCCCCCACAGGATACCCCGAGGGACACGGTCGAACGCCTTCTCCAAGTCCACAAAACACATGTGGACTGGTTGAGCCAACTCCCATGCACCCTCCAGGACCCCGCTGAGGGTATAGAGCTGGTCCAGCGTTCCACGGCCAGGACGAAAACCACACTGCTCCTCCTCGATCCGAGGCTCGACTATCCGACGGACCCTCCTCTCCAGAACCGCTGAATAGACCTTCCCAGGGAGGCTTAAGAGTGTGATCCCCCTGTAGTTGGAACACACCCTTCGGTCCCCCTTTTTAAATAGGGGAACCACCACCCCAGTCTGCCAATCCAGCGGAACTGCCCCTGATGTCCACGCGATGTTGCAGAGTCGCGTTAGCCAACGCAGCCCCACAACATCAAGAGCCTTGAGGAACTCCGGCCGAATCTCATCCACCCCCAGAGCCTTGCCACCGCGGAGCTTTTTGACTACCTCGGTGACTTCAGCCCCGGAGATTAGAGATCCCAACTCCGGATCCCCAGGCTCTTTCCCTCCAATGGAGGACGCACCAGTGGGATTGAGGAGGTCCTCGAAGTACTCCGCCCACCGGTCCACAATGTCACGAGTTGAGGTCAACAGCACACCATCCCCACTGTAAACAGTGTTGGTGGGGCACTGCTTCCCCCCCCGAGACGCCGGATGGTGGACCAGAATCGCCTCGAGGCCGTACGGAAGTCTTTTTCCATGGCCTCCCCAAACTCCTCCCACGCCCGGGTTTTTGCCTCGGCGACCACCCGAGCCGCATGTCGCTTGGACTGCCGATACCCATCAGCTGCCTCCGGAGTCCCACAGGCCAAAAAGGCCCGATAGGACTCTTTCTTCAGCCTGATGGCATCCCTCACCGCCGGTGTCCACCAGCGGGTTCGAAGGTTGCCGCCACGACAGGCACCGACAGCCCTTTGACCGCAGCTTCGGGAGGCCGCGTCATTGATGGAGGCGCGGAACACGGCCCGCTCGGACTCAATGTCCCCCGCCTCCCCCGGAACGTGCTTGAAGCTCTCCCGGAGGTGGGAGTTAAAGCTCCGCCTATCAGGGGACTCCGCCAGGCGCTCCCAGCAGACCCTCACAATACGTTTGGGCCTCCCGGGTCTCACCGGCATCCTCCCCCACCATCGGAGCCAACTCACCACCAGGTAGTGGTCAGTGGAAAGCTCCACCCCCCTCTTTACCCGAGTGTCCAAAACATGCGGCCGCAGATCAGCTGAAACGACAACGAAGTCGATCATTGAGCTGCGGCCTAGAGTGTCCTGGTGCCAAGTGCACATATGGACACTCTTATGTCTGAACATGGTGTTCGTTATGGACAATCTGTGCAGAGCACAGAAGTCCAAAAACAGAACACCACTCGGGTTCAAGCCTGGGGGGCCATTCCTCCCAACCACGCCCCTCCAGGTCTCACTGTCGTTGCCCACGTGAGCGTTGATCCCCCCCCGCAAAACGAGGGAGTCCCCAGAGAGTAACCTCTCTAAGGACTCCAAAAAGGGTGGGTACTCTGTACTGCCGTTAGGCACAAACAACAGTCAGGACCCGTCGCCCCACCCGAAGGCAAAGGGATGCTACCCTCTCGCTCATTGGGGTAAACCCCAACGTACAGGCACCGAGATGAGGGGCAATGAGTATGCCCACTCCTGCTCGGCGCCTCTCGCCGGGGGCAACTCCAGAGTAGCAGAGCGTCCAGCCCCTCTCGAGAAGGCTGGTTCCAGAGCCAGAGCTGTGTGTCGAGGCGAGACCGATTATGTCCAGCCGGAATCTCTCCGCCTCGCACACCAGCTCAGGCTCCTTCCCCACCAGAGAGGTGACGTTCCACGTCCCTAGAGCCAGCTTCTGCAGCCGGGGATCGGTCCGCCAAGGTCCCCGACTCCGGCCGCCGCCCAGGGCACACTGCACCCGACCCCCTTGGCCCGTCCCATGGGTGGTGAACTCCACAGAGTTCAAGAGCTTTTATCCAAAAGACCAAATGAATCACCACAGCATTGATTTCAAATGTGAAACGAGGAAGACATATTTGACAGAAAGAGCAAGCATCTTAAGATGTTGAAGTGGCACTGAGTCTTTTCTAAGGGAAGAAAAGTGGCAGAAGCAAGCTCAAACAAATTTGAATTTAACTGAAAATGCAGGTTTAACATAAACAGTACAATATGAATATGGTCATGGGTAATTGTCAAATTTTCAAGCAGAACAGCCAATTCATTATCATCAATATAACATTTTCTTTTGAGTGTGTGCGTGAGTAGGAAAGCATTGTTCTCTATGTCTATTATGCTGCCGTAGTGGACATAAGACATTACCCAATAATGCCATGCAATTTGTCATTAAAAGCTTGTAACACACAATATTCTGGATGTTCTTCGAAAGTCTCGCAGGGCACTGCCAGCTCGTTAGCTAATGTTTTTTCAAACACTGTTACACTTGCTGTCGATCGATAGAAAAATAATAACAATTACACTATAATGATACACACATACATACAAACAAGCAGTTTTAAAGACACTGAGATAATCCAATTAAAAAATCACCTGGGCAGATCTGGAGAAACTTGACATCTTGACGGTTCTACGAACACATCCTCATAACATTTGACCCCCAACGTGAGATTTGGTCCGTTTGGTAATTATGTCCGACTGCAACACGGTACAAAATGTTTTATTTCCAGAGTGTCAACGGGCTAAAATTCTTTCATGTTTTGCGGTACAAAGTATTAGCGTCGCCTTTGTATTTATTGTATGTTTGGACTGAAACTTTTAAGCAAATTCCAAAATCATTTCGTTTATATTTAAAGTTGTTTTAAGTAATATGGTTCCCGTTACTGGTTTCCCGTAACATCCTAACGTAATGATATCACTTCCGTCCCGCGACTAAGAGAGCGGGGAAATTTGACACACGGTTGATTTGTGTTTAAGTATCGTTTGTGGTTGTTTGTTCGCTTGTTCTTTAAAATATTAAGTAAAGATGAGAACGCTAGAGGAGGTGCAGGCCACGCTCCAGATCGCCAAGCTGAAAGAGGAAGATTTACACCCAACCATCCACTGTCTGTCATTCGGTGAAAACGTTTCTTCTGCAGATTACTGCCTAATGGAGCTGGACAGCACGCTGTGCAAACACATCGAAGATGGCCAAAGGTAAAGGATGACGATGTGAATTTAAAAAACTCAATCAAACGTGTTTTTGTGGGGTTCGGATTCAGTCTGTTTTTATACAGTACATTCACAATTAAAGCTGATCTGCGGTGAACCAACAGGCGACACCTGGGCTGCAGAAAGGATGTTCATGCAAATGATAAACTTTCGTTTGAACATGTTTTTCCTCTTCACCAGCCTTGTCATTCGTGGGGATAAAGACGAGCGTGCAGTACTTTGTAGTGGAGACAAGACCTATGATCTAAAGATAGCTGACACATCCAACATGCTGCTGTTTGTACCTGAGTGCAGAACCCCAGATCAGCTGAGCGCCCAGGACAGCTCTCACGTCGTGCACACGAAGGTATGGAAGTAGGGGCTTCTTACAGCTGATGAGCTGCCCACACAACAGCACAAACCATCGTAGTTTATGGTTGACGTCCCACGTCTGCCGTAGATCTGGGGATTCTGCAACAGCTACTGGGAATTGAGGAAACAGCGTCCAAAGCTGAAGAAGCTGAAAAAGCTTTTAATGGAAAACCCTTATGATGGACCTGCTCTAGCGGGGCAAGAGGAAAACACGGAGAACAGGGTGAATACATTTCTCTGTGTAATCACATGTTTATGATGAGCTGTAAGCACTTAAACCGTTGATATGTGCGAACTCTCAAAGGCACTGAAAAGCATATAGGCTACCCATCTCTTTTCATAGTTTGAATAATTTCAACTAACCTTGGAGACTAAAAAAATATTTGTTACAGATTACATCGCTGTAGAATCCATTGGTAATTGTGTTTGCTATGTTGTAGTACACATTGGAGGATCTGTTGGAAAGGATTCAGGCCAGTGAAGAGGAGCTAAAGACCAACCTGGAGATGATCCATGCCTGTCAGATAGATGGTAAATGCTGCTTTGCTACACTGGCATGTACACATGTTGAAGTTGGTTTGATTTAACCCAGAGATAATGAGTACCTTCCTTTTTTCCAAGGTTACTGGCGTGTGCTGGACTTTGACTATGAGATGAAGCTGCTGGGTCATGTGACTCAGCTGGTGGATTCTGAGTCATGGCCCTTTAACAAAGTCCCCCTTCAAACCAGTCTGGAGGAGCTGGCCCCACTGGAGCCCATGTAAGTTGATATCTGAAATCCTCCTGCTCTCTTTGAGTGATCAACAAAGGGGAAATTACTTTTGAATTTATGTCTAATGGAGGTGTTTAAAGCTGTGGTAAAGTTCGGGAGGTGGACAATATTCCATAGAGGTCCTGAAGGCTCTGGACAGTGTGAGGCTGTTGTGGAAGTTTTCCTGGCACATCCATGTGGGATTAGGGCCTGCAGCAGGTGGATTGATACAATTTGGGAAAGCTCTAGATTTTATGATCAAACAGTTAGTGGTTTTCAAAGCTGTTTGATTTTTTTTTTCAGCCAAAATATTCCTTCTTATTCACAGGCAGATGATTGAGCACTGTTTGAACTGCTATGGGAAACGCTACTCTGAAAAAGGTGAAAGGAAAAAAAGCCGCAACATTTGATTTGATCAATTAAGTGATGGTAGAAATCTGACTCTGCGTCAGTATTGAAATGCCTATATCCCCCTCTCTCTACACAGACGAGGTGTATTATGCTTTGTGTGAGGACAAAGTGTGTCGGGGTATTGCTCTGATGCTGCTGCATAATGCTGTCAAGTTCAACCTGAGGGAGTTTCAGGAGGTCTGGCAGCAGAGTGTCCCAGAGGGCATGAGTACAAGACTGGAGCAGCTGAAGGTGATTGGTTTAACAATGGGCTGAATCCTGAGTGCAGGAAATATGGCGCGGGTTACAAATGGACTGAACATTTCACTTCAAATGCTTTTTAAATCTTTCAGGGAGTCGCCCTAGTGGACCGCACCTCCCGCCCAGAAACCATCAGCCTGCTCCAAGTGGACGATCTGCCAGAGGACACAGTGGAGCGCTTCAACCTGCTCTTCTCACTCAGAGAGAAATGGACAGAGGATGACATCACACCATACATACAGTAAGTGTTCCGTTTGGGAAAATGCATTGAAAAATAAAACGAATAAATTGGTGGGCCACCTGATTTCCAGTCTGGTTCCTGTTGCTTCTCCTTAACCAGAGACCTTTGTGGGGAGAAACAGACCACTGGAGCCCTGTTGACAAAATACGCTCGATCTTCCATGCAAAGCGGGATTAAAGTGTTCAACTCCAGAAGACCTGTGGCAAAATGAACAAAAAAGCTGGAAAGCTGGGGGTTCACTTTTTGTAAGGTTTATATCCAATGTGTGTTTCTCATTAAACCTGCTATGGAGATAAGTTTGTTAAGATATTAGCCTTGAATACAGAACTCATAATTTTTCTGCAGTAAGCTTGTACACTGTGGGAAATAAACACCACTTTGGATCTTTCATATTTTACTTTGATCCTTTTAAGAATGACAAAATGTAAAAAGAGAAGTTAATTAAATGTTACCGTACTGTTGGATTGCTCTGTCTTGTATTCTAGAGATTTCCAAATCAACACTTGACACCGTAACAGCAGAGTTGCTCCATTGATTGTCCACAAGGTGGTGACCTACACTGGTAAATGTCCAGTCCAGCTTCACCTACCCGCTTTGAAATTCTGCCCTGAATACTGCATTCAAATTACATTTACTGTAAGGTTTTAATACACTGGCGAGATATATGAGTCTTTTCAAAACACACGCTTACACAGTCAATCACATACAAAGAAAGGGTACTGATCAGAATTTATGGAAATAGGCAAATAATTAGCTTACATGTTCTGGTAACATGTCTGTTTACATCTTATGTCATGTGACATTTCTTCATATTAAAGTTGCTGAAGATGCTGAACTCAAACCACACAGTTGGTTTGAAGAGTAAATAAAACGTCTGCTAAAATGTTCCCGTTTCACCTTTAAATCTTAAAGCTATAAATATTTAAACAGAAATGATAATGAGGAAGAAGCTTCTGGTTTCTGATTAATACAGAAGGAACACAAGAGCAGGGTCACGCATCTGATGAAAATAAATTTGAATACATAAAGAATCCTTGAAACTCACATTTATGTTATATCTTTACCTTTTTTTAAATATTTTTTTTCTGGCCAAGCATGGAGATGCATTTTGTTGAAGTTCTTTACTGTTTCAGTTGACTTTGCAGGAAAAGAATACCTTATAATAAGCAAAGAGATTAACGTGGTGATTCAAATCAGAGTAGAAATATCTATCTGAAGTCTCAAAAAAGAAGTTCCCAGTCACTTAATTTAACTCTTATTATTGTTCTTTTTGTATGAATCAGCCCTGGGTATATAAAAAAAAACATGTGTCTGTTGTTCAGGTGTGCCTTAAGTTTTTCGGTAAAGTCATGCCAGGAGCATGTTAATGATTTAGCTGAATACCCAAAGACACAGACTGTTTTACTCCACTAACAAAACTTTCAGGGTGTGAATCAGTCTTTCTAGCGTGTATATCAGGAGACAATGAGCAAAGTTTAAAAAAACTCAGACATATGCAAAGACTTTCGCCCCACTGACTGGCTGACTAACCCTGACATCACCCACTGGGAGAGCTGACTTATCAGTTCTTAGGTCTACGCGCCCCAGCTGTGTGTTTGCTGTAGCTGTTATGATTGTGCTCATAGCACCCGCTGTGATTAATTCTCTTTACTTCCTCTGTGGGTTAATTCTTTTTTTTTCGCATTTCTCCTCATGTAAATGATTTCTAACCCCCGCTTCCCAGTTCTTGTTTCCTCTTTCTAAAAGCAGGGAAGTGAGTTAAGCTTCCTTTGTATTCACCATGTCTTATCTTCCCCTTTTGTTTTACAAAACTACATGATCAGCAAAGTTAGAAATCACAGTAGCACAGGGTTGAACTGTGCGAGGAAGAAATCGGTACTTTAATCATGCAGTGACATTTTTGGTAGTGGATCTCACCGTCTGAAGGTGGTATTATCAAAAGTTGGGAAAATGATAAACCACATCCAGCTTAAGTCACAAAACAGCAAAAAGAGAATTGCCGGGATGTAAAGATAGTATCATCCCATCAGCTAATTTTGTTTTTTTCTTGGTTGACCAGAGACCAACATTATTCATACAGAAGACTCATTCACGAGTTTCAACATATAAATTTTCAGTCTCTCGCTTCTGCAGACCAGAATAACATTCCATCCTCAACCACTCATCCACGATCTATAATACAGTACATGAAAAAGTCCAAAACTCTCTTCCAGGTTTTGTCTTAGGCATAAAACAACTATGTTCACCACTATGCTAAACCTAATATGTTTTTTTCTGAAATGAAAAAATAAGTCTGACGAAATGACACATACAAATGTCTTTTTAGCTAAATCAAATAAGAATTCCCCACTTGGGGTGGGTTTATGTACACACTTAGATTGAGGTCTCTCAGGTTTACAACAAATTTAAAAGGTTCAGTCTGTTTTTTTTTATATCTTCTTATCGATTAAAATGTTTTTAAAAAAAACAGACTCAGTTTTACCAGTAGTTTTGAATCAGCAAACCAACTTTGGTCCTCCCTGTGCTATCTTGGGAGCATGTCCTGAAGGTCTGCCACAACGTATGCGACTACAGCCCACAATGCTGAGCAGAGGTCCATGTCTCCAGGGTCCTGAACCGTCATTGTGTCCCCCTCACTGTGGTGGAACCAAAAGTAGCGGCTGTCTGCCACATGGAGGCTGGCACCTGGATGAAAACAGAGAAAAAGTGCCCCTTCATAGTCATTATTAGTGAACAAACTTACACAAAACACAACATGTTGTTAAGTCTTCAAACAAGCTTGAGCTCAATTGTGCCATCAAGATATGAAAGAAATATCACTGCATCAGTGGTTTAATCAATTGTGGTGGAATTGTCAAAACCTATTGGCCATATTTTGCTCCAGGTTTTTGGAAAAAGCTTACAAACTGCAAAATACTGAAATATGAAAAAAATACTGGTTTGATAAACTCATTGCACTATCTACTTTTATAAATCTGTGTATCACTGTTTTCTTCAGACATTTAAGTATGCTTGGTCAGATAACAGAATTCAGTCAAATAAAAATATTTTCATATCATAACTTTAAATATATCATTGAAAAATTACACTCCATGCTTGATTGTATATACGATATTTGAATATTGGACATTACTACCAAAGACTAACATAACAGAACCCCTTTATGTCTGAAAATATGTAATTCATAGAGGAATTCAGATGTGCAGCCTGCTCACAGCAAGGGCTCAAAAGAATTTTCCGGTTTTACTCCACACACAGCCTTACGTCAACCCTCAGCTGACTGCTTGAGAGACAACACTAAACTGTGACTAAACAGCAGATGGCAGAGGTATGTATGTAAGTGATGTATCATTTGGGGAGCAAGGAAAGATGGTGTCAAGTGTTTCGAGCATGAAATACTGTTGGGTAAAAACGTAAAAAGAATGATCATGACTGTGATGAGAGAACAGTTTGAATAGAAAAACTGATAAACTTGTGGAAGAAGAAGATTTTATCAATGATTGGTATCAATCGAGTTTCAGAAAATTAAAAAAAGTACAAGAGTTCTGTAGTAATAGGAAATGGGCTTTTGTTTGTTATTCACACGTTACAAGTTAGGATAAATTACTCTGACCATTGCAGGAAATAAAGACACGATAATCAAATCCTAATGGATAACCCTGATATCTCTAAACATGGTGATTACTCGTAGATATAATTCAGATCATGAGTGCCATTTGTTTTTTGCAACCACACTCACTGCAATGGATCATTTATGTGTTGAACGGTGGGAGGAAGTACTCGCAGAGAACCCAGGCTTACACGAAGAGAACATGCAAACTCCACACAGAAGGCAGCCGGGGAATCAAAGTGTGAAATTTAAAAACGAAAACACATTGATTGAAATAAATATGGTATTCCCAAGTCATTTTTTGTTTCACACTCCGATTCAGTCCAGTTCAGTTTGTGGTGGTAATGTGCCAACCAAAGATACGGATAAGACAAGAAGGAGAGAAAAGAGGAAGAAGAATCCATCAAGTTCAGTTGTTTGTGCTTACTGACTCTGTCCATCAGTCAGATAACCATGTTTGCGCAGAGTTTATGTTTTGTAACTTGGCCATTCTAAGTGTGTGTAAAAATGTGTCATGGGCGGACAAAATGAATCCCTACTATAATGAATCGCAAGAAAAATGACCAAGTCCAGTCAATTTGGAGTTATAAATCTGATCTATATAGAAAAGTTAGACGCTAAATGGTCTCTTACAGCATGTGGTCTGTTCCGCTGTAACCCGTGACCTTCCTGAAAGCAAAAGTAATACATATAATTGAACAAAAGTTTGCCAGTGTGCACACACCCATCCCTCTCCGTCTCAATCGTTTGCTTTCTAGTCCCAAGCCAGCAGGGGGCGGTAACGCACCCTAAGGGATGAATCGGTTTGTTTAAAGCAGGGAAACATCTACAACACGCTGGGCAGCTGCCATGAGGAACCAAAGTTTGATATCCTTTATGAAAAGGGGTGCACTAAGACTAGTTATTAACCCGCTCCTCGGTTTGGGGATGTTTGAATGTGCTATAAAAGCGCATGTGTGTGCAAACTGTTGGCCACGTACAGGGGGGCGTTTCCAGTGGTACTGTTTAGAATATTTTTATATCAACAATAGAATGAAAAATTGTGATTTGGTAAATCTTTGTATGCCTTTTATTCTGTCTCCATCACCGTGTCTGACTTTTGCTCATTTTAATGTAAAAGACTAACAATGGTTTAAAACCCCATTTAAACAAAAGTACAGTTTTTCTTCAGAATTTCCAAACTAGTTGTATATTAAATAAGTCATGCACTAAAGATGGGGATTTAAAAGTTTTAGTGAGGCAGCCATTTCTCAGATAAAAAAAACAACTCCTGTCTGCCCGTAAAAATATGGTGTTTTTTTTTTAAAGTTCAGAAACCAACACTTTGTTCACAGATATCCAGAGTACACTGGAAAAACGGTCTGTCCAAACCATTTTTTCTGAAACTTGTTTTACTATTGACTGGCAAAATGCCAGCTGCCCGTTTACTTCGGAAAAACAAAAAAAGGACACCATCCTGTAACTCTACATAGATAGATGGATGAGGCACTTCTTAAGTTACCACCCCTGAAGGCTGTGAACTACAGAATTCACCAGTGGTTTAAGAAAAAAAGTATGAATAGATATTTAGTCTGAATTAATTGCGTTCTTGGGTCTGTAATTCATACACACGAATACAACTATGACTTTCAGTTAATCCCTAAAGACTTTTTTTTATGTACTTCTTTTTCAACTTGTTGAAACACACACGTGCCCTACTGCAACATCTCACACTTATGGCTAAGAATTACTTGACAAATGATAGGTGTGAAAGGTCTGTATTATTTTTGCACAAGTCAATTTACAGTGAATCTTCATTTATTAAAATTCCAAGAAAATTCCCAGATGTTATGAAAAACCAAGAGTAAAAAACACCACTAAACTATAAGCTTATTTATTTAATCAGGCACGTGTTGTGACATGACACCATAAGTAAGCATTTGAGGCTGAAAATGAGGAGGGCACAGCAAACGGGTTATCATCATCATTATTATTATCATCTGTGTCTTGGGGCAAAACATACTTTTGGTTGTCTTTATTACTAGGAATAACAGAGCCCATGAAATCTGATCTGCAAGTGTCCTGAGGATACACCAGAAGGTACTTTTTAAAAAAAATAGATATTTTACCAAATATGTCGAAGTTAGAAATTATCTATAAATGACTATAAATTATCTATAAATGCGACTGGGAGTCGGCTTTCATGCGAGTAGCCTCTCGCTGCTGTCAGTAGGACGCCTCGGTTGGATGTCTAACTTCTCCCACGTCCAAGTCGGCCATTTTGATTAGGTCATGTGACTAGAAGCTTTCTGAGGCGGAAACGGAACTTTACTCTCTCGACGACATCGGAAGACAAACGATGTCGGTAAGTGAAAAATACATCATTTTATCTTCATAGGCCTAATGATATTACTTTGTTGACCCTGCTGGAAGAAATATTTATGATATTGGATGTGACTATCTAGTTTGTTGGGTTCATTAGTTTTTTGCATGATAAGGCCGTAGTTTTGTAGGCTACCTTCAATTTAATGTTAGCTAGCTCTAGGTCCTGTCTTGTGAAATTGGTTTTATGTAATATCCATCCCGTGATGTTAAATTAACATTACAGAACATTTGTGTGTGAAGAAAGTGTGCAAGATCAGTTAAAGCCCAACAGTTAGAGTGAAAATGATTTCGGCTTGAGAAAGATAATGTTATTAGCCTGCTAACGGTAGTTACACACGTCGGTACACTTAGCAGAGTTTCTAGCGGTTTAACTTGTAACAGTATCCATTTACAAACGTTTTTGACTGTGTTGACAAAGAGTACAGCTTATTGTCATAGATAATAATCATTAATATATTTAAAAACTGTACGTGCACAGAAAAAGGCAAATGTTTTGGTCAAGGTCTGTCAGCAGGCCAGCTTGATGTATCTTCAAATGTTAAAGGCACGTGTAAGCCCTGTAGAGAACAACTATGATGAGTAACGCACAGTGCATGATTTGATCATGTTTTTCAGCATCCAACACACTTCAAAGGCCGTCCGGCCACTCGGAAGTACCTGAAGGATGGTATATACAAATGCCCCTGCTGCAAATTCTGTACAGAACATGACTACAAATTATATTATCATATTGATGAACACCTTAAACATGCAGTGCATCTTGCAGGTAGGGTTGTAGACATGGAAGTAGCTTGTTTTACACCATAACTATGTACAACTACTACATTTCTATGAGTTATTGATTAATGGTTTTGTTTCTGTTTTACAGAGTATGACATCTGCAAATGCAGCCTGCAATGCAGGTCAACTGCACACTTCCACTGTCTCTATTGCACCAAGACAATAATCCGCAAAGACCATGTACTTTCACACTTGAATATCTGCCCCTCCAACAAAATGCTCCTCCCTTCTTCTGCCTCCACTCTTCATCTGGCCTCCAGCATTGCAGCCACCAGGGCTCCACAATCTCCTGGCAAGTCCTCTGAACAGGCCTCCACTGTTGCGGCCACCAGTGCTCCACAATTTCCTGCTGCCCCTTCTAAACAGGCCTCCACTGTTGCAGCCACCAGTGCTCCACTATCTCCTGGCAACTCCTCTGAACTGGCCTCCAGCATTGCAGCCATCAGTGCTCCACTATCTCCTGCTGCCCCCTCTGAACTGGCCTCCACTGTTGTAGCCACCAGCACCACGCCATCGCCTGTCTCTGCCTCTCGTGTGCCCTCCAGTGCACCACCACACAAGAGGATTACAAATGAATCTGTCATGTGTCCATATTGTGGTGTTACAATATACAGGAGGAATGTGAAACTGCACATTCAGAGAAAACATAAGCCCAGAGAAGTAGACATCGCAGCAAGTAAGTATTTGAAATCCCAGTCAATAGATTCTAAAAATGCAATATTTGCTGTGGTAAGGTCATTGTCAGGCCCCAGCACCTATGGTGTTACATTTATTCTAATTTTCCTTATTTTCTTAGTCAGTAAAGTAAACCAATATATGATTTAAACCACCAGTAAAGTCAGATGCCAAACTTGCAAAAGATTTCTTTTAAACATCAAAGCTCTTCTTTGTTATTTGTAGACAGTGTGTTGGAACCAGGCGACCTGGAGATGGCGGAATGGCCCGAGACAGCTTTGGAGCCGGATGAGGACTCATTCGACTCATCAGAGAAGACTCTTCTTTCACAAAAGAAGAATAGTGGCACTCCTCAGTTGGAGAGCGGTACTCGCACTCCTATTCTGGATTTATCAAGTGAGTTTTTTAATATTCTATCTTCATCTAGAGTGTGTTGGTTCCTGTTGCCAACACACTCCTCTTGCTCCCAGATGTTAAAGTTTATGACATCACGTTGTATTCCTTTGGCAAGTACATGCCACATATATAATTCTGCAGCTCCTTTTGTAGAGCCAAGAGTGGCACCAGCAAAGAAGAGGAAGCGCCGCGAATCTGATGTGGAACAGCTCATATCCACGATGCAGCAGATGCAAAGGACATGGATGGAGCAGATCCAACAAAGCCATGAGAGGGAAGAACGCCTAGTCAACAGCATTTTGCAAAGCAATGCAATAATGGTGTCCACCATAATGGAGGGCATCCGCAGCCTGCGTTCCTCCATGTCACCAAATGTCTCACAGGTACAAAGATTTAGAAGAGATGTGCCTTAAAGGAGGCATCACTAACACTGCACTTATATACCCCTTTGCCGTGTTTTCTATACATGAATTGTATTCGAGTTGAGGGATGAACTGTGTGTCACTGGTTCTTTCATATAGATCACAGAGGATGACAGCAGCGCATCTCAAAATTCACCTGCGCTAAGATCTTCGGCCTCTCAAACAGATCCCATAGAGAAAATATTAGTTGGCACTCCACAGCATAATGTCACAAGTACAGGTTTGTAGTCACACAGTTCATGCATGAAATAAGTTCTCACCACTACAACAAATAAACATTTCATTATACAAAATCTCTTTGTGTCTTCTTTCAGTTACTTTCCCAAACACAAGTGTGATGGCTACATATATTTAGTAAAGAGGTTGTACCATGAAAATTCACTCATTGCAAAAATAAGGCCAATAAAACAAAGGCTGATTCTCTATAGCCACAGCGTTTGGGAAAAACACAGCTGGGTTGTAAGTCCAGCATTCTTACAACTTTTATCCCCACAATAAACATAGTGCACATAATGCAGAAAAGTTCCATTTCATCAGTAATGAAACACTATAGAGGTATTGAAATGAACTCCAGAATGTCTTATGAGAAGAGCCACATTCAACAGAGATGAAGTTTAAAATAGGTCTGTTACTACAGGAAGTACTGTACATACCAGTTAAGCATGTTGAATATGTGATTTTCAGTTGGTTTGAATGTCTTTTTTTTTCAAATTGAGCACTTGAATTTATTAGCTGTTGATAGGACTTACTATTCCTACTTTCCAACATCTTAAAAATCATTTATATATATTCACACATAGGTGGACGCTCAGTCTGAAAGCCAGTTAACCGAAAATTGTCCACATAACTTATCCTCAAGTTGTATTTTCAAGGCTTTAACTAATTCTGCTTGAAATATATTTTTTCCTTTTAGTTATTTAAACTGGAGTATAGTATATGTGTCCTAAAATAAAGGATGTGATACTTTCTACACAGCATTTTCAGGAGACGGGTTCACTAAAAGCAGAACCACTAAATTCTGATGAATATCTCTCATGTCAGGATTCGACGAAATTTACATTCCAGAAACTTAACAATTTTTTCAAAACAACTGTGATGTAACAAAACACAAGAATGAATCTGACCTGGTACTCCTGCTTGTATCCATGGGGAAATGTCTGTGCCTTCACCATTCGTCTCCAGTTTGGTTGTGTTAATGGGCGCCAGAAGTTTGACCACCTCCTCCATCACCTGATAATGTGGATGCAGCAACATGCCTTTTTCAATACATGCTCAATGACACTGAGCCAAGAGCTGTTCAGACATGATGCATCACTATTTCATTTACATAACTAACTACAGAGTCATTTCTGCCAATTCCAACGCAACCTATAGTTAAGAAGTTGAATATATCAAGTTTTTAATATATAACTAGTGTGGGACAAGTGTTGAAAACATAGAGAAAAACCATGCTGTATAGCATTGTCACAATAAAGCAAATGGAAAAAAGATCAATTATCCAATCATTATGGTGTACAGCGTACAGTGTACAACAGACTAAGGGGTTCTAAATTTGTGGGTTTTTTATAGTCAAAGTTTGACCTTTACACTCACTTTTTTGGCCTTGTCACTGCCAGTAAACTGGAGAGCCACTGGGGTGAATGTCCCCAAGTCAGACTCCATAACAAGGTCAAAGTTAGAAATGTTCACCTGTGTTGAGAAAGCACAACAGAAACCCAACAAATGTTTAAAAAAAAATTAAAAAAAAGAAAACAATGAAAGTCCAAAAACTCAAAACACATCGGCAAGCCTACAAATAAAAATACAAATTCCAATACAAACTATACAAATATAGCATTTTAATGGCATTAACAGGTGTCGGTTCACCTCTACTTCAGGGCGTTTGTGCACTCAAACAGCCACTAGGAGCTGCTGTAAGGTAAGAACCCCATCAGCCACTTTTCTCCAAAGTGGACTTATCTGGTTCTTACTTTAGAGAGTGACGGTACACTGGTGAAGAATGCACCATTTCATGGACAAAAGAGCACTAACCCCTAAATCTCTGGTTTTGAGAATATAGTTTATTATGGGTCAGAGCCTGGTTGGCGGCCAAAACTCTAAAGAGGGAAACTGTAGACTGGACTGTTCAGGGAGTGAGCCAAGGCCTCTCCTGTTTGCTGGAAGTACATTTCCACACTCCGTCATGGCTTTCACAATGCCCCTGACCCTTACCACTTCTTATTAGGGGGGAGATATTTGCTTTATGACTCTCTATTTTGGTAAGTGCGACAGTGCAGACTGTAACAGTACCTTATGGAGGTTGTAGTATTGCTGTGCTCCAACTCCACCCTGCTCCTCTGCTGTCCACAGCACTGCTCGTAAAGTTCTTCTGGGGTGTAAGCCTACAAGAAGGTAAAGACAAATTAATGTAGTTATTGGTCTACTTCAATGTTACACTCGATTCTCCCCCTCATTTGGACAATAAACGCTTTCTGCTCTTAGCCAATGGTACCTCATGTCAAATTGGCTGTATGAATACGTTTGCTTTTGAATGGTGGTCAGTGTAAGCCACAGCCACATCATAAGGAAGCGAAAGGTAACCATTACTCTCAGGAGTAAATGTTACAGCTATAGAGGTGTCAGCCAGTTTTGGTTTTAAAGGTCGACGTTTTAGGATTTCTGTCTGCTGTCCGACAGTGTGGAGAGAGAGAGTTTAGTTGGTCAGTGACACTGGGTCAAAAAAAAATCAACATCAAGGGCAAAACAATTTTGAAACAACTGTACCCATCAAAACTTCAAAAAAATACTCCTAAATTACAGTTGAATATCTTTGTAGAGCAGCCTCAGCTGATCCCTGGCATATAATCATATTCATATTTCCAAGGGAAAAAAAAACAAACAGAAAATCTCCTGAGCTCAAGGTTCCACTTTAGAATTAGTATTTTAAAGCATTTTTCCTCCTAAAGCCAAAAGCAGCCACCGCAGTCTGTGAGGGGGGGGCATTCCTCATCAACCAGAAGTTGGTGGATGAGCAGAGATTGAGATTGGCATCAGTGTCTCCATACAGAATGGAATAGAAGGAAGTACAGGAACTGGTGAAAGCCACAACATCGGCTAAATGTTTAAACTCGCAGCTGTTTACCACTCTACCAGTTCCTAAAGTAAACACATGTGCGCGTTCATCTCGTATTTCCCTGTGTGCTGCAGATGTGCGTCTGTGTATTACCTAAGTCTTTGATGAGTGACAGCGCTTCCCAGGATATCACTGCTCCACCTCCGTCATCCATAGCGCCCTGGCCCACATCCCAGCTGTCCAAATGACCGCTCAGTAAGACAACCTAAGGGATTGTTGAGATAAAGAGTAACCGTGTAAACGCAGAGAAAAACAACTGAGAGGGGTTGGTGGGACATTTTACTGAAATTCATGAAAAGGGAACTTCGACCATTTTAGATAACACTCTCCTGTGTCTATTTCATTGAAAATACACTCATTCTCTTAATTAAATAAAAAAAAACATCACATTTTTATTTAAAGATCCAAATGACAAAGGCTTTAAATCCATGAATCTGTGAGGAAGGGGAGACGCTTGAAAAAACATGATAACGGAAAGGGTAAGCACACAGTTCCGAGTGTTATGGCCTCTGCCAGGAATTTAAGGGGGGACGAATTCCTGTCAGTGGGATGACTGACCTAATGCTCCAGGTTAGAAAAAAAAATCAGACCTGAAAGAACGCTGTGCAAAGCCAGTGGTCAAACATCCTTTTAAAAGCAAAAGAAAGTTGCGCAATGCTGGAAGTTATTATCTGGGAGCTTGAAAGTGTTACCAGCAAACAATCTTATAATACCATAATCCCACGCAAACAAAATATATTCCCAGAACAGATTTCTACAAGTACAGAGACACAAATGACTCTATGCCAACATTCTGTTGTCTATCTTGCTGTCTCTCCTGAAAGGCCCAATCTACTCTTACTGGCCAAATTTAGGCCAGGAGTGTTAGAATAGTCACCAGTCAAGCATGAGGGAAATGTGTTTAACGGTGATGACAAATGCAGGAGAAAATGGAAGTGATTCAGACTGTTTGGGAAAGTTAATTCTGTGTGAAATAACTTAACTCTGTTTACTATAGACTATCGGTCACTTTGATGAGCTTTTATATGCACAAAAAGATTGTAGAACACACCAAAGAACAGTGAAAAATGCAATAATAATAATGCAATAGTTATCTTGGAAATATTCATTTGTATCTCTTTTGAAGTTTTAATGTTACGGAAACGTTCAAAGACATTTTCATTTTAAAAGAAAGGCGAGATGAGAGGAGGCTGAGTGGGTGGACAAAAAACTCCAAGCAAGTCAGCAATCTCTGAAAGGCAAGAAATGACTCACCAAATCTCAAATGAACAGTTCTGAGCAAAGTCTGAGGAACAGAGATCCTGCCAGCCACAGCATGCATTTTATTTCCCTCTGCGACAATGACAACATACGCTCTGAGATCAGAGGACCTGTGGGTCGCCTTGGAATGGACGGGTATTACGTCATGTCTAACAAGCACCTCCATCCAAGTTTTCCTGTCAGGCTCTCTGGGGAGCTTTCTTTAGCACTTTTATCACTGTGAAAGAAAACGAAAAGGCCAAAAACTTCCACTGCCGCACTTCTCTATTTTAGCTGATTTTCAATCCGACATGTGAAAATGGAAATGGTTGATCAGATAGAGCCAACAATCAGAGGCGTTAAGCCTCCCTAGTTCTTATCTTACAGGAAAAACCTGATGGCTGCGCAGTGATTCATCTCTCTGTTTTATTGTCCGATCCCTTTCCCCATGTGCATCCATGTGCCCACATAAAACTCCACGTGCCCTCCAGCTGAGCGAGCCTCTCGTCCCACCAATCTCATGAGCTGTGCTGTAAAGCAGTGTGATGGAAATCAATATATGTGTAATCAATTTGTTCAGTGCTATCGGGATTTTCCTTTAGCTATTATATTTTGGCCAGGAAATTCTCCCATCTGCATGAACGTGTTATGTCTTGAGGACTCTGGACTACGTGTAAATCTGCAGCAGCCCTTTATCTGCTCATCAGGTTCTACCTGTTAGACATATTTGAATTGTTATCAACGTATTTAAAAATAAAACTGTGTGGTACCATACTGCATAGCTGCTAGCTGGGCCACCTCATGTGTTTAAGGATTTATATAAATATCTTTATAAGGCCTCTGGATATCCTTCCCGAAACGTCAAGGAATCAAATCGTTCTCAATTTCTTGTCTTTACTTCCAGCCAAGTAAGAGTCTGCATTCCATCTGACTCCAACATTTCATACAATTAAGTTAAATGATTGCAGGTGGATGGTTTGGCACCAGTTAAAAAATGAGAGTAGAAAAAGTTTTTCTAATTTCTTGAGCAGGAATAAATAATCATACAAATGGCTGGAGTGGGAATTCCAGTTCACAAAAAAAGAAATTGTTTACATAGAGAAAAAAAACCTCTCCCTGTTAGCAGAGGTTATTTTCCACTGACATCTGTTGTCGTATCAACAATCAGGAAGTCCAGGACACACCGTTCTCCACTTAGAAAAACCTCAAACTCAGGCAGAAATGCGTCAAAAAGTCTTTCAGACAAAAAGAAGTGAATTGTTATTGCTATTTTTTCCAACTAATTCATCTTCAACATCCAATTTAAATGACAACCTTTAACACCAACCCTGAAACTGAGCTGAGGGCCTGCGGTGTGATGGTATACAGAGATAAACGAGACATAAACAGACGTGCAGATACATGTGGGGAGTGAGCTGCTGCTACCTGATCGGGGTACTGCCAGCCTCTAATCTCCGCCACTGTGTTAAAAGAGTCGGCGTCTGGCAACGTCTTCGCTCCCATTGTGAGTCTGACCACGATCTTCTGTCCCCTCTGAGCCATTCGCCACATCAGCTCAGCATCCTCCACCGTGATACAGGCTGTAGGGATGCGCTTCACTCCTCCTTCATAAACCTGCCAACCTGTGTGGGGACTAAGGCAAAGACAGGAAGTATTACTGTGGACTAAACTGAAGCAGGTGAGGCCGTTTGCTGACCGACGGAGACGTACCTGTTAATGGAGAAGGGGGTGACGGATCGAATGAGGGAGGCCACAGCTCCCACTTTGGCCGCCTCTGAGGCACCAAAAGCCCGGTAAGCCACCGTCTCCTCATAGCTGACAAAGGGCTGGTTAAACACCACAATCTTCCCCGCAGCCTCGCCGGCCCTGCGCTTCAGTTCCTCAAAAGAGCAAACCACCAGCACCTCAGCCTCAATCCCTGAAAACACAACAAGTTAGGCACCGTGCAGCGTGAACACAGACCTGTGTTCCCGGTCAGACGGTCACCCTCGGGAGGCGTTCCCACACTGCTGCCCAGCCCCAGCACAGCCAGGCTCTTGTTCCTGGGCCAGATCATGTCTGCGCTCTCCTTCCCTCTGACCCAGTGAGGGATTTTGACTGGTTCTGAAGAAGGGTAGCAAAGGATGACACGCAAACCACACACCAAAGACCACTGAAAGGGGTTTGTGAAGCCTCAGTGTCTCACGCACGGTTTCTATCTCAACCACACTCACCCAGATGCACGTCTAAGCCGTCCTGCGTCATGGCGTTGTACATGTATTTGATGGCCATGTCCAGGCTGTGGGAGCCGCTGACGCGGCTTCCTATGGCGTCGGTGAACTCGGCCAGCCGCCGGTACGAGCGGTTCTGGGCAGTACCGGACACGGCCAGCTCAATGATCCGTTTGGCAACGTCAGCATAACCGGCAACCTCCGATGCCACGTCTGAAGCTGCGTTCAGAGAGGAAGAAGGAGTTAACGCAGAGTTTTTCCACACTGGACGTCTTTTAAAGGATGCATCAGAAAAAGATACGCCAGGAGTTAACAAACACAAAAGGGAATAAAAACTAATACACGTGCATTTCAGTCCATGGGCTACGTTGTGCACGGATGCACAACATTCAAAAAGCAACAGAATAGCAAGTAAACCCATCAAAAAGGTAGGGAATCAGAAAAATGTCCAAATAGCTGTACCTGGCTATCAAATGGAAAAACACCTCAGTGATAGCTGAGCTACACTCATAACAGGGTCATCTTATATCAGTCAAGGATAAATAAAGCTCCACTTTGACATTCCGAAACCAAATATATTATATTCCCTTTTCCACTAAATCTGAGTGGATATAAGGGCAGCCTGAACAAAGCATGCAGGCTCCTGGTAGAGTTAAAGCCACTTTAAAGGGATGCTTCAGATATCTATGGTACAAGGGTCCCGGGCCTTTCGTCCCCAAAACAAACAAAAACAAACAAAGCAATAAAAAAAATTTGATCTGTTTGCAGGACTTTATTGTGCTCCTCACATCTGATGCATTACCTCTTTTAGAAGTTGGACTGGCTGCAGACCCAGTGGCGGATGTGGAGCTCACGTATCGAGCCGGCGGCTGTGGACGGCTGTCACACACACGTGACAACGTGACAAATATCAAGAGTAAAATGAGGAGAGACGCTCTCTCCTGCAGAGCCATCTGCAAACACAAATGTGGGTATGATTATGGAACAGGTCCCAGAATTGACCCCACACTGCCACACAATCGTTACTCAGTACTCGTTGCGACATCAGCCCCTTTACTGTCCGGCTCTGGGGGCCAGCGCACACTTTTACTCTCAGACAGGAAGTGTTTGACTGAGGATGTGTGTCTAAAAACAAACGAGCCCCCTCGAACACAAACCTTTAAAAGCGGCCCCTTATTGTCCTGGACGCCAAAAAGACTTGGGAAAAACAAGAGGTAAAGCCGGTACGCCGCAAAGACTTCGAACCTTACATCACGTTTCCGTGTTTTTGATATCAGACGAAGACTTCCGGTGGGAGCGTTTTCACAATAAAAACACCGTCTGAAGCCACTTTTTCTGTTATGACATTTTCTTCAAACTAAATGTTGTATCATAAATACCACAGATACGTGTGTCATCACAAAACACACACCAGCTGGGTCACCTAAAAAATATCTAAAAGAATGAACGATGAACTACATTAAGACGTTTTATATTACGTTTGGCATTTACATTTTGAGCTTAACTAGAAGAAGAACCCCGGGAAAACATCTGCTGTTTACTCAGTGGCTCAGATTGTGTATTTGGCTCCGTTCTTTCCAACACAGTGGCTTTTTCCTCCCTCTCTCTCTCTCTCTCTCTCTCTCTCTCTCTCTCTCTCTCTCTCTCTCTCTCTCTCTCTCTCTTGGGATTACATTTGTCAGCAAAGGCTAGGAGGCCTGTTTTTTCTGTTTCTACAGTACTGTACAAACAGGTAGAGCAACAAAGAAAGATTTATAGAAAAGTGAGAACGAAAAGGGGTCAGCCGAAGGGCAGAAACCAAACAGATTTTTTTATTTATTTCATTACTGCACAGCACTCACCAGTGGAATGCTGCGTTTGTTCTTTCATCTACTGTTGTTTTAAATGAAAATCAGCCTCAGATAAGATGACATCCTAATCCAGTTCCTCAAAAGTATATAGTAGTACAGATGCTGAAAAGTGGCTTTGATGCAAACATTCTAACAATCACATCCCTGCATTTATATTCACATGTGAGATAAGATAACTTCTATCCACTATGTCTATGCAGAATGCATGATAACATATTTTGGTATTTGAATCATAGAATGTAATGCAATACGCGCCTATTCACTTAATTGCTTATTCATTTTCATGATAACACATATCTTAGTTGGGTTACTTTTGCATTTGTTTTGCAAGTCTTTGACTAGTATCAAATGGCATGCAGTTTAGTGGTAATATTTCTTGTCTAAATTAAGGATCCTGGTACTTCCTTCACCACTTATAATATCACCATACACAGGCCTTACTCTTGTAAACATCTTTAGCTGACATAATAATGCCTGTGCTTGGAATGTATTGTATCCACACAGTAGAAAACACTGCATTTATCTGCCCACATCCCAGTCTGTGGTTTTCATCCCCCATTTTTCTTTACCACTAATCTGCATTCCTTTGCAGTCTCTGCAGTGCTTTCCACTCTAAATGTCCCACCCATATCAGATTAACTTGGTTTCTTACACATTAGAACCACTTGCACAATATCAGGTACTTATGCACAGATTGTTATCTGGGAAATGTTATTTGCTTTTGACATAATGAATCTCCCCGCCTTTTGTGAGGCACCTCGGTCATATGTACGCCGCTTTCTGCATCGTCAGCTCTTGGAAAACATCTGACCATTTGGCTCAGTCCAAATACAGCTCACTTGGTTTAACACGGTGGTTTGAAAACCTTTTTTCTTTCTCTCTCTCTTGGGATTACATTGGTTAGAGAAAGCTGAGAGGCGTTTTTTCTTTTTCTGCAATACTGTGCAAATAGGTACAACAAAAAAGAAAGATATATAGAAAAGTGAGCATGAAAAGGGGTCAACAGCAGGGCAGAAACCAAACAGCATCAACGTGTTGAATATGAGAACACACACTGTTCAGTCAACACATTTGTGTTGATGAAGAATGTATGAGAGCAAAACATGTCATGTGTGCCCTCACTTTGGATAGATCCTCACAGCAAATGAAACGAATACAGACACTTTAATCTCTGAATCAAAGCCAAATCTTTTATTCAGTAGTGAAGCTCCAAAGATACACCAGCAACGTCAGCAACACGGTTGTCACCCTAAGACGCCTCTCTACACAAAGGTCGTGTTGCATTGATGTTGATAACTGCTGTGTAAGTTTATCTAATGTAATCAAGGCTTCAATCTATTCATATTCAACAGTAAAACAATAGTTGCACTTTGCCTAGAAAGAACTTTATCAAATGCATTCATATGAGAGAAAGCATTTTAGATAACCAATAATAAAGTTGAAAACAGATAGAACAAACCTTGTCAATTATGCTAAACATGGTTATAATTGCTTATAAAAAGCTTGGGCAGAAAGCATAGAATAGGATTCTGTACAACACTACACATCCTAATTATCACTGTCATATTGTCCTGGTTTCTAATCTAAGTGAGTATAAGTTAATCTATATAAATTATAGTGTAACATACATTCTGTATAAACTCAGAAATCCCAGAATTTGTGGGTTACTGCGTAACACTTGCTGGTTTGCCAGTGAGCATTAACCCATCGTCTTTAACCCCTGATGGGTCCGGTTCATGCAAACAGAAAGTTTCCTAAATCCCTCTGGTGCATTGACATTTAGCCCAGAACAAACAGCTGTGACCCCTTGCAGCTCAAAGTTCTGTCTTACTAAGGAATCTGCAAATGGAAGTGCATGAAAGCACTGTGAGGCTGCAAGTGCTCACCACGCGTCACGTTAACAGTAAGCCTCAGTGTGTCGGTGACCACCTCTTCCTGTTTACTCCAGCCCATTTGCATTTAATATTACGAAGCTTTTAAAGTGTACTTTCTACAACTGAAAAAACAAAAATAAAAAATCACTGACGAACTTTGACAACGTTTTTGATAAAACTATGTAAAGGGTTGAAATAAAAGTTTTGAGGTGATAATTTATAACTTTCATTCTTTACTCTACTGCTATATTCGGTCATGCTGATAACCAATGCCAATTTAAAAATGGTAGTGAGCTTTGCAAAAATAAAGAAATTCTGCCTCAGTAAGAAGCACCAGTTGTAAAACAGTCCTTTCTGACATGTTATAGGCAATAGGCAGCTAGGTAAAATCCACACACGGCAAATTTCTAAAATCTATTATCAAAATATATCTTCAGCAGGGTGTTTGTATGCTTTTAAAAGGGGAATGCCACCCTTTTGTCACTGCTACTGAATGTCTTCTACATCCTGCAGCACCCCCAATTCTTATGGATGTTTGAGGTAACGTCTGAAAACCAGGGAGTACTTCTTTAAAATCTATTTACACAAAGACTAAATGATTAAACAGAAAATTCTGGTCGTCACTGACTGCATTTTTAACCCCGCTGCGTAAACTGACACTGTGCATTGTAAGAAAAACTAAATGCCATCGCTGTCCCTTTTACTTCAAACCCACTATTACAGCTGTGTGCAGTAGACGGTCTGAATGGAATGTGCTTTGGCTTTGGCCAGAAAACACTGGTCACTTCTTCGGGTTCTGAATTATAGTCATTAGCTTTGGCTTCACCTGTTCCATGTGCCTGCAGAAAGCAGTCACCAAATAAAATAATCCTGAAAATATTACTAATGTTAAGGTGCGTGCCTGAGGTACTTTCACCAAGCCTACAGACGCAGCCACACAACAGCAATTTCATTAAATCTGGCTTAATGAAATGTAATCTCAAAACATCAAAAACACCTTTAAAAAGCTATGCAAATTATTTTCATTACACAAATAAAGCACATTTATATTTGGTCAGTTCTAGAAGTATCAAATATCTGAGAAAACACACATTTGTACCTGCCGAGTAACAAAAATCTCCCCTAGCAATATTAGACAGCATATGAAAACACTTGTTGCACACTTGTATTCATTACAGCAAAAAAACAAAACAAAACGCAGATGACAAAATGAAATGTAACACACGCAGCTGTTAACAGGCAGAGCAAACATGACCTCACAGAGAAAATGGATTCAGCTTTATAAGGCCCTTCATAATAATACTCCTGTATCTAGTACCATTCATAGCAAAAGCACCCCACTAAAACATTACAGGTGACCCATTCATGTTACTGTCAAACATCTAAGCTGTTGAGACGGTCTCTTTAGCTGCAGATCCTTTAAAAAGGAATAATCAATTTCAGTGTGGTTCAACTTTGAAATATTTAGTGGGTCTAAAGGCACAGTGTTATCAGAGGTTACAGTTTGCACCTTTACAAGCACTACGACAGCTTCGATACATTGTGACAATAGAGAAAAGATTCCTTTAATATAATGCAGAAAATGTCTTTCCCTGACAGGAAATGACACGGATACTTTATAGCTGTCTTGTTTTGTTTCATTATGACTCTTTCTGCACAAAAGCTAAACATTATGTAGAGCAAAAGATAAAAAGGTGGCAGAAGACAAAGGCGGGAATGATGAAAAATTACTTCAAACTTCATCAAAAGGAATCTTATGCAGTTGTTTAGATCCATTTTCTATCCTGATTGGCAGAAGAAAAATCCTGCTACAGAGTCTCTCTGCTGGTCAGTTCAGGCGTAGAACTCCTTGGTGGGCGCTTTGTGATATGCTGTTGCAGAAAGTTTGGTGTCTCCCAGGTCATAGCTTCCTTCATCCTTCTTCTTCATGCGGTAAGCGAGGAGGAGAAGAAGGAAAACGGCAAAGAGGAAGCCCACCACTCCGCATGCTATCACAGCTGGAGAGGACAATGGATAAAAATAACAAAACCAATTTAGTTTTGAAGAAAAAAAATAAAAATTTATAATAAAAAAAGGCAATGAAATCTTTCGTTACCTGCCAGAACATCTGTCCTCTCCCACAAGTTCTCAGAGGTCACCTCCTCTGGAGTGCCAGCCTTTTGAAGTCTGTTGCCATTACCTCCCCTGGCAATAACTTCTTTTTCAACTACTTCATTCAGCTCTACGTCTTCTGGTGTAATCTCCCAAGCATCCTGATCTCTTTCGTCATCAGCATAGGGGGTTACGGCGCTGCTGTACTCAGGGGCTTTGGTTTCAAAAGGAGCCTCGGTTTCAAAAGGAGCCTCGGTTTCAAAAGGAGCTACGGTGCTGGGACTGGACATGTCCAATATGCTGCTTGATGTAGGGCTTGTGTCCAGCATCTGGAATAATATGTGAATTTAGAAAAAAACATTAAGCACGTGGTAAAAAATATATTTTTTAAAAATTATTAAAAAAAACAGACAGGCATTCCCTGTTAAATATGCTTCAGAACAAAATTTAGACAACAAAAAAATAGAAAAATACAGTCGGCACTGCAAGGTTATTAGGCTTGTCATTTCCTCCTCAGTGCTGTCCATACGTGGGGAATTATTATCAAATCTAAATCATGAGAATAGAATTTACAAATATAATTGAATTTGTCACAAGCTTTTGAAAGAACCACCACATGAGCAGTCTTACCCTTCACAGAGCATCATACTTGCCATTTAAAAGCAGAATCCTAAAGATATTTAACTTCTCTGCAAGCACTTGGAAGAAAAACAAAGTGTCCCTTTACCTCTTGACTCCTGCCCTCTGTTGACAGTGCTGTACTCTGGCTGCCTGACACCGTGGTTTCCGTGGAGACTGCTGTTGGCTGAGGTTGGAGCGGCTGCATTTCTTTGGAGAAGGAATTTCCAGAAAAGTTGAAGAACTTTCTGATTACTTCCTCTTCATCCAGAGCTGAGGTAGAAGAAACATGAATATGAATTAAGAATTTTTCTACATGACACCATTTTGAGGAGAGAAGCTAAAGAAGCTTCTACAAGAAAACATTCACCAAATGTTGAGACAGACATTTCTTGTAGTGCCTACAATACAGGTGAGTCATTGATAGTACTGGCAAGGATTATCTGATATTTCCGGACTTCCAATAAATCTTCACCTGGTTTACAACACATCACCTCAGGACAAACATCTGGCTCACTGAGAGTGCTTCTGTGTCTCAATGAACAAGCAGTAGCATGTGTGCTACATACACCTCATTTATCTGCATACTGTACGTACATGAGCAGACTAAATTACATTATTCTTAGAGTAAAGGTTTCCCCTTTAATTAGTAAAAGGGTAAAGATTACCAAAAAAAATTAATTAATTACCATGAAGAAGTGCAATAACATGGCTGCAATTCTAAAATGCGTTATCTAAGAAAACACAGCCACCGTAAAACCCCCATTTGGAGTGGTATTCAAAAAGAATATTCCCTATTTTCACAGACCTTTTCAAACATCCCCTGCACATACTTCAATCATTATGAAAAACAAAACACAAACAAACAAACACACGAACGAAGATGATGAAAATAAAAGTCTATTTACACCCATCTCCAGAGCCAGAGCCAGACCCATCATCATCCCCATCTTCATCATCAACAGGGAGGTCCCCTGATGCTTGGTCTTCTATATACAAGTCATACGAGCCATCGTCATTGGTTGTCTTGGCCGGGGAAAAGCTATAGAACTGCAAGGCAAAGAAAAAAAAATCATCATTCAAATTGAGAAGAAAAACTAACACGGCAAAAAAACAGGGAAGGGGAGACGAAACCATAAATTCACACTTGTTGAATTCCTTCCTCTAATTGAAGCCATGTGAATGTCTCTGCAGGTCTGGAGTAAAACAATACCTCTCACAACCAATGATGTAAGCTCGCCAAATATGCTGCAGAGTGTATGGCCGTTTGCGGTGGAAACCAGTGCATACTGCATCCACAATACTGTATGCACGGTGGATCCAAGCTACATTCATGCTCATTTGGTGGGGTGGCAGTAATGTGCAATACATTACAAAGCCAGATAGCAAAGATCTAAGCAGTTCTGAGAGGAGGAGGAGGAGGAGGGGTTAGATAAAGAAGCTTCAAAGACAACACACACAGAAAAGAGTGCTGCAGCTCTGGAAAACCTCCCACTAACCCAAACACTACAGAGAGAAGAGAGGTGAAAACCCAAGCCCCTCTTCTCTCTACATCTTAAGCCGAGTCAGAGAGGAGGTCATTTAACAAAGGCCTAAAGCCAATAAGAAAAACAAAAATTGAGGGCTGATAATGACCAAAAACAGAAGGAGAGGGATCACATGAAGGTGGTGTTAAGACAGAGTGGGACACACACACGCACATGGATGAATATGGCCCATTGAGACTTGAAGTATGTCTGGTATGTATACTATGCTTTCACTAACACAGGTGCTGAGAGTTAGTAAGGAGAGACTGGAGAAAGGAAGGGAAGGAGAGAGACAGAGATACCTCTGTGTGCGTCTTATAAAACAGGTGTTGGAGACAAAGAAGAAGGCGTGTAACAAGGTGAAACTTTCTGCCTAACGGCAATAAATATTAACCGCTTTGGAGAAGTCAGTGTATTGATGATATATTGAATAAAAGAGCCTTCTGTTGTCAATACCAGTTCTCTTTAATAGCAGCTCATTATTGGTCATCAGATACATAGAACAAATGTGTAAACACTCAGACAAGTTGGTCATTTGAACGTACATCATGTACTTGTCCAGTAAATACTTGACTCCGTTCCATTGTGTGGTCTAGAAGACTATAACATTACAAGAACCCCTATTGGAACATCTACTGGAAGATTCAAACTGTGAGGACATAAGCCGACAGCATTTCTTTCTAAAGACAGCAGAATGTCGTAATATCAAGACCGACTAAAATAGCAGAGGAGTCTCTGTTCCTGCCATCTACATCCAGGGATTACAAAACCAGATGCCGGGCCTGTCAGAACCAAACGCACAAGCATTAATGCACTAAATTCTGAAATTGGTAAAAGATGCACACAAGCCATCTATTTGCATTTAAAGATTTAAGCTTCTTTATATTTAGATTTTGGGTATATCGCCACAGAGAGCTGGATGCTGTAGTTTCAGCTAGCTTCAGTTGCCCTTCAGAAACTCCTATGAGGGCTGCAGGATTCTCTCATAAAGACAGAGCTGCTCAGAATACTGCCTCAGGTGCTGTTCAACTGACACTTTCCCTTTCTACCCTCCTTGCCATTTTGAAAAGTTAAAATCTTCATCAGCATGTGTGGGAATACAGTCTGTAATCAATAATATGAAGTATGGAAGACGAAAAAATATCACACAAAGACGAACTTAGAATTTTAAAAAACATAGTAAAGATGGTTGACAATTCTTCACAAAACCCAACACAGCTTACTATCCTACAGGGGATACTTTTTTTCCGCAGATTGTATCATTAACATATGTTTAAGTTGGAGAAAAAAGTTGTGCTTTAACAAAAAGTGAAATATCATAAAACTAAAAGTATCAAAAGTCCTTATTTGTGCAGCCCCTGAGACAGAGATAAGATCTGCAACATGGAAGACAACACAAAGGACGCCAACATCTGGAAAACATACAAATGCAACTACACCCCACACGCACAGATACCGAGCATATACAAAAATGTGGTATCCTTATGTTTTGTCATGGAGACAGTTTACTGGAAACAGCTGGATCAGACTGGTAAAATTCTATAGACACATGACAAAGAAAGAGTCCCAGAAACAAACACCATTAAATGCACACGCCCATTTTAAACAAAAACAGAATGGAATGAAAATCTCAAACAATAATTTGTTTCTGACCAAACATGGAAAGCATTTGAGATATTTTACTCATTCCTGAAAGATAATAGCTGCTGTTTAATACATCTCTTAAAGTAGGAACAGGGAAAAGAAGGAGGCCTTGAAAAGAAATAGATGGAGGGACATGTTAAAAACTAACTGGGTAGGCTGGCAACACGTCAGTAACACGATTTTGGAGTTAATAGCACACCTTGGAGAAGCAGAGTTTCAGAGGTTAAGTTAGACAGAAACTAAGAACTGCATTAAAAACAATGATTGATTATGTCATTTAAAAGGAAAAATAGGATCAATGTATTATCTCAGACATGCTGAACAACAATTTTGCAAAGATGAGGACATACGTAAACATTGCTATCTTTTCTGGGATTAAATTTATTTTAAAATATAACTGGCAAAACAGCTTAGCTTAAAACATTTTTTGGAAACAGAATAAATCCAGGCAGTTAGAAACCCATATCAGAATGTAACAGTAGTATGTATATCTTTGCCATTAAATTCCAGATGAATTTGACTATTGTGATCAAATAGGAGCATTATTAAAATTATAGATTTTTCTCCTGCAAAAAATAAAAACAAAGACTGGAAGATGACTTGCATAACTAGCAAACACAATATCAACTAATCTTTTTCGCTCCTGTTGTGAGCAGGGCTGACAGATATTTTGCCGATGAGTTGGACACCAGTAAGAGAACACTGGGGTCAAGAGCAAGGTTGTGTAATAAATTAAGCACACACAGACACACACACACAAACCGGCACTATCATCTACAAAGCCAGAGCCACAGTGCACAATGCAATGTAAAATGGATCTGTGCCTAACAAAGACATCGAGCCAAAAAATGTTTGACCCCTAAACATGGAGATATGTCATGTTTTTTAACGGTCGCCGTGTCTCTGGAACATCTGATACTGAAGGAAACAGAGAATTTCTGATACAGCTCAGCAGGTCACAGTTTTTGATAAGGCAGCCTCTCTGCAAACATCCACATGTGACACAATATCTACTTCTGTCCGACACGTGGATGATGTTAAGTAGTCTTCCACACAGATTGTGGCAATTTGAAACTGCTGACCCCAAACTAAAAGTCCCAGTCTGCACCATTTAAGAAAAATGTCATGTAATGTAGTCCGTTGTGTGCTGATCAAAGAATGGTAGCCTGCAGGAGAGCTGATAAGACAGAATGCACCGAAATGTAGTTTCCAGTGTCTAACAGCAAAAGGATTTTAAAGACAACTGATACAATATTCCACCATTACAATATGAGGCAGGAAGTCGGAGAGCCTAAAACATACATTAGAACCATGTCAAGGATGCATTCTCAAAGCTACACAGATATGCACTGAGCCCTTATCCCACTTCCCAATGTTATGACTAAAGTTAAGAAGTGAGAGTCTGAAACTTCAGGAAAGCTCAGCTGCTTAACAAACCTACGCAGCAGTAAACATGTATTCAAGGAAACTATGTCTGTAGAGTAGTTTTGCCACCATATGCGTTTTGGTAATGTTCCTTAAAGGCACCATAAAAACAATCATAAATAATACTGTGATGAGTCGTCACCCTCTTCCTCATGCCTTTTGTGGTCGGATGGAAACTGCGTGTATCCCACGTAGTTGCGTGCGTGCCTGGACAAGCTCTGTGGGACTCACTGTGAGTCATCCATCCAGAAAATGACACAACTACCAGCCCGCAAGCTGTCACAGGCGCCAATCCCATTTCAACATTCGTCTTTCAGATGTGAGCACCATCGCTGCTGACTAACCGACAATTGCACACTCACCTCAGCCCCACTAAGAGAAAGACAGTTTAGATATGCGATGCGACCCATCACGCCCAGCAATTTAGGGCTGGAAGCAGCACGGGAAGCACGGGGCAAAGAGACATCCAAGCAGGGAGGCAAATTAGCCAGAGCCACAAACTTCATTCTAGCAGAATAAGAAAGTGGGTGGTATATTTTAGACAAGAAAAAGTAGACACTTACAATTAAGTGGTGAATTTAAATACCTATCTGTGTTTGGCATGTGGATATTTGCATTTCAAAAATTAAAAGTAAATCCTACCCTGACTGTTAGCATGTGGGCATACATTGTCTCCATTTGGGACGATGATATATGTTTCAGCTAAGCAGAATGTAGCTATTATAGAACAGATGGGATCTTTAAGCAGGAACAAAATATTATAAATGAAAAAAGTCAAATGGTAAAGAAGTACTTAAATTCTCTCAGCCCCATTTAGCGTCTGCTCTTTGCAGTTCCACACACTGGCACAATCTCAGGTTTCATTTCTCTGCCTTTCACAACTTGCACTCCTTGGATCTGTAACATTCACTTCTCTTGTGCTGGTGAAGTTCCTTGGCTCTCATTTGGAATTTTTACAGTCAATAAGTCGCACCAACAGGATATATTTTCATGTTTGTGACAGTGAACAAATCCCCCTTGAGCCTCTCATTTCCAGGTGTTTCCCCCCTTTTTTTTTTTACTAATAGAAACTGAAGAGGAAAGAAAGGGTGGAAGTTATCTGGTTTTAAGTTAGGACAGATTTGTCATTTCAGCCATAGGGCTATTATGATTCATGGCTATTGTAAGATTAACGTTGGATATTGATCACTTTTAAGAATCAGTATTTTGCGAGTACGCCCCAAATCCCGCACAGATGACTGATCCAGACCAGGTCTGGATGTGAAAGCTGTGAGCGAGATGATTACCAGACTTGTGAATCTGACACCAAATGGACGCTTGAACTTGGTTTAAACCACAGCGCTTTGCAGACTTTCAGCAAACCCCGAACCAGTTAAATATCTATTAAGTAATCGCTGCTGGATCCGGAGATAAAAGTTTAATATGCTAAACTGGCTCTCGTGTCATATTTAGCCGACCCTTCACACGCATGCGGTGGTGCAAACAGACTAATGTAACCCTTAAAGGGCGACAAGGCACTAACTGTTGGGAAAATACACTAAGTCCCCTATTAGGTTAAAAGCCGAACGCTTTAGGGAAATTTACAAACAATAACACCGAACACTTAGCGTTTGACTTTTCCAAACGTATCTTAACGGCCCGAGGGCAACTTTTTGGGTGAAAAAAAGGTGAATGGTTTCGTCTCCAAATCTCCGTGTTAAACAAAACAGTTTTTTTGGTGTTTTTTTTTAAAGGTACTTACTTTACGACTGAAGACTCCAGTAGTCAGCCCAACGAGGAACAACAACAACAACAGATTCCTCATCCTCACGACTGGGGAAAAAAAAAGAAACAAGGGGGGGAAAAAAAAGAACAGCGGTTCAGAAAAAAATAAAATAAAAGCGACGGTAAACTAATAATTATACCGATAATACCGCTGACTTTAATTGGCAAAGTGGAAAAGAAAAAAAAAGGTGAGAGAGAAGGAAAAGTTCAGCTAATTACTGGTCACGCTTCCGGTGGTATTTTCGGCTCCTTGGTTAAGTGTCGCCTGTTTCGGCCGCCGCTCCTGGACTTGTTGTGATGGGAACTTGGACTGTGGAGTATTTAGACTGGCTGTGCAGCGTGGCTTCGCGGTGACGTCAGCACGGAAGAAGGGGGCGTCTCATCGTGCGCGTGCGCGCGCGCACAGCCCTCAAGATTAAGCGAAGAGTCGAGGGGAATTATTTCAACGCCTTTATAGACTCCAAATTCCAATTACGGTGCCTGGTTAACATCGCTTTAAAAAACAAAGTAATAGTGAATAATGTTCGTTTCCTTTTGAGAAGATAGTTAACTGTCTATGTTTATCCAGAAGGATAAGAAGTGTTGGACTTGTTACTCAAAAAGAAAATACCATTAGATACTATTGGATTACTAAAGGAACATTGCATTTATTCAATTACAAGTCAATTTGTTTAGCTTTTTCGATAACAGAAGGCCAATCTTCTGTGCTAAAGCAATCAACAGCAGTTGTTTTAAAAATAATAAAGGCTTAAATATGATTCCGAGGGGATTTCTTATTGTTCGGTGTTGTACGCAAAATTTGGACCAACATATTAAAGATAAATATGAAAGAAATGTGCAGTTTGCGGCAGACTAGTTATACACTGTACATAGGACTCCCTCTTGTGAAAAATGAAAGCTACAACAGCAAATAAACAAATTAAAATAAAACGGTTTCATTACCAACTATACTGTAAGAGCCATTTTGACCATTTAGTTAAATTTTTCCTTTCTATATTTTTGTAGATTTTTTCTATCTAAAATTCTGCATATGTATAAGTCAACTTTTTGAGCAGTTGGCTTTCTTTTCTCCCCTGGAAACATTCAGTCTAGTATTAAAGATCTGTTCTAATAATTGCGCTTTTAGACATTGTTGTATAATCATGCTCCAAGTCTCTCACCGGGAGCATTTCGTCTGCATTAAAACAACTGCTTTTAAACTTTTGAATTCACTTTCAGCTGAGAGAAACTCCTCACTGCCATAAGGCTACGTTTTGAAAATAAGTTATATTAAATTTTGGTCTAAAACTAATGTTATTCTCACTGACACTGAAATGAAATCATACCTCCATCACATCCAGGTCTACGACTGTAACAGTCTTATCCAGGCATTTTTCTGCTTATAATTAGCAACTTATCCAGAACATGTCATTTTATGCAGGCATCTTTAGACAGTCTCTCAATTAATTATTTTTCTTTAAACGTCTTCTAAAAAGTCATAGTTTATTTTTCACTATCTTAATGGGGGGTACAGAGCTTAACAAAATATTTAATACATAATAATGTTAAAAAAACGTTAGCTAACCCAAGACCCCTTTATCAGTAGATGATCATTCTTTTTACTGAAGCTATTTAACATTTTAAAATGTTCTCATGTACGGAGAGTATTTAATGGAAATATACTTGAACTGTTTCCATAGCTTTGCTGCTATTACTGGCAAGAAGACAACAGCACATACCAGACAACCATCTGATAAATTATTTCAGGAGCAGTATGTATTAAATCTGTTTTTAAAAAGATTTTTCTTACATATGTACTGAATATCTAGGACATATTTCACATAAGAAGAACATTACATTTTTCATTATAATTTAAACAAAAAATGTATACACTTGAAACAGTTACACTTTTTTGATTTTTTACACTCCAACTGCAGAATAAAATGATCATTTGTCATAGCTGAGGCACTGCTACTCATCCACACAGTTCTGAAACCAGCCATGACTTTGCAACACTTTGTAACACTCGTTTGCCCTCATGGATGGAAATATTAAAATATCCCAACAAAGATCTACATAACCCAAAACGTTTGCAAAAACAGGGAGATGGGGGGACGGGCAGAAACTTAATACAGAAGTCTCCAGAACTGTGAATGCAGTTTTAAACTTTGCCATGTGACACAAAGAGCTTTTCTGGGATTCTTAAACAAGTTCAATAGGGCTGAGGTGATGATATCATCACCTCTAAAGCTGTGGCATCTTATCGAGTTGAGGTCAGTATTCATCTGACTCCAGGTTTGATGTCTGATGGTTTAACGTTTCTCTTCCAAACCGGAGGAATCTGCATGGCACAAAGAAGAAATTGCCTTTAAAACAAACTGCTCTGGCATTCTCAAATGAAACTATGAGTTTTATTCAGTGTATGGATAAGACTAATTTAGGACATGTTCTTTTCAACTACCAGTGGGGGAACTGAAGGCTCAAGATGTCGTCCCAAAAATGACAACAGTCTTCTCCATATCAGTCCACTGCCCAAAAACATGAAGCCTGTTACCAGCCAGAATGCGCGAGGGTCCTGTGATAAACAAAGACATTCTTAGATGTGTGTGGACAGACAGAAAAGGAAATGATCAAACTCTATTTTACAGCAAAGTGTCTCACATCTTCAAATGCTGTCGTCAAATTCATTCCGAAGGCCACTCCTATCAGACCGAACAGTGTAAGGGAGAAGGAACCCATGGTAAGCTGCAGATTTAGACGCATCATCACATTACGATGGCTAAAATGAAACACATGGTTATTTTATTTCAAGAAGAATAAAAATATCTTTCTAGTAATCTCTTCAAAAATATCAAACATAAAAGCGTTGCACAGTCCTTACCTGTCCAGATTGATAAAGATGACACTCTCTGAGTCGTCTATCAGTCCTTTCAGTTCTCTGGTCTTGTTCCCTAATTCCTCAGCCTGTACGCAGCATAACGGTTATAACCTGAACACCTAATAGCTTACAGACTGCCCATCACACTGAAAGCAGCTGGCATGTTTCAAAGCTTTGCATTTTCAACAGTTTTCATTGTTTTGGTTTGTTACCTGCATGTAGTAATTCTCTAGTAAAAGCTCCATCTCCTCAGCATGGTCAATGCCCAAACTGCTTTCCTCACTAGAAGGCAGAAACATATACAAGAACCAGTAAAGCTGGTAGCAATGTTCATTCTTCAAAATAAACATGACTTATACACTTGTTGGCTTACTGCTAGTGGAAAGAAATGCTTGAATAACATCTCATAACATCTCAAAGTAAGGGCACGGGATCGGACGGAAAACTGGAAGTGTTTGGACACGTTAATCAAGAGTTATAGAACACCAGCTTCATGAGAACAGTGACAAAACTGGATTGCAATTTACAACAAGAGTCCAGACTTCTTGACAGAAGGAGAACACTCAGCACTGATCTGTGGCAGCTAATCACAACTATTACATTGAGAACAAACACCCCAAAAAGGCTGCATGCTCAGCCCACTGCTGGTCGTGTTGTTCATCCATGACAAATCCAATGAGGGTGGGCCTCATCATCAACATCAATGGGACGCCATACAAAGAAGAGGTGGTACAGCTGGTGAGTTGGTGTCAAATAAAATAAAACGAATCTCTTACTGCAATCATAATTTTTTGGTTGATCTATTAAACATTTGTGGCTCTGTGTGTCAGCTGCACTGTTTGTTTGGTGCTGTGATGACCTCACTGTGTACTTTCACACTGATTCTGCTGTGGGGAAGGTGCAACAATATCTTAAAAACCTGGCGAGAATAAGAAGAGCCACTGCTTCGATGGAAGGAGTCTTCTCACCTGCTGCATCCCTGTGTGGTTTGGGAAATGTACTGCATTGGAAAAAGAGCTTAGGCCGATGTATAGGACCCCTCTCATACCTCACCTTCTGTTTGACTCTCTACCATCAAGCATGTGATTCTGTAACCTCAGTAACTGGCTATCAAAGGTGAACAGTTTCCTTACCTATCTTTTGAAAACACTGGTTCAACTCATCATCAGAATTACCCACCCCACAGACATAACTTAATAAAAATCAGACAACAGATTTCAATAAAAGTTTCAAACCTGACCTAGCAAATCGATTATTTGAAGGAAAAACAACACTCAAGGGAAAGCAAACTTTGCCCCTTTAGGGTCTATCAAAGTGTTGCCTCTCTTATAATGCAGCCACTGAATGACTGGCTTCACAGACTTTTTGAGAGATCGCCTCAGTATTCTTTTACGTGCATTAGAGAGCAGGACTAACGTACAAAACTCTCGGGTCTGTCCACTTTGTGAGACAGAATTCTTCAATGATCTCATCCTCATCCAGGATTTTCAGCAAGGAGTCCTTAAACACTTTGATGTCCGTTTCCAGCTCTGATAAACTGTGAGAAACAAAGGAAATAGAGTGTGAATGAAAATGTTTAAGCCTTATACTGGTCTATATAAATTGCATAAATTGTGTGCTTTACCTTTTGCTGTTCTGCAGCAGAACATGTAGTTTACTTCTATCAGCAGAAAGGATTTTAGGATCCACGAGGGACTCCAGGATGTCCAATATTACTGGCTCAACATCATTCAACCGGCTTTGTAAAGTGTTTACCTATTGACAGACATAAATGGGGACCCATGAAAAAAACAAAAGAACACATCTCGCCTTATCTTAGAACAGTGCTTCGGCATGTCCTAAATAGAAGATAAAGTAAGCTTAAATACACAGATGTGTTTTCTCACCTTGTGCTGCAGGACGGCCTCCAGAGCTCTGAACTCAAAGGGCAGTGAGTGCGTCTGTGATGCTAGCTGAGGCGCCAGCTCCAGCACCAACCAGCGTTCCAGTCCCAGACCACGGAAATCCAACACCAAAAGGGACTCAGGGGTCAGGATGGCTTTCAAAGACTGAGAAGACACAAGGGGAAAGGAATTCAAAATGACGCTTTCTGTCCAATATTAGCTGCAACCACTCTGAGGACATCGTTCCCAATTTCACTCAGACTTCTGGTACTGAATTCAACGTGGCTTTTTCTCTGTTGCTTCTGTGGGCGACTTTTAAAATGAGTGTGTGTGACTGAGCAATGGGAGTGTTACATAGCCACACACATCTTTCAGAGTTCCTTCTCTGCACAGTTGACTTTGATCTGTAAATATTTGCAGTTGGGGAAGCCTGGCCGATGAAATCACACTCATGGCCAATGAGCACATTTCATGGTCATATTTCAAAAGCAAGGTTTTATAATATTCAAAACAGACGATCCAATAAGGATCGGTTCCTTCCCCTTTGAGTCCCCCAGCAGCATTAGACACAGCCAATATATAGCAGAAGCTCCAGCATGTCAGTGGGTCACGGAGCAACTCTTACAACAAAGATTAAGCACCGAAGGCTGTCAACACCTAAGGTAATGTTTCAATACTGCTTTGAGTTTGTTTACGTTTTGTTAGCTTTTTAGTTAACCCTGTTCACTTATCTCTCCGGATTCCTGGCGTTTATGGCAGCTCTTGCGTATTCATTCTTTGTTTTACTTATTAGTCTATATGCAAATTAATGAGCACCCTCTTTGTGCTTGACTTTAGTAACAGGATGAAAATTCAGCTGGCCTTATTCTGCCTGCTGCTGCCTGTGCTTAGCCAAGCAGAAAAAGGGAAGTGTCCCGTTTCTGCTTCCAGCTGCGATGAGTGCATCCAGGCAGGCCCAGAGTGCGCGTGGTGCATGGAGCCTGGAGCTAACGTTCGTTGTCACAGCAAGAAGGGGCTGCGGAGACAAGGCTGTAGCAAAAGACATATTTACGACCCTCAAAGCAGCGTTCAAGCTTTGAAAAATGACAGCAGGTAAGGCTACTGGTGAAAAGAGCCACCATGAACAAGTAGTCAAACACAATGTTAAAGGCTGGCAGCCAGTGTGCACATAACCACTGAGTTATTTTAAGTTAAGTTTACATTTAAGGTTAATTTAAGTTTGTATAAAAATATCCTAAATAAACTCATCATGAAGAGGAGGCAGTCTGCAATCTACTGCAGTCTACTGGGCTAATCTGTCCAATCTCAGCAAATATAACCAACAGCAAGCCCAAAACAGGACACAAATGTAGATGACTGCCATGTTTTAAGACACTGGTCTAAAATGTGGGATCTCTGAACATCTGCAGCACAGGATCAGTAGATGGAAAAACTCTGTTCCTGCAGCCTCAGGAGGTTTCCCTCCATCTAAGGCCCGGAGGGAGCCAGTCCTTCCCTCTCATCGTCTCCATGCCAACAGACCAGCCTATAATGGATGTCACCATGGATGCCAGCTTAGTACCAGCTGGCGTCAATATCACCTTTAGTAGCATGACAAAAGGAAACCCTCTGCACATACAGGTCAGAGGATACAAGAGCCCACTTGTCGCAAAGAGAATGTGTTACTTGTTATTTTGTGCTTATATGAAACACAAATAATATTCTAAATAAAAATATCTTCCTTTTCTCTGTAGGTGAATGTGGAAGCTGCCCAGTGTCCCAGTGATGGTTCAAACCAGAACTTGACCGGGCCGTGGTCTGTCCTGATGTCACCCAGAGGCTTTTCTCTGAGTGCTACGCTGAAGATAACGTTGCTGTGTACGGCCACAGAACTACAATGCTGTCTAAACATAACTCAGAAGAATAAAATTAGTGCTGGTGATATGCTCTGCTATGCATATCATCAGCAGAGAAGAGCTTATCACAAAGAAATAAAAAATTCAATCCATATCTGGCTCCCACAGGTGGGTGTGAGTGCACAGGAAGACGGGAGGAGAACAGCCCGGCATGCAGAAGTCAAGGAGAGGTCACTGACAATTCGCAGTCAGAAGAAGACAGTTCTTGCCGCTCACGCCCAAATGCCCCAGTTTGCAGCGGCAATGGGAAGTGTGTAGAGGGCTTCTGCGAGTGTGTGAAACGGGAAGATCCAAATGAAATGTACCACGGAACATTCTGCCAGTGTGACAATTTTAACTGTCCACGCCACAACAACAGGTATGGTCAGTGAGGACGCTGTACACCAATTTCACTCGGCTAAATGACCCAAAAAAATAAAATTGCTGTTAAACGTGATTTTCATCCCACAGCATCTGTGGCGGTAATGGCAGGTGTGAGTGTGGAAGGTGCCTTTGTGACAGCGAGTGGGTCGGTGACGACTGCAGCTGCTCCATGGAAACTGCTTCCTGTATGGCAGGAAGTGGCCAGCTGTGTAATGGAAGAGGAGATTGCAATTGTGGAATATGTCAATGCAGTCCACCGTACAGCGGGCCGACGTGTGAGGAATGTCCCAGTTGTCACAACGTATGCGGTCAACACGCTGCCTGTGTGGAGTGCCGGACATTTCAGACCGGAGCTAAGGCAAAAACGTGAGATCAGACATCCATTTAGCACTTTGCATGTTTAAGGTCATCAAACAACACTAAATAAGTTATTTTTACTTGAATGCAACTTATCACTCTTTATGCATGATTTCTAAGTTCCCAGTACTTATGCATCTGTTGTCCTTTTTAAACAGTACTTTTGATCTGACTGTGCTCTCTCACATGTGGTCAGCTGTGACAGAGACTGTGACTACCTGACTGTGACAATGGAGGTCACAGGAGATGATTTTCCAAGGGAAACTGAGGTGCTCTGCAAAAGAAGGACCTTGGACTCCTGCTTTTTGTACACCCTCCCCAAACTGCCCTCCAGAGGACAGTCGACTTGGTCTCGGGTCAAAAGATGCTGATGCTGAATTTATGCTGTGTTAATAAAGTGAGCTTCAACTCACTGGATATTCTCCTGATCACATTCTGAAAGCAAACATTTTCAACTCAGAAAAAAAAGTATTTTAGCCATAATTATCTTTACTTTACCCATGGTTTAAATAAATAAATCAGTGTGAAGTTTTGGAAAACGTAAATGTGAGAGTTTTTGCAGAGCTAGTATAATCACTGAAAATGTTGTGAGTTTGCAAACTTTATAAATGGTTTAGATAAATGGAAAGATAACTATGTTCCATAATCAGGAGTCAGGCTAAAGATGATGGTGGGAATGTCTAAAAAGACAGAAGGAGAACATACCGCCATGCGTATGATGATGCAGTTGTTTCTGGTGGCGAGGCTGGTGCTGTGCTGGAAGCGGAGGTCTCTGGCCTGGAGACCGAGCTCCTGACACAGTTCTGTCTTCTTCTTCTCTGTATGAAAAGATTAAAAAGGATAAAATGCTATATCAGACATTTTCTTTACACAGCTCGGTATAATGAAAAGAGTAATGAATTATCCAAACAAGTACTTTGGTACTGGCAAATATAAGGAATATAACAAGACCCAACCAATTTTAGAAGACCTACCAAATGACGTCACATTTCCTTCTTGATCAAACTTCATCTGACAAATTAAAGAAAGAAAAGTGATCAATGACATTTTGCAAAAGCTATTAACCAGCAACACATTGTACAACATTGTACAAGAGCCTCAAACTCTTCCATTTCAATCCAAGTCTATATTGGTTGCTTAAACACAACTTTTCTTTCTAACTAAATATACAAAACAACAACATCTTTAATAACAATTCAATAAACCTTGACATTTTTTTTCTCACCACTACAAACGTCGGAGAAACACTGGAAACAGGCGCGTCTGTCACTCTTCTGCGGACAAAGGACACTGTTGAGAGAAATGGACAGGTTTCACATTTAAGGCTGAGCACAGCCTGTCACACAGCAGGCCTAAAAAGTTACTTCATGTCTCCTCTAATAGCGGCTGTGCAGTTTCTAAGCCCTGAAAATGTGCCGTTCAAGAAAAGGAGAATTCAACAACTTAGCTATGCTTCAACATAGTTGATCAGAGTTTTAATAGAAGATTCACTGTTGCTTCAGAGAAGACAAAACCAACCCTACCAAGATGCAAAAAAAACAGGCCACAAACCATGAAAATACCAATACAGTGCCAGATTTCTGTCAGTAAAATGGATAAAGAAAATCTTAAGGGGGCTTGATTCACAAAGGCCCTTTCATTTTATATTGATTTATTCAAAATGCTTTGACCAATTGCTTAAGACTAATGACATGATGAGACTTATTCATTGTAAACATTGGTCTTACCAGGCCAGGCTGGCCCCCCTGGCAGCAGGTTGGCCTTTGTGAGCCCTCTGTGAGGACACCTGCCTGAGTGTGGGCTTTGGCTGAGGCCTGGCTTTGAGCTCTCATCGCTGTAGCTCCTGCTGAACGACCCTACTTTACCAGGTCCGAGTGGCACAGCTGGTGCGCCACAAAAGAAGAGGGTTTCAGTGCCGTCAAGTCTCGAGGGAAAGGGATAGAGAAAACTGAAGTGGCGCTTTGGATGAAACCTGCCAGCAAACGCTATCCGGGGAGAGTTCACACAGCCAGCCAGCAGCAGCTTGTGCATTTTGGTCTCCACTCCACCACAAATCACAGCCTTAACACACACTGCCATCCCGCCTGTGAAGAGCTGGGGTTTACCACAGCAAAGAGCTTATGAAAGACGTGACAGCAGGTGACGGAGGAGGAAGAGATACAGGAAAGCTTTAGCACCCATGTGGGAGACGAGTCTCTACCTGGGCCAAAAGTTTTAATCCTATCATGAGTTGTCCCAGAGTTGTTTCTTTGAGTCCAAATTGAAGGGTACCAAGAGGAGGGAAGATATTAACAGCAACTTCTGAGCAACTGTTGGTTTAAGTACACTAATGCAATACACATGTGGCCAATGCTCGACAAAAATTACTTATTTTTTTATAAACTCATTGTCAATCTTGTCAACAGTGTTCTTCAGTTTGTTATGCTAACCGCCTCTGCTGCTTGTATAACGGACACTTTTGTTCTTCGTAACAGGCGGAGTTTCTCTCAACAAAACACGAAAATACAAGTAACATCTATCCGCTACTAACTAGCGACAACCCTGAGTCAGCACATGAGGCTGAGGTAGAGTCCCAGAATACAGCCCTAGTTGGAGTGATGTGCTGTAACTAGCAAACAGGAGGACGGAGGGAAGAGCACTGACTCCACCGGCCCATAATGCACCGCGCCGACTCCCCACTGACAAAGATCGTCTCTGCGGAAGTCAATAGCTCGGACTGCAAATGTCAGATCTTAACACAGCACAGATCAAAGATTATCCCCCTTCATCGAATGTGTTGTTTTTAGAGTATAGTGCCTTTATCATTAAATACGGTGGTCATTACCAAGATTTTTTGTTGAATTCTAGAAAGATTACAATTTCCCACAGCCCAAAATGATGCTTCAAACTGTTTGTCAAGCAGGGTCCTTTCTTGAATCATTGTGTTTATATGTTCAGTTATCGGGTTCGGGTTCAGCATAATGATGTGAGCACAGCTGGCCGCGGTTTTTATTCAGCATCAGCATCCCACTGCTGGCTAGATGCAGATGACCGGAAGGATGCTGGCGCACGGAGGAAGCGTGGGGATGTCATTGTGGGACGCTGTATCCTATCGCACTCGGTTGGGAGCTTAAACCAGACCGCGTCATTTTTTCTTCATTTCTTGTTTTGCTATATGGTCTGTCGCTATGTTTCCGTCCTGTTACTCCAAACCGGCGGAGAGCGGGGGGAAGGGGAGCTCGGCTGCTAAGGTGCTGCTGGGGGTGTTTGTGGTGTACATGCTGCACACCGCCTGGCTGCTGTACGGCTTCCTCAACACCAAACCCTGCGACCGAGGCAGAGGAGAGATCTGCATCTCCTCCTACCTGACAGCCAGACCCAGACTGCAGGTTTGCACCAACCTTTTTGCTTGTTTTAACCCAATTCAGAGACGAGAGAAATGTGTTATATGTATGCATTATATAATGATGTATGTATCGTGCTGTACATATCATCACTGTACAGATTAAGGATCCAGAATATTGTGAATGAATAATTTATAGATTGATCATTTAATGGTAGATTAATTCTCAGTTTAGAATCTGTGAACTTTCTGTAATGAAACGTCAAAGCACAGGTTTAGGGCATATATAGTATTTGTATTTTTTCCAGCCCACATTCTTGCACCCGTGTAACAAAGTGCTTTTGCTTTTATATTTCCTGCATTCAGCTAAGTGTCTTCACCTGCCTCATACCAGACAACAGCCAACTCAACCTTGTGTTGAAAGTAGACCCCTTTGACCCACACTCAATGTTTCAAAGGTGGGTTTGACACAATGAAGCATGTGTTAAGTCTTATTGTCCATTAGTTCCATGAGAGCTAAACTAATAAGATAATACTGGCAGCATTGTTTTGTTTAGGTACAACTCTCAGGACTCAAATAGAACATTCATGAATATTTACTGAGTGCAACAACACATTTCTTTTTTTACTTTCCTTCCATAGTCAGGTGAATGTCTCTCTGCCAGAGAAGACTCGAGATAATGGCACTCTGTATGCAGTCGCTTATGTTCACAAAGCCGGTGTTTCCCCTCTGGAAGACAGGAGAGAAGTCCACTACGCAGCCCAGCTCACTACCTACATCATCCCCCCTCGCACTGACGCCCAAAAGAACACACCCACGGTACCTTTCAGGCTCTGGTCACCTTTACAGAAGATTTATGTACACAGCTTTGCTGAGAATATATAATTTTTGTGGCCCCATCAGCAGCCTGGATCTGAGACTCCTGTGTCGCACTGGAGACCGCACTTGTCAATTACTATGATGTCAGAGGAGTTTAGCTTCAATAAGGCGGGGCTTCCGAGTGACGTGCGCCGCTACATGAGAGTGTAAGTCACATGGAGCTGTGAGAGCTACAGCCAGGTGAGCAGTAACAGAGCTGCTGACCTCTGCTGATGCTGATGTGTGTGCTTTTTATTCTACTGCCGAGAGGCTTGAGGAAAATATATGCAGCACTATACCAGTTAAACATGGATTGATTTTTCTTGTAGCGAGTCTTTGAATAGTGATAATATATCATTCCAAACATGATAATTGTCCTTTAAAGAGCAAACTGTATGTGCATGCACAGCCATTCGCTCTCTTTCTGAATCTTCTCAGGATGTAAGTGTGTCTGTTTTAAATCAAACCTCTTTTCTGTCTCTCCTTGCAGGTCTCAGGAGGGTAGACAGATGATTTACCTCCCTTTGCTGTTGGTAAATGAGCTCAGCTTCAGAGTCAAAGACCTCATGGTAGGAATTTCTTCACAAAATGTTTCACATGAGCTCACCTTTTTCCATTAAAAAAAGCTGTCCTGAATCCATCCATCTTTGTGTTGGCAGGAGATCAACAGCAGCACCGTGCAGCTCCCTCTGACCATCTCCTATGAGGGACTCTCTCTGAGAAGATTCAGGTTTTGGGTCCATCTGCATGATATAGTCTATTCCCTTCGACAGTTTGGTGAGCTTTGGAGATGTATATTTTTCTAGAAGGTCATTTTTTAAACAATTAAATGACTTGTGGTAGAACTTGTATGTAACAGTTTAACAGGGAACAACAGTTGGAAATATCAGCTGAAAACCATCATGAGAGAACATATTTCTATGTGTTTATAAAGGCTTCGCTGAGGAAAATATAGATGAAATCAAAGAAACTCTTGTTGGCTCCAACCTGTACCTGTTAGTGCTGACTGCACTCATCACAGCCCTCCAGGTGAGAGCACTCAACATCTCTTCAGTTTTTTTTGTTTTGTTTTGTGAAGTTACCTCTGAAACATAGTAGAGGGCTTGAAATTATGACACAGTCCAAAGCATTAACAAATCAAACTCTGTCAAAGTAAGGGTGGATTTTTGTTTTTGTGCAGCTCATTTGTGAATTTCTGGCCCTTAAAAACGATGTCGGCACTTGGCTGAAAAAGAAGAACATGATGGGAATGTCTAGGAAGTCGGGTAATATTCTTGCTAAAATGATTTTTACTTCTTAAATTTGTTCATCACATTTGCTGTAAGGACTCTACTGCACAATGACAGAAACACGGCCCTGTTTCCCCTTCCTCTGTTTTCAGTTCTGTGGCGTTGTCTCAGTACTTTGCTGATTTTCCTTCATCTGCTGGAGGAAACCAGCCTGCTGGTGCTTCTTCCTGTTGGCCTGGGAGCATGTGTGGAGGTAACTCACTCTGACTTGTTAGACAAACCAAAGTTACTCAGGCCAGTACAGGCAATCCAAAGCATGTAATCTTTCATCCCTCCAGGTATGGAAGGTGAGCAAGGTGTTTAAAATCCAGTTCAGCAAGAAGCTTCTAGTGAGTACACACATCTACCTACACATGTTCTGATTGAAAGCAACATGTGGGCAAATAAATGATCTGTATTAGAAACAGGCTTTGAGGCTGAAGAATGGAGCTACTGGGTAACTAAATACATTTTTAAATGTCCGTTGCCTTCTTCCATGTAGATAAACAAGCTAGATGAAGAGGAACGCAAGACAGTGGAGTACGATACTCAGGTATCTGTCTTTATCTTGTTCATCAGAGTTCTGAGTTTGCCTTCCGCCTCAGGTTTTGTTTAATTTTAGGACCTTGTGATTTCCCTTCTAGGCATCCAGATACTTGTCCTACTTGGTGTATCCTCTCTGTATAAGTGGAGCTGTTTTTTCACTGGCCTACTTACGCCAAAAGAGGTAAGAAGATGATTAGATTCAATCATAATGTGTCCAAATGTCACATTTTTGTCAGTTCTTTTGACACCTTTCAACACAAACCATTTCCTGGAATGAGGAAGTTAAATTAAAGTTTGAACTGCTGCACATATGCAGGATAAACATATAGTTTTACAGTCTAAGTATTTGCTGATGTTGACCAGATTAACAATAAGTTTAACTGTGTTGACAGTTACTACTCCTGGTTGATCAACACTCTGGTAACCGGTAGGTATTCTTGCATTCAACAAATTCACACCACCTCCAAAACAGGATCATTTTAAATAAACCACTTTCAGATTTGAAGTTCTTGTTTTTACTGTTAATTGTTTCCTCTCAGGTGTGTATGCATTTGGTTTCCTGTCTATGGCCCCTCAGCTCTTCATCAACCACAAGGTCTGATACATTTTTGAGAACACTTCTTGTATATTTTGTGTTTGACATAGAAATAAAAGATGAGTTTGTTGTCTCTCTCTGTGGAACAGATTAAATCTGTTAGTCACCTGCAGGGGACTGTGTTGATGTATAGAGTGAGTATTCATCTCAATAAGAACACTACTTTTACAGCTGATAACAGATTATTTTTGTGTATGTATACTTGAATTATTTTTGGAAGATTGTATCACTACTTGGTAACACAATGATTCAGTATTCATAGAGAAATAAACTACAGTTTGAGATTTAAAATATCTGTATTCAGACTTCACCGTTTCTCCACCAGGGTGTGAACACGCTGATCTCAGATGTGTGCTCCACTGCCTCCTTTTTCTCCCCTTCGTTATCCTTCTCATCCTCTCATCAACTCTCCTGCTTCAGAGATGAGATCCTCTTCTTTCTGTACCTCTACCAGCGCAGGTCCAATAATTTAAACTCATTACTCCTCAATCACACACAGCATCAAGAGAGTGCTAAAGAGCCAAGAGATAAGATGGGAAAGGCAAACAGTGCAAAACATGCACACATCTTTGATTCAGGCTTTCACTGTGGCATTATGTTGAATTTATGTGGCTTTATCTAAGCATTGCTACCTACTGCATGCAATAAACCTTTCCTTTTCAATATTTTACATTTACATTACTTAAAATTTACTCAAACTGGTTTGTTCTTAAAGTTGCTGAAATAAAACCAACAGTACTTTGTGGTTCTCCAACAGACTTTATGCACCTAAAAGCAGAAGAAGGGAGTCTGTTACCAACAAAATGAAGACCAACTGAGGAAATGAAGAATGAATGCACACAAAAGGCCCGCCTCGTAAAGCAGAGAGGGACTAATCAACACAGATTATGTTAAACAGAGACACAGCAAGACTGTGCCGAAGTACTCACTGACTGATCTGAGACCAGCTGTTCTGCTTAATACTTCGCACCAGGAGTTAAATGTGGAGCTGCTGCCTTTGGCCCGGCATTAATGGAGCCTCCCTTTACTGCTGCAAAGTGTAAACTCATCTGCAGACAATTCATTCTGGTTTACTTTCCAAATATTATATCAGCAGCAAGTCCTTTCTTCTGATGTACTTTTACTCTCTGGATTTGAATGAAAGTGTGAGTTGTAATATGAAATATCCACTTATAACTTTGTGCATCTTACAAAGTAAAATTTAGTGAACCACACTAACATTTTTAAGGTTTCGAAAATGTACAGAGGTTTGTTTTTTTTCATTCAGGCTTGCAAGATTTTTATATATATATACTATATATGTGCACATACACACAGAATATTCCAAATGCTTGCTCCATTATTTCACTGATGCTTTTTTGGCTTTTTTTACCATCATCCCATTTGATCAGATAAAATACATCAAGATTGTGTTGTTACGTTGTTACGCTCTTTTTGTCAGATCGTGTTGATTAAAAAGGATAAACAAAGGGTGATGTGGATTAATCTGTTTCCATCATGTTTGCTGTTGTGTATGAAGAACGAGGACCTTCTCATCTTAAACACAGGTTTGCCTCAAAAGATATGTGAGCATAAAGGCCAAATAGGCAGAAATATATGGAAAAACACATCGCAATGGTTATGACAAGGGAAACTCCCAGAAAGGGATAAAGAAAGGAGCAAAATTCAGAAAATAAATGCAACATGTCATGAGACAACAAGAGACATTTTGTGTCTCTTTAGATTGTTGACAGCATAGTTTAAAACGTAGTATATCCACAGTTGGAGAAACACTGTGAATGGACCTTGCTCCAATGCTTCCTTCTTTTAACCAGGACTACAAAAATGGCACAGAATGTTTGATCATGATTTTCTTTCTTTTTTTTTAATGAAAGGGTTTTAAAAGGGGGCTGCGTGGTGATGTAGATATGCTCTAAGGAGTCTTGGCTTTTCATGGACAGTATATCCTTACAGTTTTCTTTAACACTTGTTTGGGGTATGTAGAAGGTGTGCATGCTGGGAGTGTACAATCCTAAATGCAACGGCAGACAAAAACAGATTTCAGGATATTGTTGCTGACGTGCAGTCCTATTTTAGTATGCTGCTAAATGTATTCTGCTGTCATTCGTTTTGTGGGAATATCATTAGAGTGAACCTTGGATATTCATAGTGTGGATTAAAAATGCTTGCATTTTTTTGTCTGTCCTTATTTTCGTAAGTTCCTGAAAATCTTTGCACTGGATAAAACCATTGGGTGTGGTCATTTTGAAAGTTGTCTCATTATCTAAAACATGGAATTAGAATCATGAAAGTAATGATGAAATACCTGTTGGCTCAGCTTGTGTCTCTGATTGACGGTAGATAAATAAAGAGCAAGTTTCTATGAAACCACAACAAGATCAAGGAATGCGTACAAACAGCACTGCGTGACGACAATATGCTGTCAGACTGATGAGAGGAGAGCTGTAGGCCACAGAATCACATCTCTACAACAAACTGTTCAATCAAAGAAAAAAGGAAGAAGTCTGATCTCACACCATTTGCATTTACAAGAAATTACATGAGAAAATGCTGGTCACAAGCACTTTTGTTACAGGAAATAGGTACACAAACCATAATCTTTTCTGATTCTGAGACACTATTTGGTCAAATCTTGTAAATTGCAGTGTTATTCACGATGATACCTTTGAGGTTTTGTGACATTTTGGCTATAAGTATACTCAATATACTGTATATTTTCAGCTTTTTCAAGAATATCATGGTTGATGTGGGAGGAACAAACTTTGGGAACTCCTTCAAAAACAGACAATAGAAACTAAACTCACAGAGACACAGAGCAGAACCCGACAGGGCAAACAGCAGACGCCCTGCCAGATCAGACTTAACAATCTGTTAACAGGATGGTGGCTAGACTTGCATTCCTCTTCCTCTTCATCTCTCCAGGTACGTTTGTTAGCTTCAGAATTGGAAACTCGAGTTTAAATAAGATGGTTTGGTGGCAGCGGGATGGGGGGCTATGATGTGTGTGTGTGAGTGCATGAGAGGAGGTAATGATTGAGTATGCCTTTAAATATTTCTTAGATCATTTACTTGATTGTGTAAAGACTGGTGTTTCAATGCACCTTTTTATGTGTTTTTATGTGAAATATATTGTTACTTTCTGTATGAAAGGTGATTTTTTAATGAATAAATGGAAAATTCACTCTCCTGGAAACAAACAGATTTCCTAATACAAAAAAACACTGCTGAATATCTATAAATCCAGTGCTGTGATCAGAGAAAACGTAATAACACGAGGGGCAAAGTAACCTTACTTTGCCTCATGTTTCTGGACAGCGCTGTCCCTGGAGTGCTACGTATGCAGTTCTTCCACCTCCAACGAGGACTGCAACCAGAGCACTCAGGAGTGTCAGCAGCCGCTCGACACGTGCATGACCATCGTGGACACTTTGGGTAACAAGGATAAAGCAACACACACACAAAAAAAGCAAACAATGAAAGTTAAACTGCATGACATTCATGTCCACAGAAGTGACTCCTTCACAACAATCACCTTCTGTTTTAATTCTAAACGCCGCATAAAACGCTCCCATTTCAGGTTAATTATTATCACATTAAAGTTCAAGAACATAGGCTGTCGATTATTTTTGGTGGTACACTTGGTTTGATTATTGAAGGAAACCCTGTTCTCGTCTGTTCAGGTGTCATGAAAGCCATAGTGAAGCAGTGTGCCAGTCGGGCCACATGCAGGGGAGCTGCCTCCACGGCCTCGGTCGACTCAGAAGGAAATGGAAATGCTGTCAACTGCTGCAGCGGCTACAACTTTTGTAACTTCAGCGGAGCAGAATCCATTCACCAGTACACGGCTCTGCTGTGCATAACTGTTGGCATTTTACTGCTGCTGTCCAACTAAAGCGTAGCCTCTGAACTGTAGTGTTTTATAGAATGCTATAAATATTCCTTATCATCTGAGAAACTGCTGTAAAAGTAATATGTATTTTATTTGCTTTTCCGATTTATTTATTTGATGCATACAAAAAGGAATTAATTATATATATGTATATATAAATATAAAAAAAGTGAATTAAAAGAAGCACAGCAATGTCACCACAAAATAAAAACTATCATCATTTTTCATCATTATTTTATTTAATTGTTTCTTCCTCCTATGTGACAAGATGGCCGATTTAGCCAAGAAGACTAAATAAAAACCAGTGTTTACTATTACGAGTTCTGTACAATTCACCAGTGATACACACCAGTATAGCTTACAATATACCAACATGAGCAGATTTACGCAACAACACTGAGATAAAATAGATTGTTTTGTGTGTGTGTGTTCTATTTCTTTTTATTTTATTTTAATCCATATTTACACCCAGACATTTGAAAGTTTAATTGCTGGTTAAACGTGGATATTACATCTGGGTAAAATAGGATTAAAAAGGAATTCATGATGCGCCTTTTTCTTTTTTCTTTTGGTGCTGTGCAAATATGCTCTTTTCCATACCGGTATATCATGCTACCCCTGTACAGTCACCACTATGTTTCATATAGCATTATGTAACACTCCATGTGGGGTTGAAAGACACATGTGATCAGATGTGTTTTCGGTTCAGTGTTTTTTTTTTGTGCCTGCAAGACAAGTTCCAGTCATGTGGCTCCACATTTTATGTGTGTCTTTGTCTGTCCGGACACTTGACAGGGATACTTTGAAAGTTAAACGGTGACTCGTCGAGATTCCAGATGTGTGTGTTTGGTGCCACTGGGGGGTTGTGGGACCTATAAAAGTGAAACATCAGTCTTGTATGAGGACTGTATTGTTCATATTTTCTGAATCAGTCTTTACTGGGGCTGAATAACTGATTGCATTTCAATTTACAAACAGTTTCAGAGGAAGAAGAAGGTGACTGCTCGAACAGCACAAAAAACATGGAGTCGGCCCGTATAGAAAGAGTAGACTGAACTGAGAAGGGGGAGGTTTCCTGCCTGTGTTGTTTATCCAACAGATGTGGATTCTTCACAATTGGAGTCTTTAAAACCTGCCCATAGAGGAGCTGAGGAAGACCGTGGGAAGAGACGACCTGTGAGGAGGAGAATGGAGTGAAACAGAGAAGGAAGAAGATATAGAGCTCTTTCTCCAGTCAGAAGAGTGGCGCAAAACCGTCCTGAAGGCTTAATTAGCTTTCCCGTCCCTCCCTCCATCTCCTCTGTAATTTGAGTTTATAAATAAAAGATGGTGAGATGGAGGGAACACAGGAACTGATGGAGGGAAAAAAATGGCTGGAAGGCTGCTTTCCTGAACCAGACCGAGCCGGTCTTCATTGAGCATTGTCTTGTTGAAGCATCCATCCAAAGCATCCAAACGGACCCGAATGTGAAACATTACGTCTGATGCGACTGTAATCATTTTTTCAACTGAGAGGAACACAACCACAGATCAACGCATACGATCAACGTTGATGATCACACTGACACCTCCAATGACCGGTTTTCCATTCTCAGTGCGAAGTTTCATGAGATGCTTTTCACATGGAACGATTCCACGAAACGTCTGATGTCAGCAATAGAGGCTCAATAAACTCCGTGATAATCACATAGTGTCAGATCTTGTTTCGCCCACTAAGCCCCCAGACCCAAAATCAATTCCTGTCGTCCTCTCTGCTGTGCCTCCCCTCATCCCTGTAGTCCACTGCGTAGAGGGTGAAGCTGCCAAGGCTCTGATTTAGGAAGTGTTTTTGCTTGGTTCTTGTGGTAGAAAGTCACAGTGATTGAGAATTTAATCCCAGGTTAGCAGAAGGTTTTAAGAAGATTATTCCCAGGGTGTGATCACAGTAGAGGAGCGACTGTTCTCCCCATCAGTGTACAGCAGCCGCACTCGTCAACTTCCCCATACCAGGACAAATCCAGGAGTCTTTTGACCTCCAACAGGTACCAAAGAAAGGCTGAGTATTCTTTGAATAAGCTCCATCAGTGCAGGGCTAGTGTGGGCGGGAGTGCGCCATCATCTTAAGCCGAGATTGGTCGATAACATCCAGGAGGTTCTTGGCATCAACGGCAAGTGCGTGAGCTGCTGTGAGCATCTGTTTCTTGTAGTCCTGCTGGAGACTGAGAGCACAAATGTAAATATTCAGAAGTTATTATGGAAATATAACACTATTACAATGTGTAGACAAACTGTAGCAGTAACAGTAATGACAGCAAACGTACTAAACAGCAGGGTTACCGATGAGAGGCTTTCATCCAGAAACCTTAAAACATGCCTGTCAGCGCAGCTGACAGAATACTACCTGTTACACAAAGCCGGTCTTTGTATCAAAAGTAAAGCTGCTGGCATGTACCTGGTCATCACATATTGTTGGGCTAACTTCATCTTCCCGATCAGCTCTGCTAAGTCAGAGTTCAGCAGCTTCTGCGCCATTTCAATCTGTGGAGTAAAGCAGAGAGAAGCATAAGAAAAGCTTTTGGTTCAGTCAGGAAATTATATCAGTTTCACACACTGAGTGTGCGGGAGTGTGTTTCTACCTCTCTGTGTGTACTGGCTGGAAGCTGAGGTAGCGTCTCATCCACTGTGGCCAATAATGTCCTCAATGCCAGACCAACATCCTGAACAACAGAAGGGAAAGAAATGTTTTTCAGATGATGGGGATACGTTTCGGTCCAGACTTGGTGATACCACTACTGACAGACACCAACAGAAACTACAGCAGCATCTAAATGGCCGCATGAGCATCTGCTGGCTGTCAAAATAAAAGCCCTGGTTGTACTAATCTGGTATATCTGGCTCAAATGAGCTGTTCAGAGATCAGCAAAAAAAAAAAAGCTTGGGAATGATGAGGGAACATATTAAAATTTAATGAGTAGCTCCTCCGTTACCCATTATGCTGACACTATGAAAATGCTACTAAGCTACGAGGGATGCGGTTTTGAGTACATAAAAATCTGATATCCTCCACCTGAAATGTGCTGAAAATAAACGTATATTTGGTATTTGCTTTACCTTAACCATGGGTACATATTCCTCCGGGGGAGCAGGCTGGATCTTGCTGGACATCTCAATCACAGCTTTGACCAGTCCTGTCACGTTTTCATACACTTTGTCATTGGAACGGTCCAGATTGGCTGTGGGAGGCGGGCTGATCTCCTGAGGCTGAAGCTGAACGACCACAGGACAAAAGGCAGTGAGAGACGGGCTAAAAATATCTCACAGGAATTTTAAAGTATTGATGAAGGAACAAAAGGCAAAAAAAACAAAAAACAGCCAGGAATATGTAGACAAAAACAATGAACCTTCTGATAGAAAAGAAACAAAAATATGATCAGAACATTCTGCTTCAATCAAATATCCTGCTTCATCAGTGCTGGTTTAATATGTTTTCTTAGCGTTAGATTGAGACGAGAAGCTGATATTTTGCACTGAAATCTAGACAAAAATTATGATGAAGAGGAAGACTTATGTGTGGATTAATGAGGCTGAAGAGAGAAATACAGGCAGATGATTTGAAGGCTGAGGAGTCTGGTGTTATTAGATGTAGATTTCTATTCTGTCCAGTAGATGGCAGCATGTCACTGAGTATAGATGGTGACAAATCCAATTCAAGACAAAAGGAGCCACATCTTCAAACACATCACAGAGGCATTTGGCCATTTAGCATCCTTATAGCCTCACATTTAGAATACAAAGACCTATATGTATCCAAGTATAAAATCTAATTCTGAAATGTTTTTGACCACGTTGAGCCACGTTTTGATCACTCTGCTCTCAAGTCTAAACTTACTTTAGTGCAAACACACACAGTCAGCCATTCAAAAAGATCATAAAAAGAAAGTAACCACAGACCCATGATATATTGTCTACAATAAAGATCTTTATGAATTAACGGTGAGAAAAGGCTTCAAAAACATTTAGATGATGACAAGTTTTATAAGAGGTTTGATGGGGCTTCATTTATCAAAGATCAACTGAATTAGATTTCATTATGAAGGAAAAAAACTAAAACAAGACAAGGGTGACAGCAGGAGCAGAATCGAAGCGTTTAAATGTTAAATGTGGTTACATGAACAAAGAAATCAGAAACGTGATGGACCAACTGGTAGACGAGACGTACAGTAAACACACACACACACAGTGTGCTGCTTACCCGCCAGGGCTAGGGGTCAACAGTAAGGCAGAGTGGAGGAGGAGGAGGAGGAGGAGGAGGAGGAGGGGAGGGGAAGATGGAACAACCAAAGAAAAGAAGATAAAAAAAGGAAAATATTAATGCTGTCAGCATTAAAAACATGCGGTGTGTTTAACAAGTAAATGTGTTCCCTGTTTCTGGTGTTTAAAGGAAAGTAAGTTAGTTTTTCTTCACTTAATTCTAAACATTTCTATAATGTAGACGTACCTTTACTCCATCATTGTAGCTGTCTCCAGTACTTAGACAAGCCAGACTGCCCAATTGGCTCTGGGCTCCCGGTCGAGGGGGTTTCTTTGGGGGGGCCGCATGTTCTGCAGACGACAAAACATCATGCTCAAACCAAAAACACTGTTACAAATTTCACATTACTTCCACGGCTGCTGTTGTTGGCTAACTTCCTGTTTAATAAAAGTACTGTTTAATAACAGTCTGTGAACTTTGTAAGATCTAACTTTACATTGGTTACAAAAGTAACAAGGAAGATGGTTTTGGAACACATAAACAAGAAAATAAGAAAACATTTCGCCCTGTTTTCTCAAACCCCTAAACCATTATACACTGTCAGGTCAGTTTGTACAGAGGTGGTCGTCCTAACAGGCTCCACAATTACATCTGTCATTATGAAGCAACAGACAGTCCACACTAACAATTAATCTTCTTTGAAGTAAAGACGAAGGCAGAATCTATGCAGTAGGAAAGAATAATAGACTTTGGTAACGTTACATGTGGGGGCGACACATTTTGGGAGATTAGGCAAGAGAGAGCTGCCCAAAAACAAAACAACAGTGGTAATGTGTGAATTATGTGGCTATGTGAATTTAGGACGCCTGTCAATTACCTGTTTTTCCAACGGGTTGGTATATGTGCTGATTTCCTGTCTGTGAAAGCAAAACAACAACAAAAAAGGAAAACATTGGTTTAACAAGTGTAAAGTAACAGACATAATCAGAGGCTCTGCAGGAAATTAGAACGTCACAGTCAAAAACCACCAGCGGTCTCTGAGAAGAGAAGAGATGAGATTCCAATTTCATTCTGTCACATGGCACCAGAGCTTAATTTGTGCACAGCGAGTTCACAGTGGTTTCCACTTCAGGAGCTGTCTCCCTTTTCACTGGTGTGTGGTCTGTGTTACTTTTGTTAACAGGAATGTTTTGTGGTACCACGCAAGGAAAACAAAGAAGTATTTTCCTGTTTTAGAGCTGGACAGTAATTCAGATGTCCTCATGATTTGATGTCTGTGAGAACAAAATTATGCCACAAACTCTCCAGCAGTGCCAGTTTTCTAACCTACTCACTTTGTTGTATTATTTCTGTATCTTTGCTGTTTTGTTTTTTTTCTGTGTGAGAAAGAAGTATAGATGGCTTCAAAATCCTTGGTGCCATCAGAGTGTTGTGGTCTGACAACCGACACCCAAAAATACTCCAGTACAGTCATTTACACACACACACACACATGCACAAACTGGAAGATTTTCCCACCACAAACCACAACCATTCAATGGGAGGAGGACAGGCAGGGAGATGAATTACAGAGACACAAATATCTGGCCCGTGGCAACTTTGGGCTGCGACAACAACTCCTCTGGAATCAGGGAAATAACACATGTCAACAATCGAAGCAGTGTGCAGCTCTGTGGACTCCAATTTTGGGAGAAAGTAAGACGTAAGCTTCGACCAACGACAGAGTGAAGATTCAGGTTAAAAAAGTGAATCGGTATGTATCCAGGAAATATACATTTAAAAAATTTAACAAGTCTTCCTAGATCTCAGTCGGCTCTGTTCCAAAGGAAAGTGTACTCAATAAATCAACTTCTGTTCAGTGGATGAAAAAGATACTGTGAACCTTCCACACAAAAACACATCAACATACATAGAATAAGCAGCAAATATAATATACTAAACCAATTGAATTTGATCTATGGTTGATAAAAAGATGAGACACAGATCTATTTTCTGCAACCATTTACCAACTTCTCGTCCTCTTTCAAATGAATAGATGTGGGAAAGAATAAAGCTACTGACCAGCGGCCTGCTGAGCAACACTAATAGAGAAAGGCGATGGATGTCAGCTTTCTACTCTTCCTACAGACTTCTAATAATACCCAGTGATGCTGTGAGAATCCACTGACCCTGCATTGCTGACCCCACCCCCAAGGGGTCACTTCCTCTCCCTGGATTGATACTCTGAGCCTGAATCAAAACAAACACATGCAGCAGCCGATTGCGGGGGAGTCGGACCATAACACTGACTTCTGTCAACATTTGTCTTTATTAGGCTTTCTTCTTTCTTAGAAAGATCAACATGTGGTTGCAAATGGTCATAACTCTGACAGGAGAAGCTTAAAAGTAACAGATTGATCAACAGTTAAACTCAAATGTTAATAATGATAAGGGGAACAACTAATGAAGACGGATGGACTGCAAAAAGAGCAAAAAGTTACTTACTGGTGGTTGGAGTCCAATTTCTTCTCTGTCCAGACTTCCTCTAGAACTCCTCGTGTCTGGTTTCTAAAGAAGCACAAATGATCACAAGCTTTAGATCTCTGTATATAAACGTCAGGGCTGCTCTCACTGTATTTCAAACTGTAATAAATAAAATCAAACTATAACGCTCCAGTTGTATCATAATCATACAGGTTACAAATGTTCTAATTGGACATGTTTTTTTCCACTGCTAAACAAATCACTTTTCTTTTCCGCTCATGACTTTCTAAGTGGTCATCAGTGTTAAATGCTCCGTATAAAATACTAACAGCTCAACAACCTCTGCTCTTGACAAATTTGAGCAGAATAGGGTGCAAAGTCTTTTGCTTAAATTAGTGCACTTATTACAGGTTTTTGGATCTGAATAAACTAATGGACTCTTCTTAAACTGAATGCCTAAATGCCAGAAAAGAGGACTTCTCTTCCACAAAAAAAACAAAAAAACAACATGTACTTTTCAACAGAGATGGGAACAAACTGTCCAAATCTGCGGGACGAATCAGTTACTGGCCCTTTAGGAACTTTCTATGGGTATACATCCATAAACACCAACAAAAGAAGCCAACATAAAAAGTCACTTCTCAACATGCAACACAACCAGCTGCCCCCTTACACAGCCGTCCTCACATACCAGTTTTCCGAGACAGGACTTGAAGACCAGCATTGCCAATGAGTTCATCAAAAGTTGCCTGATGAATCGTTTGTCTGCGGGATGTCTGAGGTGCTTTGTCTGTTCTTATCCTCTGATCTTACAATATCATTCTGCCTCTGTTGGACTGCTCCCCTGTCTTTCTCCTTGCCTGTCTGGATCTTCCTCTGTGCCAGCAGCTTCATCAAGAAAAGAATTCAGATTCGACTCCAGCTTCCTGCCTCCAGCACACTTATATCTGACTCTGACAAACGGAGAAGGAGAGGAGGTGGAGGAGGGAGGGCTGATGGAGAGCGCTGCCAACGAGCTGTCAGTAAGCGAGTGCGTCTACTCTTCTTTCCCAAACCCTTCTGCCTTCCTCCTCCCCTCCTCACTGAAGCAAACTTGTTATAAAAAACAAAAAACAGCCAGCCTACAATGTGCACTTTCACATGTGCATGCTCACACACTCACACACACACGCGCACGCACGCACGCACACACACACACACACATATATGCATACTTAATGCGTCCTCAGCTTTTCAGCAATCCTGCATGCTGTCGGTTAGTGGTTATGGGTCAAAGACAGACTGTTGACTGGGCTGTCAGAGTCTGTAAGTCTATCATTAACCCTGGAATTCACACAGGCCACACCTGCCTTCAAACTCACTCACTTACACACACGCAGATGCACGTACTATAAAATTCTTGAGAAAAATAAACTCCAGACAGCTACTTCCTTGGCCATTCACAGAAACATGAAAATGTCCTCCCTCCTGCCAACCTTGTCTTGCTGTCAGTGGGTGTACCTATCAAAAGTTGAGCTCCCAGACAGCGTCTAATCCTGTATTTTTTCCCCTTGATCTTCAATGTGCTTGAAAGAAAGTAAGCACTTATCAGTATCCTTTTGTTCAAAATGAAGATTGTCATTGAATACTTTTTAAATTGGTGTGATAAGTTAAAGGAAGCTGCTGCTTATATCACTCCTCGCAAAAACAAAAGCTGAGAAAGAAGAGAATGAGACATCCTTCGTGTACATTTTCCACAACTATTGCTTCTGGAATCTGGAAATGTTTAATCCAGGGAAAAAAACGTTATATCACCAGACACAACAAAGGGGTTTGGCCGTCTGCGCAGCGAGGATGATATGAGGTAGCAATCTGCCACTTAAAGAATCCTGAAGGAGTGCCATGATTCATGTACTAGCTCTGCTCCAAACTAGCCCGAATGTCTGTATGAACAAAATCTATATGCATTTTTTTTCCTCAAATCAGGTTTGACATGGGATTCCACATGTGATTTTTATCAAGCTGTGAACATTTATACTACGGTTGTGGTTATCCTCCAGCTCATTCAAAAACAGCCTGAAGGAGTTTCCAAAACGTCTGCAGAGTATCAAGAGTCGGTGAACAAGCAAAACATTATCCTGAAGATGATTTAACTGTATACTACAGCTTTATATAATAGGCTGTTTTCAGCGATTTCTCAATTCACTGGCAGCAGTGATGTGTTCAGGAAATCAGTTATAATGAATGAAAGTTTTTATTTGTGGCGTTACCTGTAAGAATACCAAAAAAGGGTTGTTCTGTTGCCATTCATAATGCTGAGCAACACTTAGCAAGATCAATTTTATTGTGCACAACTTAGACTTAACTTTATTGAAAATACAACATAAACTGAAAAAAATGGCTTTCATTTATCTTTTGAGAAAGAAGATTCCATGAAAATATGAAAACATGCATGGAGCAACTGACACAATGTAGCATGCAAAATGAAAGGAAATAAACATCAGAACACTAACACACCAGATCTGTTCTACTTTGTTTCCTAAGTGTGGTAAAACGTTTTTTTCATCGCATGAGCAAACCTCAAATGAGACCAGCGGCTGACTGCTCTGTTTAAACGATGCATGTTGGATATGTGTGTGCGGTGTGTTACCAGCAGCCTTTCCTCCTGCTCCAGCCACCTCTGATCCTCCTCCATCTGCTGCTGTTGTATCATCAGCTGTTCCTCCATTAACAGGCACTGCTGTTCTACACACTGCTGCATGTCTACTTCCCTGTCCTACGCACACACACACACATGTGAAAACAACAGAAGACAAGCGGAGCATGACAGACATGCACACCGACACAGGAAAATAATCACAACACATCCACATGAAGATAAGCATGCACACCCTCGCAGGTGAGACAGGAAACACACGTACACCAGACCAATGAGAGAGTGAACTGAAAAGAATAAATGGTAATGTGGGGTTGATGTATAACGGGGCACACATGTAAACTGGGACTGAAACCTTTTAAAATGCGTGGGAAAGGCAATTTTTGCGTTTAATGTTTTTTTGTTGAACAAAGAGACTTTTTATTTTATTTGTATCACCTAGCATTTTAATTGTAATCATACAGACCAGCTGTCGCCATGACAACAACACAAAATCTACCCGTGTCTTGTGTGTGTAAAATGGATCTCCTACCTCCACTGCGGAGCCCCAGAGGGCCATGTCCGCTCCATGCGACTGGGGAAGGTGCTGCACGTGTGAGTGTGAGTGCACGTGGTGGCGGGGGTGCGTGTGTGCATGGTGCGTGTCCAGCATAGCAGCTTGTGGGGGGTAAAGAGCGCTGGGCACTGAGGGGAGGGTGTGAGGTCCTGGATAACCTGCCATCTGATGCAGGGGGCAGAACAGAGATAGAGAGACTTAATAACACAGGAACACGTTATCTTGCTTTGAGTTTTGTACTTATCCAGCAAATGCAACCCAAGGAGAAGAGTCAGGAGGTTTGTCCACATACCTGATAGTGTCCAGGGTGCTGAGGGCTCGGGTAGAAGCCTTCACTGGAGCGAGGACTGGGGTACCCCGGCCTACTCGGCTATAGACAGAGGCAGAGACAGAGAAGGAGGGAATGAAAAGGAAGAAATGAAAAACAGATGGATGAAGGGGTAGATAGCTTGTGATATAACAAAAAACAGTGAAAAAAATAGTTTAACACCCAAACCTCTTTTCATTATGAGATAAAATATTAGAAGACAGAATGTTCAGACAATCAACACACAAAATCCTTGTTTGTGTGGTCGGGTTAGCTGTCAATCAAAACAGGGAACACCCACTGGGCTGCAACTCCAGCAAGCTGTTAGTCGAAATGCCACAGAAAACTGTTCTTATGTCACAAACACCAACATCCACAGATTACTGGTTTGTTATATTTGTAGACTGTTTATCTGGTTAGATGTGATGCATGTTCACCAAAGACCTCTCTTTAAAGCACATTTACAACTTGTACCTACGCGGAACGAAAGGGAAGTTTTATTTATTTTTTATGAGGCATTCAATACAATATAAAACGCAATCCAAGCTTCTGCTGGACACAAATAGGAAGGCAGAGAGTCTAAAACCTGAATTGTCCTGTTCGAGAACTTTCAGCTAAAAACAGAAGTGCTTGGTGAACCCACAGATGTTGACTCTTCTGTTGGTGGGTTGGGATGAAGCTGTTGAAAGTTGAGGAAAGGCTCCCCCTCTTAATGACACAACACAGAAATCATTGTTGTAACCTCTACCTTCCACAATCTCTCATAGTAGCTTTCTCTGGATCTCACCTCCGAAAGCAAGACAGGCGTAAAAGAAAAGAAAAAACGGATGGGAGGACACAAAGACAAGACAAAAAAAGCAGGATTGTGGAGAGACAGAACAAACACAAAAACACTGAAGACGAATCAAACTGCGAGCTTTGAATGTGCAGACACATTTTGAAAAAGCTCTTGCACACACGGTCACAAGGGTTCTTCATATTTAGAAGTTCAAATCTGAAAGAACAGATTCACTTCCTTGTGGCAGTCCCAGGAAACATCCACTTTAAACACAGAAAGGCAGCTTCATTAGGCAGGCCTGTCACACTGAGAAATGGAAGCGGTTTGGATAAATTCTTGACTGAGAATAAACATCTCATTCAATAAATGGTTTGCATGTAGAACATTGGAATCCAGGTCAGTACAAAGATGCCATATTCATGCTTTCTAACATGAAGACGACAATTAGCATTAGTTTTGACCCAATCATGTGCCATTTTAGTGCTTTCATTAGTGCAACCTATAGTCTTTCCTTCTTTTTTTTTTTTTACAGAGCCACGTTTCTTTTCCTTTTTCAACTCATCAGAAACAAATTGGTGTTTGTAAAAATGTGCTTTGCACCTGTGAAAAAATGAATGGAATGGCCCAATATTTGTATTCCTATTTATAGAAATGAAAGGAGAAAACTGCTTCTTTGCAGTTTTGAAACTTGAATCCTGAAAAGAAGAACAAAAAAAACTTTTGAAAAAAGTTTAAAAATGTATTTCAGGGTAGAATTTCTAGCCATCTGTGACATTTAGAAAACAGCAGAGCTTCCACAGCAGCACATAAACAGTGAGTGGAAATCTCCAGTTTTAAATAAACCTATCATTGTGAAATACAACAACCAAAAAAAAGAAGACAGTCCAATTACCTAACTCCATATGAACCTTGAGGGAATGTTCTGTTGTGTAGCACTGTGTAATTTAGGTTTTCTTTGACTTCATGTATCACTCAGGGGCACAGATCATCAGCTCCCACACACACACATGAACACACACACAACATCCATCACCACTGGGAGCAACAGAGTGGGGCAAACATACAGTAATAGCTCTGAAACTGGAATGTCTCACAGTCCCTTTTAGAAGAAGCGGATTGTGGCAGCTGTAAAGACTGAACTTGTGCTTTTTAGATGACAAGCCTTAGTGAAGGTAATGGTGCAGTCAGGGAGTTTTTCCTCAATCACTCTGAACCAGTGTCAGAATCGTAACAGTTTATTTCACTTTACCCTGTATGAATCAAATATATGCAGTGCATCTATGGATTAAGTGGCAAGACTTTCACCCAAAAATAAAATATATATATGAAAGGTAAATGTGACTCAGTACATAATGTGTTTTTCTTTGAATGTTCGCTTTTAGGATCACTGTGACCACTTCGGTCACAGTGACCGTTTTATATGCGTATGTGAGTCGGGCGGTTGGCCCATTGGATTTAGGGTTTATCTCAGGCATCCTGAGAAGGCTAGAAATAGGGCACAATAATCCAAGACAAAGACCAACAAATATAGAAACCTTCATCCAATCCCCACAGACAAAGAACATTTCAACGGCATTTCTCAGACAGATACAGCAGACTTCCAGGGTGAGCAGACACATGCTGGTCGATGGGCAAAAGTAAATACCACTCCAGTAAATTATGATTGATGAAACAATGACAGGTTCAGGGTTAATGGGAAGATGAAGTGCTAGAGATCAAAAAATGTTGCAATTTTCCTTCTTGTTTTAAGTGTGGAATTTTTCCCCAGAAAGGATAAAACAATAAATTCCTCCGTAAAAAAAATAAATCGAAATGACTTGTAGTAATGTGGTCCATTGTCACTGCGATTTATACATGTCTTAATCCAAAGCAATGTCGGGTCTGATAAGTAAGAAAAATCTAAATGTGTTTAAAAGTGTAAACATTTAATACTAAACTTAAAAATGTCAAATATGAATCAAATGAATTGACATTACTGAATTTATTCACTACATGGACACCTTTTAAATGTGGTGCCTTTCTAGTTTCAAAATGCTTACAGAGAAAATTGGACCGCTGCAACATTTTTTGATACAGTCGTTAGGGTTTCATTTCGTTATGAGGGCAGCGTTGGTGCAGTTTGGGCAGAGCAGCACATGTTGGCAGTTACCGGGTGGCCGGACATTGTGCTGAGTAGGTGATGGTTGGAGGAGCCATGTGGCCTCCCACATGGCTGCAGAGCAGGCTGTTTGGTCTGGGTGTTGAACTCATGGTGGTGCAGGGCTCTGGGGTTAGTCTGGCTGTCAGGGTGAAAGCTAGCCAGTGGCAGGGTCTCAGGATTAGAATTCGACTGGGGCTGAATATTTTGGAGAGTGTAGGGGAAAACACTTGATACGCTGCAGTGCGGTGAGTCGAAGTTCAGACTACTTTGGGAAAGCAGTGGAGAGATTTTCCAGGGATAAGAGGGAGGGTTTTTTGGCAGGGAAGGGCTCATCATGAGCCCATCTGGTTGACAACTTGTTTTGTGAGGGCAGCTGTCATTGGACAGGCTGACTGAATGTGTGAGAGGTGATGAGTACATAGATTGTGCCTGCAACAACAAAGGTGGGCAAGGCTTTGATTTGGGGTTTAACTCAGCATTGTTCTGAGACAAGGAGTATTTGTAGCAATTGGTGCTTGGACAAGAAGCTGGGTGAGGCTGAGGACTGGCAGGAGAGGAAAAGTGATGGGGAAATTTCAGAGGTGGAGGGCAAAGAGGAGAAGTGGGAGGATGAGAGGAGATATAAGGACATGGCAGATGGGAGGTTCCAATGCAGAGGGAAAGCTGTGAGGCAAAGCGCTGGTGTTGATGGTAATGAGGAGGAGGAGGTGCAAAAACACAATCCAGACTGAAGGTGGGCTGCATGGAGGGCCGATGACTGGGCTGCAAACATGGACAGAAAAAGCAGAGGAAGGACATGTGGGGGGGGGGTACCACATAAAGTAAAGAGTGTAGTGGACAGGTGGAGCAATCAAGAAGCTCCCAACACACAGACAGAAATGTAAATGAGTGATTCCCTGAAGTGAGGCAGTCTAAAGAAAATATCTGAACAAGTTTGAAAAATGTTGCTGCTTAATTCGAAAGCTGTTAGCTGGCACTAAAAATCAACTTAATGTACTCCAGTGACCAAATTCCCTTTCATACTTGGACAACTGAAGGAAGTTGAGGGAGACCTGAAAAATGCCTTTTGGGACATGTGGCTTTGGTTGAAACCAAAAGGGGCAGCAAACAGCTGATGGGAATAGCGCGAAAATAGTGGCAGTGAGTTTGGGAAGAAGCAGACAGCAGCTGGGGCAACAAGCTGTGAGGTGGGACAGTAAAAGTTGAGATGGGGGAGGGGATTAATGACATTTACAAAACATAATTTGTCCGAAGACATATTAAATAAATTATTAAAAACAGACACACTGAACAAAAACAGGGTTTATAAGCGTCACATATCTAACAAGTTTTTCATCTTAGGAACCGCTTCATATTGTAGATGGGTTGTTTTGCCACGACAGCACAGTGAACGACACACACGTGTCACACTGTCACCTTGAAACCCTGGACCGAGGCATGCAAATCTTACACTAAATAAAGACTTATTTTCCTTGATGCTTTCTATGGAAACAAGATCTGCTGGAATGAAACAAGCACTATTACAAACAACAGTATATCAAACACATCTTACTTCTTATTCTACTTGTGTAGCACCAACAGGTAGTCGACACAAACAAAGCACGAGGAAGAGTAAAACAGCCATAGAAAGTAAGAATGGGGGGAATTTGGGATGGAACAAGCCCACATACTGGCACACAAATCAGTGGCGGGGTGTCTTACTTTAGGTGGTGCTTCATCAGACCCTCCAGAGTCCCAGGACACAGTAACTTGTCTCCTCATCTCCATCCTGCACCTTTCTTTCTGCTGGACCTTCTCCTCCTCCAATATCGTGCTGGAACAAAAAGAAAATAAATTCTAATTTTATAATCACATGAAATCAAAGAAGTATGAAATTATCAAGAAATCAGTGCGATAGGTTCCTTCCGAAAGCAGAACTGTTTGTAACTATTTTTTCCTTTTCTTTTTAACAAGCCAATAACGCGACGACCCCATTAAAAAGGACATACTGTTCCCTGTCAGTTTCATTCCACTAAAACTTTTGCTTACAGAGCATTCCTCACACACAGCTCAGACCGTCAAAACACAAACTACTACATGCCGAGGAAAATTCCATTTTGTCACTAAATGAGTAACTGCTGCCTCTTACCACTGCCGTTTACCACTAAATACTCAAATAACTCCCATTAACTCTCAGAGAGCGATATCAAATAACTGTCAATGGTTCTGGTTTGATAGGCATAAAAAGAACTAAACTGCATCTCTTCATAAAAATGTAGGGTATTCCGGAATGCCAGTTGTTCTGGGATGCAACATCAAGTTGCCTTTCAATATTTCTGTTGTTAAAAATACCAACATCTCCTCCAATATTCATGCTAACTAGTAATAGTATTTTTGTCATAGCAGGCAAATGGAAAGAGAAAACACAAGACAAAAGTCTTTGGGTATTACAACCCAAGCAGAATCTCTTAGAAACAAAGGTAAACCCCATTCCAGTAACTTTACATTTACAAGTCCTTTGTAAATATACCCAACTCAGATTACACAAAAGACAAAAAAAAAAAAATGCATTGTCAAACCTACCAGTTCCCTGGGAAAACTGAGGCCAAAGCAAAGCCTGAATCCCAGAGGAAAGAGACGATTGTGAGGAGCTATTGGCTCCACAAAACAGAACGGCACTGTCGAACAATCCTGCATTTACACACTCATTCTGTGCCCCTTCCCTCAACATGGGGAAGAGCTATTTCCAGTAACATAATTGCCCTCGTGTTCTGTTGTCTCCTGCTGAGTGTTTGTGTGTCCATGCACCTGTCAACGTCAGTCTCCAGTCCAGTATTCTTTTCCATCACACCACAGACTCATGTAAAACAATATCAGCAAACATAGCATTCCTCACTATAATAAGACACCCAGAATTCAGATTTAGACATCCACTCCTGTGCACTGAGGTCCGGTAACATTCAAATAATAATAAAAAAACACATAAAAGGGTGCAAAGACTTTGTTTCTTTATTCTTTCACACTATTAAACACATCACAAAAGCTAAACAGTTTATTTTAATAACCAGTTATGAGCTCATAAATGCAATTTTTCACTTACAGTTTTATAGTTAAGTCTTTTTTAAACATTATTAGTTTTCTGTTGGTCTCGCAATTGTGCAAAAAGTTCTCATCTTGTGTAATTTCAGTGTTGCTTCCAGACCAAACAAAATATTGGAACATAATAAAAATGCCCTTTATTATTTGTAAGTTAGCTTTTTTTAGTTTTGAAGTCTATGACTGCTGAATTGTAAGTACAGTTCATTAGAAATCCAAAGCAGTAAGCCAATCATCTGACAGTAAATGGCATCATGTGCGAACATGTGAGATGATGATACTATCAGCACCTGGCAACATCAACACACAGCTTCCCCCCCCACCCACACCCAGACTAACACCTGGAAAAACAGGGCCTCCTTGGTTTATTTACTCAGGATCGGCGAACTGCACTGCTTAAAGATTTCCTGTAACAGGTTCACGTACACCAGACGTGGATTATATACTTTTTTTTACCTCACCCTTAAATTAATCCTTAAAGATCCATTGTCATGCTATGAGTAAAATGGCTCTAAGATAACTTAAGATGCATTTAAGATATTGGTGAAGAAGAGCAAAAGTATAGAGACAAAATTGGAAAATTGGAGCCAGTAACATCTAGAGGTGAGAACATTTTTTCCTCATAAATCTACAACACATAGATACACATTTCTTAAAAACTAGCTGGAGGGATTTTAAGATAATCTGACTTCTGATATATACAGTCCAGTACACTGAAAATGTTTTATGGAAACATAAATAATAAAACAAAAAAATTCAAATGATCCCCTCTGCAGAAACCAAGATCCTGTGGAAGCCTAGCTGTGTTTTATTTTACATCAAACCACATAGCAAATTCCCTCCACTATCGCCACTTGTTTAAAATAGATGCATCAAATATAGCAGGTCTAGCTTTACACGTAGTCATACACTACATTTGCTTTCTTACTTGGTCAATTAAAAACAGCATAAGCTTAAAAAACAATCCATTAAAAACAACACCACACATTCTTCATCAGTTAAAAAAACACCTATTTGGGTAACCAGTATGTAACAAGCTGTAAAATCTGTCTATAAACAACCCGAACTGTTAAGAGTTTCATGTTCCATTTACAACTTGAAGACTGTTAACAGGAGAAATCAACCAAAATCTAGGACCCATATAAAAAGTTGGTGAAATCATACTTTACCTTAGAAAAATGCTAACTGTTTTATTTCCTCTCAAGCCCTTTTCAAAGAATCAGTGTTCAGTCCCGACTCCCTGCTGAAGGTCAGCACGAACTACTTCAAACACTTGCCATAAGAAACGGATAAATCCTACTCCTCCTACAGGGATTACAAAACTATGCTTTGCTGCACCGAATCTGCAGAGACTAAAGGCCTTGCTAAATATATGCCCTCTTTACCATCAGGATAGCACAATATCTGGGCATTAGAAGCTTCAGTTGTCAAGCTTATGCCGTGGGAGTACAGCGCCTAAATATTTCTACTTGGCGTTTTCCTTCTTTGTTACATTCTCTCAGTTTTCTCTCCCTCTCTGTTCATTGGAAAGTTGTAGCTCCTGGCAGCTGCCCACTGTGTAAATACCCCAACGCACATTCATGGTGGTTCACCATCCAGCAACACCGTAGTGAGGAGCTGAGAATTGCATTTTTGGCAGGTGAGACCTACAATTGATAGTATAATATAGAGACCAGCCAGACCAATAGAAATCCAAACTCACCAAACTTATATGGCACGTGTTTCTACTATTAATATCCAGCAGCCACAACGAGCATTGTAAGTACTGACAGTATATCCGAGACAATGGGTGAGAATCATTGAGAAGCTCTTAAATATTTTCGTAATGCCAAATGTATTATAAATGTTCTTCATTTTGTCAGCTTAGCACCAAATACAGATCTACTGTTCCACATTTTGTCCTCAGCCTGTTAAAACATGCAAACCACAAACACATGGTTTGTGTCAAACGAATAAGCGGACCTCCACGATATGAAGGCCTGTAACTAATTTGGAGTGGGAAAACAAGGAATGTCAGATCAACAAGATATGATGAAAAGGTGAGGGAGGTCAAGGGCTGGGGGAGAAAGAAGGAGTGCAAAGTGAAGATGGAGAAAGAAGGAATGAAAAAAGCAAGAAAGGAAAAAATAAAAGGGGAATGGGGGGTGGGGGGGGGGGGGGTGGTGGAGGTGGAATTTCAGGTGTGAGTCATGCTGGTTTAAGAAAACTCATAAAACCGCAGGAGAAAAATGTGCACTCTTATTTTCCGGTTTCTGTGCTTGTGAAAAAAAGAGCGCCAGAGAAGAAGGAAACAATGAGGCCTCTTGCTGTGCGCCTGTTGTGTTCAACATGTGGATTTCTTTTGTAAAAATAACAAACGGGGTACATGTCATCTAATTTTCATTGGAATTCATTTTCACAGCGGGAAGCAAAATGTGTAAAATAAATTAGCTTAATATTGCACGTCTCTTATGAGACAGTGACACAATCAGACCACATGAGGCCTCTAAATAGCTGGCATCTGTTTTTACAGATTTGAATCAGAACAGACACGTAAATATAACAAACAAAGATGAACAAATCAGCCCCGTTATTGTAATCTGAATCTGCAGCATTCTTCACGATTAACAATTAATGTTGCCCATCTTATCAGATGCTTAGTTACTGAGTTGGCTGAAATTAATCTGAAAAATATTCAAGCATAGCAAAAAATAAGCATGAGCACTAGTTTAGACCACAGAGTCTTGTTGTGCCCTTGAAAAATACACTTTCAAATGAGTTTTTTTCTTTTCCCATCAAGAGGCAGAGATGAGACATCACTTCCAAAAAGCCACAGGTCTGTTCTTGTCTCAGGGATTATGATTTGTTAAGCAATGGTGGCTGTGAACAGCCCTTTCCTGAAGGAAACCCCAACTTGGTCCCACTTTACATATAAAACAGAATACACGGCACCAATTTAGTTTAATTTAATCTTAATCTAAATTTAAATGGGTTTTTAGAAGCGACATACAAACCATACAATATTCTTACTGTAACCCTTTATCAAAAGCTTCACAGGTTTCAAGTAAAACCCTCTCCCTGTCAAGAAGAAAAAGTACAGATAAGAACGCAAAGCAACAGAATTTGTCATAAACTGCAAATCTTTGGCATTTGGTTTCAAAGTTACTCGTGTGTTTATTTTCTGCTGGCTGATGATTGTTGGTGATGCCACTTCAGTAGTTAGAATAAATTATTAAGGTTAATCATTACACGAAAATAATTTAGGTTGTTTGTTGGAGCGAGTATGTTTCTTTGCCTGTACTCGAAAACACAGTTTCACAAACAGTAAGCTATTTTTTAGCATTATCATGACTTCATTTTAAACATGAATAGGTTGGCTACTTCCTGTTTTATGTGATGAATTACTAAGGCTTACTCAGCAGGCTCTTGCATTATCAACTTTGACGTGTGTTCCCATCTAATCTGATCAGAACATGCCCGGGATATTGTGTCTACACCATCCCCACAACTCTGCTTACAAAAGAAGTGATGTATCATTTTCCAGGAAGGCAGAGCAAAACCAAGGTGTCTCATTTGGGTTATCTATAACATTGTTACAACCAAGTTACCATGACAACCATTACACCATCAGCCCAAACATGGGGATAAATGCAACAGAATGCTCAGATTGTGGGTGTTCTTGCACACAGACTGGTGTGTTGCTGAGGACCAGAGCCTTTTTAGCCAGGCACCACCTGGATGAGCTTGTTCATGAGCCATCTTTTCATGGAGATCCCCATTCTCTACCACAGTCTTCCTCTTGTGATTTATAGTACTCAAAAACGCCCGGGGACTCTGAGAGCTCAAACCACACGTAACAACCGTCTGCTGGTTAGTAACACCATTAAGAGCTCACCATAATGCCTCCGTCTAATAAGGCTTTGGATTTGAAGGGACCTCAGACATTAAAGTATACACCAATGTGCTGGTGCTCTGTGAGAGTACTGTCCTATCTGGACTTTCAGACACACATAAGTGTAACCTGTTGTTTGGAGTTTTTGTTCACTAACTGGTGTTTTATAGTGTTCCACGCTCTCAAGACCATGATGAAGTTGCTTCATACAGACAGTGACACCTGCTGTCCGGACGATGTAAGCAGGGCCATATTCCACGGATTAAAAATGGAAATGAAAGCATGAAGAGAAATCATAACCTAGGATGAATGGATTTAGAAAAAATCTGATATCATCTAGTCTAGAGAATGACAGACAGGCAGTTGATGATATGATGAGGAATCACTTACTAAAATTAGTACAAACTTTGGGTGCCAGTGCCAATTTATTTGGCATCCATTAATAAAATCTTATGAAATGCAGCAAATCCAAAATAATAAACCATTCGATTCTTTTTCTTCAATGGTGCCTATACCATGACAGCCCATCATACCAAAAAGCACTGAAATAATTGCTGCAAATGGATGCGGAGCAAAAAAAAACCTTCTGTAACAATAATTACTTAAAAAAATTTCTAACCACATACTTGCAGAATTCCAAATGCACAGTACCCCCTAATTTCCCTTCCCTTCATACCTGAGTTGTGTTTTGAGCTCATTAAAGCGGGGTCTCTTGCTGGGATCGTACGACCAACATTTGGTCATCAGGCTGTAAAGAGTAGGAGGGCACTGAGGAGGCATAGCCAGTCGTTCTCCGTTCTCTATTCTGCCAATGACGTCATTGTTTTTAACACCCTGGAATGGCTTGATGCCGTACATCAGAATCTCCCACATGCAGACACCTATGGCCAGAAGGGTGGCAAAACTTATTCTTAATGAGACTGGAACATATTGGCTGGCCAGAACAGAAATAGTTAGTACACACCTGCTATTACAGAACAATAAAATGAGATTCACAGATGAAAAGAAACCCAAAGAGCTCTACGCTTACCAAACATCCACACGTCGCTGGCTGTAGTGAATCGTCTGAAGTTAATGGATTCTGGAGCCATCCATTTAATAGGCAATTTACCTTTAGATGCTGGGAATCAAGAATGCAGAGAGCTGTGTTACAATTCGTTGATCAGTTCCGTTTTCATAAGATTTCTGAATCTGCCTCCCATAAGACCAAACACTGAAAATCACCAGAGTGTTTTCACAGTTACCTTTATAATAGGAACTATCCTCCATATAACGCGACAGACCAAAGTCTCCCAGCTTTACACAATCAACAGTGGACACCAACACATTCCGTGCTGCGATGTCTCTGGAGAGAGCAAAACACATTTACGGGAAGAATGAGACGAGTTCATATATAGTTTGGACAGTAAAAACTGAAGCAACTTTTAGCTATATTCAGAATATGCTCTGATTTCCATTAGAAAGTCAGTGTTTAACTGCATAATTTATTCCAGGAGGGGGAAACACAAGGTTGTGGTTAACCGAAACACTCCAAGATGTGCTCATTCATACCTGTGTACAAAGCGTTTGCTCTCCAGATATGCCAGAGCTGTGCTGAGCTGATAAGAGTACAGGATGAGAGTGGCCAAGTCTAGACTGTATTTCCTAACCTGGAGAAATGACCGCAACTATGACAAAAAAGAGGAAGAGAAACGCAGGGGAGAGAAATTATTTAGGCCAAAAACAAAAAAAACCCAACATCAAACATGAAAGAACAGAAAGAATATATGAAAAATGTGAGATAAAAGAAAGAAACTGAGAGAAACTTAAATTTGTAGATTAAATTAAGCTACTAACTGCAGAAAAGCTGTGTGTGAGGACATGTACATGCACTGTTGCATGAAATTTGAATTTTTTTTAAAAATCACACCAAATTGAATTTACTGAAATAAGATGCTAACAGAAAAAAATAACGTGGTAAAATATCCTCTCAAAATGATTCAGTTGGTAAAACGGTAAAGTGTAATTCCAGACATCTTACTTAATTTGGTTGAGAAATCCCCACCTTTTTTGTAGAAACCGTAAGGGTTGCTGTTCAGCTAGTACTAGATATTAGGGGCCTACCTCTCCAAGTGTGCAGAGCTCCATGATGATCCACACCGGATTCTCAGTGATGACACCCATCAGCTTTACGATATGAGGATGGTCAAACTGACGCATGGTCACTACAGGTAATTGAAAGAAAGTGTTCTCCGATTCACAAATGATCTTTGGTGCTTTTCATCAGCAGAAAACCGATCATTACTTTTGGTTGACCTGACTAATGTATGCGCACAAGAACCTTACATGCTTCCTGGAGGAATTTTTCTCTGACACTGTCTGACGTGGAGTTCTTGCATGTCTTCACAGCCACAGACAGAGCTGGGTTCTCCTGAAATAGAGAGAAACATCAGGAAAAAAATCAGCTGCTGCTATGCGACGACAGAGGCTCCCACTTACAGCACGCTTACATTCTACACAGAACTCTCAGTAACACTGGGGATTCAAAATCTAATGAAATATATGTGCATATGTAATGAGTTTATCATCTCATCAATAAATCATTCTATTCATGGCGTTGTAAATCCATCTCTTTTTTTTTTTACCGCTGTACAGATTTACAGTATATAATACAAAACAATCCCTGTGCCATAAGCTAAAAAAAAACAACAATTAAATACATTCTGTGAAATACATCCTATGTACCGCATCTACAGAATGGGACACACATTCCCTAGTTTCTGCCTCTGGATGTGCAGGAAAGAAAGAAGTTGCGGTCTCCATGAGACTGAGGCTCTTTACCGAGCTGATGTAGACTCCTTGGTGGACGTCTCCGAACTGACCCTCACCAATGCAGCGTCCCAGTTCAATGCAGTCCCGCTGGATCTCATAGTCCCATGCTAAACACAACACATACAAATATGTGACACACAGACAGAAACAGACACAGATAAAAGCAGAGCAGGTTTTCAGATCAGCCGGATGTATTCATGTCCACACAGTTTCTTGCCGTTTCCAAGCTTGTTAGAGCCGATTAAAGTGCACCGATGTTCATTGCTGCATTCATGGGGCAGCATTTGCATCCAACTAAATGTTTGGATTGTCTCGATTACATATGATTCACCTAAATTTGCTTATATGTGACACAGTCCATTTCACTCGTCACCACAAAGAAACAACATAATAATGTGTGCACGATCTGATGTTATGGCCTTCTTGCTCTGACAAGCTTGTTTTTTATTTTTTATTTTGCTATCAGCATAGCTTTTGTCATCAGCATGCAACAACAGCATCAGCAAACCACAGCAAGACATGCCATGTAACACAGACGGACGGCCAATAACACTGAATGTACACATGACCATGAATTACTGGGCTAATTCAAACTGTTATATGGATAAAGTCAGGTGAATTGTGTAATGGTGAATCCTTCATTGGCTCATAGAAGCCCAGTATTTCATTGGTCTAGAATAATCTTTGGTATTCAGTATTCTCTGTTAAATGAAAGCTTACAATTTGTACATCTTTTAACCCCCCCCCATAAAAAAAAATGAAAATAGTTCAATGGTCTGTGAAACCCAGGCTGTTGAAAGCTGGTGGTTTGCTGTGCCTGACAGGCATTACACTGTTGGCCTGACTTTGTCCATGTAATACACACATGAGTATGACACAAAGCCATAATAGTCAGGTTACAGAGATCTAAAACTTCCCCTTTGTGATAATTACTGTTGTCCAAATGTCCAGCACATGAGCAACTTTTAAGGACAGCAATGTGAAGCAGTAAAATGCACGTGTCAATGACAGTCTAAATGTGGAAATTGTCACAAAACTGACTTACAAAGAAGTTAATTTATAAGTAGAAATTGCACTCTTTTTTGTGCTGTGCCTTTCAAATCGCTCATGTAGCTGGAGCTTTAAGAAAAAAAAACAATGTAATGGTTAATCAATGGGGTGGGACTATTTTTGGGTTAGTTAGTAGTTTAAAGTTTAAAGTATATAACGATATGTTTCCTTTTAAAGCCTTGCCTCTCACTGCACATCATCCTCATGTCCAGAGTTGTAAAAAGGAACGTGTTCTGCGTTGTCTGGTTGGATTATATGAAAAGGTTTCCCCAAACTATGGCCACGTAACAGTAATATTGGTTTGTGTTGCCAAATCATTCTATACGTTTGCCTTTTTTCACCTATGTAGAAAAATTAGATTAAATGTGTGCATTTGTTTTTCTTCGTCATGAAGATAAGCAATAGGGTAGTCAATTTTCAAGAGGATCAATGTCCGACAACTGGGACTCAGATTTGAGGCTACAAACTGACGGCACACCAAAAATAAAGACAAAAAGGAGGGTCAAATCAACAGGGTAAAGATATAGGAAAAATATTCTGAGGTTAATATCATAGTTGCAAGCAAACATAAAGAGGGTCACGACAACCACCAAATCGAAGTGCTACCACCATGGTACAATTGTTACCTTGATCTAGTCCATAGTATTCTGGGAAAAATTGTTAATGATAAGAGACAGAAATAACTAGCTGTGAGTACAGAGAGTCATAAACGGTCACTACTGTCTTCATTAGTTAGGTTAATATGACAATGATAGAGATTGGTAAGAGGGATTGCATGTCAAAATCTTTTGAAATGTTTATAACACCAATATGTCCACTGTTGAATAAATTTTTTCTGTGTTTTTTTAGATTTTAGGTTTATCAAAGACCTGCTACAACAAAAGGAAAAAGAGAGCAAAAGACAAACTTTAATGGTTGAATTTAATGTGGAAAGTTTCTTAGAGGCTGGAATGGTAGTTTACTTGGGAACCTGGTGTTCACACAGCTAGGACAACAGCACTGAGTCAGCTTCGTCCCGATGTTAACAGCTAAACTAGTGAACAGGTACAGCCACAACGAGCTCCCCACAAGTACAAGCTCTTATTAAATCGATCTCTCACACAGAAAATAATAGCACTCTGAAATAGGAGAAATCACCAGGAAACAGATACATTTAGAATGCTGACTATAATTCTGACAGTATACAGATAATGTGTGAAAGGAAAATCCCAACATTTGGTCTAATCTTGTGGCAACTCACCAAAATAAATACAGACTACATGCATAAAAGTCGACAGCATGTGGTTCAAGAGGCTTCTTCTTCTAAATGCGAGGACTGCATGTGATTATGGCAAATATAGTTTCATTCAAAGGTCAGTCATCCATCTATTAAGCTTATCTGAAAAGAGTTTGAATCAAAGTAGATATCAGACTTATTCAAATCATTTGTGGTTAAGAACTAAATTGTAGCCCTGAAATTTAAAAAGATGTATTTTTAAAAGCTGAATATCGTCTTTCATGTGACTTTACTTCTTTAAGAAGACATCCTGCTCTCTGGCATTAAAACAGAATAATCAACTCTGCTCTTAACTTTAATGGACAGTGAGATGTCAAATACATATTTCAAATTGCCATTAGAGACATATAGACATCGCCACATAATATTTCTATCAAGACACTCACTCACACACACTAATTATTCTACGCTGAACAGCAGAAACACACTCACAATTTTAGTTCATGTAGGTCTGCATAGGTTTACTTACTTGAAGGCATGGTATAGGTGTCTTCCTCATCTATGATCTCAGCATAGTCGTCCGTTTCTGCAGAGCCAGATGGAGTCAGAGCCAACAAACATTATGTCTCAGTTGGTAACACATAAAAGAAAGAGAGCTGAGAAAAAAGTCAAGTAAAAAATTCTACAATGAAGTCTCTGAAACAGCACAGGCCAAAAGGTTGCATCATGATTTTGTAATATGAAGACCTGTGACCCATCTCCTGACACCCCCTCCCATTAAACATAAATCCCTGCATGCTGCTGAAGAATTCTGTGAACACACCCTCAAGGAGACAAAGGGCAGAAGCTACAACAGAAACGCGCCGTCATCAAACAGAAGTACCTTTCCCAAAGACTGCCACCATGCCCGAGTCGAAACGCAAACGTGACAATTAAAATGATCACGTACTACTGAACAAAGGCACATCAGGAGTGAGCCAGAGCAGCACAATAGTGGGGGGGACAAAGGCAGAGAAGTACAGGCAAGAGGAAAGGGGAGGGACGGAAAGATTCTTTCTTTCCAGAGAAACAAGCTAAAGAAAACCAGCCTGAGTCATGGATCCCACCAAAACATCTCCACTCACACACAGAAAGAGACACATTGATAGGGCGCTTATGTGTATCACTCTAATGGCAAAAACAGACCCAGAATTTCTATGTGACGCAACTCAAAGGTGTTTGATAGAAAGAATGAGTTTACCATCGCCACTAATGTGACCTGCAGAAGCCACATGCAGCATGGAAGACAAACACAGTGGAGAAAAACAGGTCATTAATTTTATCTTAAGAGGATAAAACCAAATAATTGAACGGCCAACCGCAGCTTTGAGGGGGTTTTCATTCTGAGCTGAGCAATAGTGAGTCATTCAGAGGTCAGAGCAGAGCCAGAGTGACAGTGACTAAAGCTCTCCATTAAGACATCTGGCGAGACAAGGACTCTTCACTGCACACACAGCTGAGGCTTTATCAGGGAGGCTGGGTATACGCTTATGTCTGTGAAGCTGTTATCTAACTCTTAGCACTTGCTGCCATTCATGACAGTTAAAGCGGAGGATGGAGAAGTGAAAGAAGCAAAAAAAAGCGAAAAAGGGACCAGGATTTCTACCTGACACGCAGACAGCTCGCGTTCGTACGCCATCCATCCGTTTCTCCATCCGCTTCTCATGGTTTGAAACTCTGCAGCAGAGATGAGAAAGTCATTGCTAAGATTTGACTCACGTTAACCAAACCAGCACAGTAACAATAAGCTACTAATGCAGCCATGCAGGGTGTAGCTGAAGCTGAGAAACAGGAGCTCCTGCTGTTGTGTGTGTTGCTCCAAAGTTTAAAAACGTTAGAAAACTAAGAAGTCAAATACAGTAATGGTGCTTGGGAATATTCTGTTTGTCACATCATCATTCGCAAGGCTGAAAATCTTATCAAAACTAAGCTGTTCCTGTGGATTTAAGCCAGACATTGAACTTAAACCTACTTTGGAAATAAAAAAAGACAATATGACGATCTGATGGTAAGGAAAGCCAATGCTGTTTTATCCATAAGCAGACCTTTGATACAAACATTAATGGAGAAAGTAAAGAAGTAATACTTTCACATCTTAAATTGTTTTGTAAAAATAAAGAAAATTCACTTTAACTTACTTTGGTATGGAAGGAAGGGCTCTGTCTCCCTCTGCAGAGACAAAATGAGCAGATGAGTTAGACAGAGAGCAGGCTGACCTCCTGTTAGAGTGCCAACTTAACTGTAGCCATTTCTTTAGAAGCCGCAGCTATTTTTAGAGAGGACTAACAACACACAGGCTGGTTATTATTCAAAGTGACAAGCACTAACTCTGTAGCAACAATCAGACTTAAGTACAGTTTGAAATTTCAGTCTGGACACTATTTTTACTCAGAGGTATATTTCTTCCCTTACTTCTAAGCCACAGCTGCTATTCAAATAACATACAAAATGATCACAATCATCATGGCTGCACAACTCTACCAATAATTACAATTCTGAGCAGCATTTCACAAAACCCAACGTTGGGTGAAAAAGTTTATAGTGTAATATGAGAGCATCCTACCTTTGTGAACTCTGACAATGAAGGAGTGCGTTACTGAGGAGACAAGCCTACAGTAGCCGTCAATCAGGTCAGCCATGTTTTCTGCCGTAGTCAGCAATGTCGTAGTGACAGTGAGGGGCTGCACACCCACACAGACAGACAGATTAGGAGAAGAGTGGGACAGGGAGTCGTTTCACAGTGGCACAATGACAGCTTTATTGGGAATAACATCCTCTACCAGTCCGTACGCACAATCTCTGCACACACACCCCTACACTGATTCTGCTGCTGTGATGCACACATGCTCCTCACACCAACCCACTCTGACACTCAAGTGGAGATGGCAGCAGATCGATTCACATTCTCAACGTCTTATTGTATTGGACATTTAAGGTAAAATACTTTTTAAAATGCTTATATAACTATAATAATGCTTGTATAAGAATATTAAAAAAAAAATAGTAGTAAAAAGCCCCAAATATATTTAAAACCTAGCAAAGAAAATACAACATAAACTTCCAATGCACACTCTAAACGACAACCCTGTCACATTAAAACCTGCATGCATTTATGGCTTCAAAGTAATATCAATGTTCAGTGATGTAAAAGTACACTAAAGTACTTGTACTTAAAACGCAACAAACAAAAAAGAACGTTTGACTTGCAAACGCCAACGAGAAGTCAGCAAAGTGCAATTTCTTACCTCTGGAGCTCCAGCCACATTTAGCTGCAGCATCCCTTTTCTGTCCTTTTCTTCTAAAGCGGAGTACTGGATGGACTGGACTTGATTAAAGTTAGCTAAGTGAGTAGGCTGCAGAGAGAGAGACATAAAGAGACCCATTAAGAATAAAACTGAATTCTAACACAAGCAATGTTGCAAAAACATGACTTTAAAAAGAAAGTACATCAAAAAAAAAAAAAGAAAGAGCTAAATGTTTCAACTGACAACTGAGGAAAAACTATTCTATACTATATACTATACTATACTCAGCAAAATTTCTCTAAACTGAGAAGCCACGGGATAAATTCTAAAAAAAAAGGGAGGCCTTTAAATAGAAGATTTACTAGGTGCTTTGATGCAGTTATCTCCTCATTAAAGCCAGTAGTTTACAAGTGGAGGGTTTGAGCATAATTACACAAAACCAGACCATAAATAGGTGCAGTCATCACACCTTCAACCTTTGACTACCTGGCAAGGACACTAATTGGCTCAAATTTTAGGACTTGGCCACATGCTGATTGTTTCTAAAAAAAACAAAACAAACATAGCTATTTCTCAGAAGTATCTAAGTTGCACATTTTGATGTGCTTTTGAGTAAATAGATTATACAAAAAGGAGCAAGTTCAATCAACTCATCTGGCAGCCTGATATGTGTGACTGCTTCAGGTTTCCACAATACTACTGCTCTGCAAATAGCACATCAGAAAGTAATAGTGGCAAACACTGGAGCTTAATAGAGGAGCTTTTTCACATCAACTCATGTAGACTAAGGGTCTCTAAGGAGGCAGATAGGCACTCAGATGCTCGGCAGAAACTAGAACTGTTGTATCAAATGACTATGTGTTGCAACAACACACCATCAGAGGGGTAAGACTAGCCTGTCTCATGAGTCTAAACCCAACTCACTCACATTCCTTTTTAGTTTGTGAACAATTTCATGTCTGGTGAATTCTGCTTCACAGAGACAGGAAGAGCCGACACTGAACAATGGTACGATTTGGCATTTTAAGGATGAAACTGAATTGAAATGAAATGAAAACACAGCAGAGAAAAAGGATCATGGTAAAAGATGAATCCATCACTGTTTGGAATGGAGGAGAAATGCTCTCTAAAGAGTTCCTTGCTGAAAGGAAAAAACCTTAAATGCTACCAAATACTTCAGCATTTCACAGTGAGTGCAAACAAAGTTATATTTGTCTAGAAATTCAAATTAAGACAACACTATTTAGGAAGGTGGACAAGACAGATTTTTACGCAGCAGGGTGGCGGTTGTCGTGGAGATATTCTTGTCTGTGGGTGTTGCACTACTTATACGTTTGAATTAAAACATTCTACAATTTAGAGAGGTTTATATTTTTAGGGGGTCGGTTGGAGATTGAGTCTGGACTTTCTCAGCAGTTGCTGTTCACACATGCACCTCTCATCTGTGATTGGACAGATGTTACCTGCTGAGAATGTGAAGGAGAGCTGGCTGGGTAGGATGTGCCGGACATGACAGAAATCCCTGAGCTTTGATTACAGCACAAAGGGGATGTCATTTGAGACGTAGTGAAGAATCCGTTATTCCTACCAGTTGGACGGACGCTTACGGTACCTTCTGCAGAACAGCCACTTATCTAAAAAATTTTCTGGAAACGTTTTGAGCTGCAGTGCATGTGTGAGAATTATCCATATTTGATGGAAACACTGTCTTCAATACAGGGAGTGTAGGCATTGGATTTATTTTGACCTACTACAGTACCAGCTTTGTGATGTTCAGTCTTCCTACATAGACTGAGTCCTGGTGATACCACATCTGCCCTTTTTAAATATCACATTAAGTTACATTTATCATAGAAATTGTAGGGCTGTTATGCAGTTTAAAACTCATTCAAAGTCATTGCACAGACAAGAAAAGAACTGGCTTACACACAGACAAACCAAGATCATTATAACTATAAATAAATAAAGATGTGTGGACATACTCACCGTTGAGCCTTTATCTGTGAGGTAGCTGATTCCCTCCTCCGGTCCAATTGCAAGCTCAACTGATATTACCCAACTAGACTAAGGGGGGAAGAAAAGACAGGAAGAAAGGCCATCATATTCACTTATCTTTTAATCTTAATTTTGCAATGACAAAATATTTCTGCAGAAATATTACAAAAATAAGGCAACAATAAAGCTCATCTGATCTCATTTTGACTTTAAAAACCTCTCCAAGACTATGGTATTATAAAAGTCTTGAGAATTATCCTACCCCTAAAGCACATTTGAAGCACTCCTTGTCGAAGCGGTAGATAGGTGATAGTATCTCAAAGAACTTATGGATACTCTGCTCATCGTTGAGGTTAGCAAATTGCTTAAATGTCTGCTGGATCTGCTTACGAAGAGTCTTCGCCTGATAATGTGGGGGGGGAGGGGGGTGGGGGGGGAATACATTACCAAGAGTTAAATATCTTTGAGACAAAGTTGGTTCACAGCCAAGAAAGGAACAACACAAAACTGATGGGCCATGCTGTTAGACGATAACAAGAGTTTTAAGAAAAATGCACCGCAATAATTAAATAATAGGCATTCACTCAGTCAGTCATTCGGTCAGTCAGTCAGTCAGTCACATAAGCAGCCTGTCAGCTGTTAGTCAGAAAACACACAAAGTAGGTTTAACACATCAATTCTGCTTCTGAAGCCTTTCTGACTTTCCGACTGTGTGTGAAGGAAAAATCACTCACAGGGCTTAGTTTGTTTACAGGCCTTTAATCTCACCTTCAGGGAGTCCAACAGGCTTTTGGGGAAGAACCTTCTCAGACCCACGTCTTTCCTACAAATACCAAATTATTACAGTTACAAATCTACACTTACACACGCAATGTTGAATTTCATCTGAGCAACGTAGTTCAAAGAGTGGAGTAAATATCTGTCTTACTCTAGTAGTTCATAGTTGGACTTCTTATCCAGTGCATTGCCTGGCATCTCTCTGAAGAACCTTCTATATAATTCATAAGAACAAGGTGATATTAAGCATAACCAGGATTAATCCGTGTTTTTACTTTTTTCTGTAGAAATGTCAACAACTTTTGCTGAGTGGAAAACATGCCAACAACTGTCAAAAAGTTCCCCTCTGCTTGCTCACCTTATTTCCAAACAGCCCAGCTTCAGTGCAACATCTTGATCCACCTGGTCTGCTATATGTTGCATATAGTCACTTTTCACCTGGAATGACAAGAATGATCGTCCAATTTCAGCTTTCAGCAAAAATTTTATAGTGTGAGTTTGAACCATTTCACACAACTTTTGCATGTTTTTAAGATGTGAATGAAGAGGAGATATTTTTTATGTCATGAATCAAGTAAAATATGGACATAATCTAAAGTTAATGCACTTCGTCTCTCCCCTGTTTCGCTGTTATGTTAATGGGAGTCCTCACCTGGTGATAGAGGTAGTTAAGAGAGGGTTTGTCCTCAGAAAAATGGCTGAGGTAACCTTTTGGAAGGTACCGTATCCGTAATTCATACCTGAGAAGGACAGGAACAGTGTGAGAATGGGACATTCTGATAGATCACAGCCTATTCTGTGTTCCACTTGTTTTGCTGAACCTCACGAAGAAGGTATTTACAGAACTACAATGAAATGGTGCTCCGTGATTGCTGAGACATGAACTGACTGAAATTTTTTAACGCGTAATTTGACAAAGCATAATGACCACATTAATGTTTGTGGTGGCGTAATTGTTCAAAAGTGGCACATTGCAGTGACTAAAGAAGAAATAGGTCAGGAAAGTGGTGAGCTGCACTGTGCGCTCTGCTGTGATGCTACATGCCTGGAGTTAGATAACAAAGCATATCAAGGCTGAGGACAAAATGAATAAAACATTCTATTCTATTATGGATGAATCCAAAGGAAAGAAAATAATCTGTCAGAGAAATGAGGGAAAACAAAAGAAAAATAACAGAGTGGAGAGAAGGATCAAAGTGAAAGGAGCAAGTGCATATGCACAAGAAAGAATGAGACAAAACATGCATTGCAGAGAGAACGGAGTGAGTCCATCCCCTGAGCTGCTGCTGTTCTAACAATAGCTTGGCAGCAGCAGAAACTCCTGTGGGCTTGCAGCTCTGCTGCCCTCTGAGGCACACTGGCTGCAACAACTGGCAAACCGTTTTCTGCTCTATATGAATGGTTCCTGTTGGACTCATTTAAATCTTAATGACTTGGTTGAACAGCACTGAATTTTTGTACAGAAGTTGTTCCGAAAATCCACCGAGGATGGCCAAGAGCCAGAATAGTTTAGGTGCAGGCTGAAAATGGACTTATCAGGACTTTTAAATTAAGTAGGGTAACTTTTGTTATTTGTGGAAATGTAGAGGTGAAATACGTATTGCTTGCACACAGTGGCTTAAAAGTCTATTTTTACATCTTGTTGTAGAGCTCGTGACACTGTTAAATGAGCTCAATGGTAGCCAGGAACAGCTTAGAAGGCAGATGTAATAAAACATTGCTAGTTGGCGGGGTTATTTATTGATCGGCCAGTTATCTTACTCTAAACTGTATCAAGTGAGTTTTTGCTGCCCTGGTGTTTCATAGTAGCACAACACGGTGGAAGATGTATTGTTTGCTTTAAGAGCAAAGCAAAATAGACTATGCTAACCCTAAGTGAGTAAAATACACTTCAACAGACTGTTAGGCCTGCTTTGTTTAATTTGAGTGTAGCTTCAATATTACCCACTATTCCCCTTAAAGTCAGAGAAGGGCAGGGACAAGAAGTGACAGAAGATGATAAATCTTGCGACTTTACCTCCATTCATCCTGTGGATGCTGTTTCTCATATTTCTCTCTTACATGAGACACACCCAAGTCAGGGTGTAACCAGTGGAGAGCATCAGAGTGCAAATGGGTTAGCCGGAGGCCCAAAGAAGACACGCAGCGCAATTTGTTAATCTCTGCTATTTTCTGGATAACACCCTGTTGAAACAAGATGACGGACAAAAAAAACAAAACAAGAAAAAAATTAATAAAAGGTAAATCAGCAAAATCAAGGACATGTGTGTGTGTCTTACCCTGACATCTGTGGCATCTCCGTGTCTGATATTACTGGCCCACATGCAGGGTTCGCTGTTTGTCTCAAAATAATGGAAGATCTTAAGAACCCGGTCCATGGAGCCCGGTGGCCGCTCCAGTCCTCCAGCAGGGCCACTGGTGCTGGGACCGCCCGGAATTCCAGGCCGGGACTTAACCCCACAACCACCTGCTGTGGAGTGATTGAGGCTTGGTTCCAGGTAGGAAGACGATGCCATGCCAGACTCAGATGGTCCTGCTGGGGCTAGCTGGCTGTCATATTCTGAAAAATTAAATGGGTAAACCACGTTAGCTCAAGATGTTTTTTCCGATCTTTTTGTATGTTACTTTCAAGAACATCCTTAAATTCCTCAGGGAAAAGTGGTGTATATTTTTTTTAGGCGTCTTTTTGTCAAAGTATTACACAGCTAACATGTGTGTATGTATGTTCACACTTTTATTCACACACTTTTATTTTCAATCTTGTTTGACATAAATCTGAAAAATGGAGTTGCTCACTCAGCCTCTCAGTGACGACCAAAACATGAAGTAATACTGTACAAACAGAGTTAATGCCAAACAAATCCGGTTGTAGAGGAGCAGAGTCTTTTAATAAGGTCCTCAAGGGACTATTATGTGAACTGTATTCTAACCCATGAAATACATCTTCAATCACTGGGACCCTATAAAACCAGACAGCCAGTTTCTTCTATCATTATTAGGTTCAACAACATGTTGACAACAAGAGAACGGGTCAGAACTTCCTTCTTACTGTGTAGCGAGGATGCAGCCCACTTCCACACATCAGAACTGAACCTCAACTTTGCATATTTGTCACCCTGAGCAAACCAGCTGAAAACAACCTAACATACATAAATAAACTAAATTATAAATCAGACACAGAAGATGAGTAGATTGTTCTAGAGATATTCAAGGGTGGTGGCATTTCAGAGAGAAAATATCTGCAACCTTTGCTTCCGACTTCTCTCTGGGATTATCTAACCAACCCCCCCCAAAAAATCTCCAAAACATAAGCAAGTGAGACAACGCATGAACATGTCAGAATACATCTGGGAGAATTTACCCAGTTGTGGATTTATTTGACTACCTTTCCACTGTAGTACTGTCACAGTCTTATTTTGTGAGACATAGTGTCCTACATTGTCCTGTCACTTCCTGGATCTCCCAGCTGGGTTTGCTGAGTCATCATCTCTAAAGGATCTGTTTGAAATGGCTGTATATGTGTGCAAACATATGAAAAATCTGGATTTGATCTTTGACAAATAATTTCTCTAAATGCCAGTAAAACCAAGAATCTGCATTGTAGGTCATTTCAGGTAGAAGGAAATTATTCCATGTATTAGATTAGACATCTTCTCTTAAAAATATTCCGATAGTAAACTTTGCTGCTATTATGTGAGCAAAAGCGCTGCAGTGAATGGCACAGCTCACAGTACTGTAGTGGAGATGAACTGCCTGCAGCGAGCCAAAGGGAAAAAAAAACATTACAGCAGTATATTCAGCATTTTCTGTGCTGCTTTAAGGTCACAGGCAGATTACTTTCAGATGAAACAAAGAGACAGAAATACAGAAACTGATCTAAAATAAGTTGTTCCCCATCAGTTGGCTGAACCTTGCGAGGCTCTGTCTCTGAGTGAGAATGTATACCATGACTGGAAAAGTGTAAGTAGGGCCAATGAATATGTGCACACCTCATGCACACATTACTTATTGTTTCTTCTATGGAGAGAAAATACAAAAAAGTATTCCCTTTTTTAAAAGTAGTACTCATGGCTGTTCTGGCTTGAAGGGTTCTCATTTTTCATTTAATTTCATATTATTCTGGGTACTGACTGTTCCCCTGCTATCATTTTACTTTTCTCTAAACCTGGTCTCTATTTGACATTGATACATGCTTTCTTGTCGATGTGTGAGGGTTGTTTTGTTATTGTCAGGACGGAGAGGTCATCAGCAACAGGACTGAAAGCGTCACAATAATGAATGTCAAAAGGTTACTGAAACCAAAGCAGTCCGCTTGTGTCTGCAGGGAAAAAGTGAAAGCTGACATATTTGCTTCAGCAGGTGACTGAGTTTACGTGCTGTTATCTGAATACTTCAATGCAGTAGATTACAAGTGATTAAAACCCCCTCCTGATAGTTTTTATTGCAGCTGAAACTTAAAGCTTCACGTTGTGGTAATAAAACCCGGACCGTGTGTCCGCAGTGAGGAAACTTACAACCCTGCTCAAGATCCAGCCGTGCATTTAAAAAGGTGCAGGCACAATGCAGTTGCTGACGCTGCTCCGGAATTTTCTTGTACTGAGCTGTGCTTTTTGTGTGATGTGCGATGCAGAGACAATCCCAGGCAGCGTTTACTGACCACATCCTCCTTCAAAAACACACCATCCTGACCATTGTTGAGCAATTTCAGTTTAGTTTATTAATAAAAATAAAGAAAATAAAAATAATTTTTTGGGGGTCAGTTAAGAGAACTGTTTAGTTGTATTATTGCCGCTGAGAAACCGATCGTATTTAGGTTATTAGATTTAATGTAATCAAATTAAATGCTGTGGTTCTGTCGTTAAAAATTACTTTTCCTATTTAACCCACCACAAATAGTCACTGTAATCTTTGAGGAGTGAATTCAAACCACAACACTTTGTGAATAACCCCGTTCAGAATGTGAGTGCAGAATTGGTCGGACGTTATTGCCTCTGATATTAAAGGCTGCCTTGGTTCTTCCTCTCCATGGGAAAGGTAATAAAAATACATTTGTTCAAGTAAAAAAAACAGTCAGCGACCACAATCAAATGTATTTCAAAGCACATGTATTAAGCATGGCGGTGAAGTAAAATCACATCATGCAACCACCATCTAACTACAACGTTCACTTTCTCTAAATCCTATTAGAGGAAGGAATTTCTATACTCTCAGGTATGTATGCAGCCACTTTATCCTTCAAATACTGTTACATCACACCTCTAGGAAACGTACCAAAACTACATGTGCCTCTTTCTGAGTTCTGTTGGTCAAAACAGGTCGTGACCAAGCCTACTGGCATGGGATGTACTGACTCATTGTACTGTATAAGAATAATGGTGTAATGAAAATATGTTGACAGCAAGACTCATACTATAAGTGTACTATTCTGCTCATTTTTCTCTTTGGGTTTATTAAAGGAACTTTTTTGGGGGGAGGAAATTACTAAAAATATATTTTTTTCATTATTTAGAGCTTTGAAAGCCCTGAAACCTGTTAGGTTTGCTGCTAAACTGAACAGTTTTGGAGCAAATCCACACTACGGGTTCTATAATAGAGGATACTGGTACAGTTATTGAAAATCAATTACTATTTTAAGTAGGTGCAGTGCACTACAGAACATGCTACATACCAAAGCATCTCTCCTTTGAACCAATTTCTCCTCAAACTGGCAGAGCTAAGCTCACACACAGATGCCCTTTTGCTCTCATAAGGACAGAAATCAAATCAAATAGGGCAACAGCCAGAATTGCAGCAAGCAGCTGGTGCACCCACCAGCCTCTCGCTCTCACTGGGGCTTAACTGACTGACAGTGAGCCCAGTAAACTGCAGTAGGCTGTGGTTGGGCTTTGCCCCATAGCAGCAGGAGGAGGACTGCTTATCTTCTCCTGTTTAAGAGTATCTGGGTTACTGGAGTTGGCCTGTTCCTGGGGGAACTGAGCCCTCTCCATCTACTTACCATTCCCTTTTTCCATCACTTCTCCTTACATGCCTATCCCCCCCCCCTTCCAGTCTTCCTGCTTGAGTTCTCATCATCTTTTCAACTTTCATTTAGAACTTGTCTCTTCTCTGGAACCCATCCTGTCTCTCCTCTTTCGGTCTTTCAGACCTTTTAGTTCCCGTCTTTCCATCTCCATTTGATCCTCCTGTCCTATTGAACCAGCTCTCTTCCTTCCTGCCTCTCATCTTTCTTTCAACCACAAACAATTCCGGCTGCCCTTCCCTCTCTCACTCTACTTATCTGCCACCATCCTCTTCAAGGATCCACACCATCTACTACAAAGGAGAGGCCAAAGTGTATGGTCTAAGAATAAGAGCCCAGCACTACTTGTTCATACAAACAAGCAAACACTAAAATAAAGAAAAAAAATCATGCATCTTTGGGAGATTTTTTCCTCTCTCTTTAGTGAAAAAGCAGTTGAACCTTCTTGACAGAATTGGTGACAACCAGCAGTTACAGAGGCTCTAGTGTTGTATTTGTGATTGGTAAAACAATTAGAGAGCTCAAAGCATTTTACAGCTTTCTAATTTGACTGGAGATGCTACTTCTGACAGGGAGTGCTTTCAGTACATACTTGATAAGGGGTGCTGCGCATAGATGCAGGCAGCTTTGCTCCAGCAGAGAGGGATGCAGCCGCTGTTCTCCATTTTTTCTGCGAGGGGGTCCAATCACGTTGGGCCACAGGGCCCAGGCAAAGGTCCCGGGCCCAAACCAACACCATAAAGCTGTCCACTTCCTCGTGTGTTTCAAACTATCATTTCCAGGTCGAATTATCAGGATAAGCCAAGGAAGAAGGATGAGAAAAATATCTAAAAAATATCCCAGAAAAGGCTGGACACTGGGCCCTTCTGTTTTTTAGCATCTTCAGCACAAGCAAAAGCTCCAATAAGAAAGAAAATGTAAAGTGAAAAAGTTCTCAAAATCTGGTGAAGAAGATTCTGTGGGAAACATTGGTGCATGTGACATCTGTTATCATAGCTAAAGTCTAGATGCTACAAATGCTTCAATTACATTCATCTCTAAGAAAGAATGAGAAAAAGCTGGATCCTCCTTTTTCATAGCACCTTACTAAACAAGAAAAGATCCACTCAGATTTGAATGTAGAGTACAAGAGGTCATTCCTCTGCTGCTTGTTGAGACATGTTCATGACTTGAAGCATCTTGAAGGTCCACATAATCAATCCATGCAATTCAGGTCGTGACCTTTGACCGTTGACCCAGCAACAAATCTTAACCACAGCGCAATGAGATCTGTAATGATCTCCTGTCAGGAAGCCCACTTATTTTAGCTCCACTATCTCAAGGAGTCAGATTCTCAGAGGATGGAGATATTCCCGTAATGTGCTGGATATTTCACTGATGTGGCGCTTAAAAACCAGATAATCAAGCTTGGCTTTTGTAGTTAACAGATCATATCCTTGCCCATTGGGTCATCCCGTGGTCTAATAAATCCTCCAAAATGATCACATTCAGACCATCAGTGCAGACTTAATAATCCAATTAATCAAATCTTGACAAAAAAATTCAAAGATGGTCTTGCCCGTACAGCCATAAATCTTGAGTCAATCAGCTCGCCGTGCACGTCACACATCCAGGTTATAAAATGATAAACCTCCTTCACCGGATAGGTAGAGTCAGTATATCAAAGCACAATTTTTTTTTAAAAAGTTGTAGTTTTGTTCTGGAAGTCGATGATCAAAGAGCATAGTAAATCACACAAAGACAACAGAAAAAACGAGCATGGCAGGAAAAAAGAAACAAAAATGTAGGGCAGAGCGGGGTGCAGAGAAATGGAGCATAGTGAGGCAGAGGAGGAAGAGAGCGGCAATTGCAGGAGGGAAAAGGGAGAGCAATGACAAGAAAAAGACACAGAGAGGGGAAGAAAGATTCAAAGACAAGTTTAGAGAGATGTAAATGTTTAAAAAATGAAAAAGAACATCAGTTTTAAAAAGGAAGAAGGTTTAATAAACGAAGCGGGATTTAAAAAAAGAGAGAAACCCGAGAAACCCCAGGGAGAAGTTGAGCCTCACATCCAGAGCTCCCTCATTGCTCAGAGCCTGCAAGAGGTAACCAGGCCAAGACGGGTACCTGACACTGGAGGAGAGCAGCATTTGACAGACACCTGAACGAAGAGGTGGATGAACAAAGAAAAAAGAAAAAAAGGATGGACGGAAGACAACAGAGAGAAAAATAGACTGGAGGAGTGAGCGTGATGCGGTAAATCCGTCATTAAAGCGAGTCCGCGGTGTGTCGTTTCATCTGTCTTCTGTAGGCGTTCTTCTGTAGCATCGCGAGTGAAGTTAGATCGCAGCCTTATTCCCAACCGCTCACACACACAGCAAAACATAAACACAGAGTTTATCCAGCTAGATCCTGGAGCCGCCAAATTGAGTGCACCAAAGAGCTGTAGAGGGAGAAAGTATGTGCGTAAGCCAGGAGGGGGTGGACAAGAGAGTGTGTGCACGTTGGTAAGGAGGGAGGTTAGTGTGTGTGTGTGTGTGTGCGCGCGAGAGAGAGAGAGAGAGATAGAGAGAAAGAGAGGGAAAGAGAAATATAAAAGTCAAATCCTGCGAGTGCATGTGTGAGTGTCAGCAAAAAGTGAGCACATGCCAAGTGTTTCTCCTCTGGTGTGTCCAAGCTGTGAAAAAGATGCTCTGATCTGTAACAGGCAAGAGCATCGGGCGGGCAAATGACGGCGTATGTGTAGGGCAAGGAAGGAGAGAGAGGGGGGTAGGAAAAAAGAGAGGGAGAAATATTGCAATTGAGACCTGATGCAGTGGAAAATAGGCAAGCTGATTGGACGCTATGACGAAGAAGACCAAACTCTTCATCAATAGTCGACTGGCACTCGTATGACCAAGTACTCACTGTTCTTCAGAAGGATCTTGGTTAAGCTAGAGAAAAGGGACTTCACAGTTCATTCTGTCACAACACTAGATTCACTCTGCCCTTTGTCCTTTTCTCTCTCCTCTTCCCTCCGTCTTCCCTCAGCTTTCTCTCCTTCTCGCCAAACATTATCTCCCCTGCTAAATGTCAGCCACCCTACACCACCGAAGCTCTCTCCCAAAGAAGGTTCACTGATGTGACAGCGAACAAGAACACTGACACAACCAGACATAAGGCGTCCTGTACGTTACATTATTTCTGGCATAATGACGCTCGAGGTCGACATTTCAGAGCAACCAAAACGGTAAAAATTAGTATTCACAGAGGTTGCCTTCGTAAGAAGAAGGGGGAATTGTGGGTAATGTAGCTGGTGGTTTCCAGAGGCTAAATGTGGCTGAGGAATATGTCCAGTCGGTGTTTGTTCATCTACCCAGAGTCAGCCAGTGGGTGTGCAGGAGGGCACGCATTTCAGATTCACAGCTATGTGAAGTGTGGCTCCCAACCTGGAGCCTCCCCATCCCCTATGGGGGGCGCCAAAGATCACTGGAGCAGTGGGAGGTCTCCACTCCTCAGAAATGGTTCAAAACACCAGCAGGAATGAGATATCAAAAGTCTGCCTGGGGGTGCAGCACACAAAACGCTGCAGTCAGCTCTGTACATTTGGTAGCCACCAACTGCAGAGAACGAGACAACTCCTCAAAGAGAGCATCTACAGGGCTGTAAAATCAGCTGACTGCTACACTTTCAATTAATGCAGCACACCTCATGGACACACTCCCTTTCTAAAAATGAGAACACCCAGCAGATGCATAGTCCTGAATTAAACATCATGCTCTACAGAAACATTTATTCATGCTCAAATTTGCACGCTGATTTGCATGCCTTTCCCCCCTGCAGTAACAACGTGCCTCAGGACTAAATTAGGTCTCATCTTGCAAATATTGACACATACTGTAAGTGTCAACATTTCTGCTTTTCTATTGCTTAGAATGTGAAATGATTCTGCTATAACGACAACCTTCAAGTTTACTTATTTTCTAATACATGTTTCAAAGCACAGTTTAGCCCCAGTCTCAACACCATATTAAAAAGAGATTAAGGTTGATGAAAAATAGGACTAATCATTCTATAAACAGGTGGCAATTACTTTTGGGAGATGCATCTTTTTCTGGTGTGCACGGTGGTGTATTTCCAGCCATGGCTTGACTGAACTAGAGTTCATGAATCTACTTCTACACTCATTGCGATATTGTGATAGTGCGTGTTAATGTTCATATCGCTTTAATTATTTAAAAAAGTGATTATCTTGTTTTCTATTCAGCCTCATTTTTGTAAACAATGTGAGGCACATTGACGTTTCCTGGGGGAGCACCAGACATAAATGTATGCTGTTTTACAGACTCATGTTTAGAGCTTAGAAAAGCTTAGCATAACATCAGTTAAAGCAATCACACGCAGACAGAAAACAACATTAGTCTCCCCGCCCTACTTTGCAAACCATGAGCCCAGATCTTTCTGCTTTGAGTTTTATCAAAGTATTCTTGGATGTAAAATGTGCCATGACGGACTTATAGAGGCTGAAGGTTATGCTGAGCGTGTCTTCCACAGGGTGGTTTTGGCTCAGTGGTGGGATGCTGACTGTAGAACACTTTGTTGCCATCGGTGACGGAGCCCGTGTCTGAGCAGGTGAATGCAGCAACTAAACTCTAAGGCACTTTAGGAACCCTGGAAAAATGAGTGAGATCCCAACATCGCCAAACCTAACGTTGCATCATATATGTGAATACAAGTGAAAACAAATAATAGAAACAAGAAAATCCTCGTCATGGTAGAAGTTTCAGTTCATGTGAATCTCATCAGGGAGTCATAGAAACAGCAATACACCTCCACTGAGAGAGAACTCAAAAGTGATTTCAGGAAATGTAACATGTTGGTTCCTTTTTAAAAATGAGAAGCTTTCAGTTTTAAACTTTTTTAAGCTGTAGGATCATCTGTTACCTAGCAACAACTAAGGAGGGAGTGTGGAGGTAAGGGCCATAACAGGTCTCATTTATACCCCTAAAAGGAATCTGCTCTTTTTCAATCCGTTCGGTGACGCAGTGAATGCAGTCTATTCATGTTTTTTTTGTTTTTTTTAAGAATAAAAAAAGGATGTGGCTCATGATTCATCATGAAAATATATCATACACTGTCATTATCATTTTAAGGCCAACATTAAATCTATTCACATCAAAGTCTTGCACTGGGCTCAAAAATGTGCCAAATCTTCACAAACAAAACTATATTTAGACAAGTTAAAAAAACAACACTGTCACCCACATCTAACACAAGAATTCATAACACCGGATGCATACGCAGGTATTTACTGATGCAGTATACTTAGTGGCAGATGGAGGCAACAATAGCTATGTTTTTGCAAAGTTTTACTCACCAGTGTAGTAAGATATTCTGGAAATATCTGGAAGAGAAAACACAAGAAACAATATATTACTTCCAGAACTGTAAGAGTAAAATCCAATGAGTTACAGAAAGGAATAATTCAAACGGATAACACAAAAAACAATCGATCGATGACAGCCAACGCACTACACGGCACAGCAGAGCACCCACAGCAGAGTTACCGCTGTTCTGTGGTCCAAACCACGAGGCTGCTGTGTTTCTGGACATCAGTGACCGAACTACTTTAAACCATATCGTCTCACTGTGAAGATGAACAATTTTTGTCTTGCATTAAGGAAAGGAAGGGAGAGCTTTCTGTGTA